GGACTTATTGTGTTTCATAGATTTGTGATGGACATCCTTGAAGAACATATTTTGGCTTCAAACTTCTCAGAAAACATTACAAACTGTTTTTTTTTTTAAACTCATTCTCGTGTGGTTTGTATTTATGTAAATGTCTGTAATTCCCCGTCCCAGTCAAACAGTCACACTGAGTTTTTCATCTTCTAACTGGTCTGCCTGAGCTCAAACACTGTTTTTCTGTGGGTGTCTCGTCCCTCTCTCTGTTTTTTGCTGAGCTCAGACCAAGAAAGAGGGGTGTAAAAGGAAGAGCAATTAAGCCGCCAGATAATCCTGACGACAGCAGCAAAAATGGCGATTCAGCTTATGGCCAGTAATTGTGGTCGGGACACTTTGACCTTACTCTTGTGCAGAGTGACTAAGAGGGACGGGGGTGGGGCACAGTATGAGTCCCAGGGGGCGCTCATGTAAAGAACATATAAGTGATGGACAGCGACAGGTCTCTGCAGCGACTTCATGTTAGCGGTTACAGGATTCTCTGAGAGCTCACCTGCAGGGACGGTTCCATTCGGCTTAAAAACTCACTTTGTTCTGGTTAGTGGTTTTAGAACGGTTTCATTTCAATCTAGAAAAATATCCAATAATGTCTTACTGTAACTTCAAGTCAAAGCATATTTTAACTGTCAGGGAAACAACACTTTGATCCTGATTAAATACAAACTTTATACTACTTTACTTTGTTTTATATCACTGAGAAACACATTATAATGAATGCGCTTACTTAAACAAGATATTTTGTAAACTTCATTTCCCCCCCTAAAGTTTACAGTTCTAATAATCAAATAAATTAAATCATATAAATTGAATTTTTCCAATCCAACAAAATTAGGGCGCAGATGGCCTAGCGGTTAGGTCGCGCATAGACATAGTCCTCCAAGCAGACGGCTCAGGTTCAAGTCCAACCTGTGGCTCCCTTCCTGCATGTCAATCCCTGCTCTCTGCTGATTTCCTACTCTATCCACTGTCCTGTCAAATAAAGGCATAAAGCCCAAAAATAAAACCTGAAAAAAAATCTATCAATTGAATTTCTGTCTTATGTTTCCAATGAATCTTATCTTGGAAAACTATCATAGTATTATGGTACGACAACAATTCAATACAATTTCAACCCAAGTCTTAAAAAGTGTATCTGGAGAAAATGACCAACGCTGTCTTTAAGTATTCAAAATGTTCTTTCTTACTATCCACATGTGGATATTTTCCATTAATTTAAAGAGCCCATATTATGCCCTTTTTGGGGTTCGTATATTTAATGTATGTACCTACTTTTGTACGTTCACAATAGCTAAAGTCCGAAAAAAGTGTCTGTTTTCATGTACTGCTCCTCCTTGCTCCCTCTACGCTCTGAGTCCGTCAGCTACGCTCTGCTGAGCCCACACTGCAGAGCCCTACGTGGGTCAAGTCTGCTCTGATTGGTCTGCCGATCCGCTCTGTCGTTATTGGTCAGTCGCTCAGCACGGTTCTTGCAAATGTCCCGCCTCTTTTACCATATTGGGAATGCAGCCACTGGCTCCGTCCGAGGGGAGCATTGACATTAGCACCTTAGCCCTACTGTGCTACCGCAGGCTACGGCATATCGTGGGCGTGCTACAGAAGTTAACGGGCGTGCAACATGAGCTGCTGGGCTTGCCACAACGAGCCAATGGGCTTAGATCAGTGATCTCACACTGACAATGACGTCGGACTGAAAAAATTTTATCGAGGGGGGCTAGAACCGAGCGTTACATGCAGCTAATGCTACAGCTAACAGGAGAACGTAGGAGAAGCTTTGAATTTTTGCACATAGATGTGCCTAAACATGCACAGGACACTTGGAAAACACACTAAAGGGCATATAAAACCAGAAAAAGCATAATATGGGACCTTTAACACAAACACACAAGGTAACATTGTGCTGCAGATAGTCTTATCAGCTCTGTTTTAAAGGCTAAGTGACACATACTTTATCCTTATTTCTCTTGAGTTGTCTTACATTAGGTCACATTTACTGTACATCTCAGGTCATGAACCAATCAATATATTTTAACATGCAGTCTCCTCTTTTGGTTAAAATACTTCCTATTTTCTCAAGGATCAATGTCCGATTGGCTTCCTGGGAAATTTCCCCCAGCTCTTTCAGTTCCTTGTCGACACATTTCACACACTTTGAGTAGGTCAAAGGGGATTACTTCTTCATTAAAAAAAACAACTTCTTGTGATAGTTACTCAAAAAACTGCTTTTTCTTACTTTTTACTACTTGATTCTTTATCCAAGCATAATATTTAGAAAGAAATTACCAGAATAAATAACATTCAATCATAATACAGAATAAATCTCATACTTCCTTTCATATATACAGATTCATTGATCGTGATCACACTTCTTACTTTCTACTTCAAGCTGTAAAATGTATATCAACTATCCTATGACACTTTACCTACAGACCCGGTCGGCACACTTTGTAATATTATTCACACAGACCCAACATAAATCCACTGTGAGCAAGCAGCTGGGAACAGTGACAAGAAAAAAAATACCTTTTAACAGGCAGAAAGCTGTTGCCCAATTGTACAACTATTGCACGGCTTACAACTGTGAATATGATGATGGATGTGATGTTCAACAAGATGGCTAGGGGATGAGGGGAGTAACAATAAAATAAAACCATGCAGGGGAAAGAAGTAGGAACTAAATATAAGCAAAGTTTAAAAGGATTTAAACACAAATGTTCAACACAAAAGATAAAGATTCTTCTACAAAACACAAAACAAAAGAGAAGCCAATCTTATTATCTCAAATAAAAGTCAAGCACCAATAAACAAGATACTACGTGAACAATAATATGGAGTTAGATCAGTCTCAATATTCACAAATGCACACAGAAGGATTCACAAATATATTTCATTCTATATAAATGTAAAACAAATCCACAAATAAAAAAATAAGATTCACAAATGTATTTCTAATTCACACACAAATATTTATAGTTATAGTTATGTAATTGTTGCATTTGTGTGTGGGATTTTTGAGACTCCCCTGCCATGGTTAGATTCACAAATGCATTTTTTTCAGCAGGGAAATGTATGTAGCCAATCAGATGTCTCCTTCCTATTCAGCCAACCACAGTAGCATAGATTCAAGAGTATGATTCAATGAGATCACTTTAGCGTTGCATCTGCACATACAGCGATTAGCCGAGCTATCAGACAATCTGATTAAGTCATCTTTATTCTAACCAGCACAAATAGTCTCTGTGATTATCGTACTATATATGGAAAGTTGTTTGCGTTGAATAAACTGGTGATTTTCCAGCCGATGTGTTGGGGCCGCGGCTTTTGAAGGACCCATTGTTTACTATCGTTATTACGTTTACAACCAGACCAGGCATCTGCAAAGTCAGCTATATTTTCCGTCTGACATTCGTCGGTTTACAGTCTATGGTTTCAGCTTACTTTGTGACTCTGCAAACTCTTACCGAGTAGCGTTTGTCTGTTTATAGCTCAGAGCGCGTATGTGGGTGGTGAAGCGAGTGAGGAGAGGGAGAGCGGAGGCGAGTGTGTGTGTTCGATCGGTGTGTGCACGCGCGAGTCACGTAGTTGATGCCGGGGACCGGGGCAGTGTGTCACAGCAGAGAAACGAGTCAGTATCTGAAGTGTATGTGCAGTCTGAGCTCTGTGTTGTGTAATAAACGGCCCAACCCTCAAGAAACAAGCCGGTACTCTCCATGTCTGCTTACTATTAGCTGCGGTTCAGTAAAAAGAACGGGTCCCGGAGTTGAGAGCTAGCCTACAACTTCGGCCCTGGAGCTGGAGCAGATCAATAAGTCTCCGCTGTCCGCTCTGACCACGCTCCAGATGCTGAAGCAGGAAAAGTTAAGAGTAGTAGGCCTAACGTTACTGGACACAAAAAGTCTGAACGATGAGAGAAAGCCTGAAAGTACCGTGGATGGACACCTGGCCATGTTAACTTGTGACAGTGACCGCTAGTCTGTCATCAGAATCATGTTGAATGTGTGTTGATACATAACCACACGCAGTCATATAGCAATGTCATAACCACGACAAACAATTCCATTTATAGTACGACAATCGCAGAGACTGTTTGTGCTGGTTAGAATAAAGATGACTTAATCAGATTGTCTGATAGCTCGGCTAATCGCTGTATGCGCAGATGCAACGCTAAAGTGATCTCATTGAATCATACTCTTGAATCTACGCTACTGTGATTGGCTGAATAGGACTCCACGGCATGGAGTCTCAAAAATCCCACACACAAATGCAGTGAGGTTCACAAATGACAAACAGTTTGTAAATGCAGACTGAACAGTTTATATATTCGTGGATTTCTATTACAGGTATACAAAACCAGAAATACATTTGTGAATCTTATTTTTTTATTTGTGGATTTGTTTTACATTTATATAGAATGAAATATATTTGTGCGCGCATTGAAATCCATTTGTGAATCCTTCTGTGTGCATTTGTGAATATTGACACTGATCTAACTCCATACAATAAGGCCTCGATCGGAAACACACTCCTTCCACAGAAAGATTACACAAAAGTTTCTCGACGTCAAAGACAAGCACACACATACAGCCGACTGACCCACTGGCAACTGCTGCCTCCTCTCTCCTGCTCTTTGTAGCTCAGCCTCTGATTGCCAAGGTGCCACAGGTGTGGCTGGGCACACTCAGGCTGAGGGGCAACCCCTGGTGAGCACGCAGGAAAGAGAGACAGAGAGAGAGAGAGAGAGAGAGGGAGAGAAAACGTACATATACACAACACTACAGCACATAACAATGGTGATAAAAAAAACAATCTCAGAGACCTTTAGTGCTCTGCTTTCATTTCCTTCAATGAAACATGGTGTTGCACTTTTAGTCTCAAGTCTCCACATCCTGCTTTACTTCCCCATAACCAAGTCTCAGCAATAAGGAACCTTCCAACAATCAATTCCCCCCTGAGCAGAGAGCCGTCCATCCATTGCATACAGCGGGATGTTTCTGCAGTCCTGTTGGAGCATCCCTGCTGCACACATCCTGGCACGCAGGAGCCCTGACTTTCTTGGCTCTGTTACGCCTCGAGCTGTCGGCAGGACAGAGGGCCGATCAGATCTCCATCACCATCTCCTCCTCCTCATCATCATCAACACACACCCTTAACCCCCAACCCCTCCTTCTTCCCCCCCTCCCTCAGAGGTGTCTGGTGACTCTAGCCCCTGTTATCTTGCCCCTCCCTTCATAGTGGAGAAGAGGAAGAGAGAGAGAGAGAGAGAGGCTGCAGCCCACTACCACTATGTCCCCAGAGGCCCCTTGCCTGCCTGCCTGCCTGACTGCCTGCCCCTCCTGCTGCTCAGTACAGCTGTGGCTCAGCACCAGACCCTGACACCAGCTGGGATCTCAACCCTGCCAGAGGATCCACGAGAAGAGTTTCTCTTCATTAGGTGAACCACACAGACACTCAACTCCAACTACAGCTGCCAAAAAAAACCTCTCCTCTGGCCATCTATAATCATGGCTGTGGCACCCCGGGCCCCGGCGCTCACCCTGCCCCTGGTGCTCACCTTGCTCAGCCTGGCACCGCTGCCCACTTTGGGAGGCTGCCCATCTGCCTGCCGGTGCTCTTTCGCCATGCTGCAGTGCCTGGAGTCCGATGGGATCACCAGCATCCCGACACTGGCACTGCAGGAGAGCGAGAACGTGACAGAGATGTGAGTATGAAGAGACACCTGCTCTGCATGTGCTTCTAAATGTGTCAAACTATGTCAGATGTCTTGAGCTTGGTGGCTCTCTAAGCTTGTTTTTCTCTGCTTGTATTAAGTTAAGCACTATTGGTTGATGTTGGATAAGTTTGGAGCGCCTCAATGGCACAGTTGTGATCTTCACAGGGAGTATTTACAGTTTCAAATGTGATCTTGGAGTTTTCAGGTTAGGAAAATATATGTATCGCATCTTCTGTCCAATGACTTTAAGTCTGGAGAGTCTGTCGATGTGCTCCATTTGTTAAAATATCGATACAGAAATTACTCTTCAGTCATTGGTGAGGCTTTCCCATGGTGCAAAACAGAAGGAAAAGTATCCACTTGACAAATGTGGAGCTGCTGAATTGATCGAATCGTTGAGGTGATGCAGTGAAGTTGTTTTTGATTGCTTTGCCTTGGAACAACAGGTGATTTTCCAAATGCTATTTGGTGACAGGTGTCACCTTTTCAGTCTGACGTTGTGGCCCAACTATGCCTTTGTTTAATTGTTGCATTACTTGTGCCAAAAAGATTTGATTTTTGACCATAAGTTCTAGGTAGAAGTCTGATGCTAGCACAGTGTGAGAAATAATGACAAACGACTAGAACTAAAAACTGGAGAGCATCTGTGTGAAATCACTCAAAATCCCAATGAGAAACCACAAACCACAACGTATCTGCAATGCTTGTTGTAGTTCTTGGAGTTTGATTTATTTAGATTCTCCTCTGTTTTTGAATCGGAAGGGTTTTTTTTATTAGCGTTAGCCAGCTTCAGATGCTGCTTGCTTTAAAGTAAATCTGCTTCTATCTGAGACTCATAAGCATGGCAGGGATTTAGTCACTTTGGTCACTAGAAATCAATTATGGATTGATGCTGACAGTAACTGGGAGAGAGTGATGGGAATTGGAGTCCGATCGTCTAGTGAGCCTCAAACTGTGGCGTCAGGTCTTTGAAAGATCTCAGAGCCAGTCACCCCTTGTAGTGTTGTGGAGACTTTTGTTTTGTGTATAATAAAGACATAATCTGTTTACATATAGCTGACTTCAAGATCTGAATCGTGTGTTATTAAAACTATTTAAACACAGCTCTAACACTGTGGTGACATTAGGACATCAGGGGGCAGGATATGCTGAAAGAGCCCGACCGATTAATCAGCCAGCTGATAATATCGGCCGATATTAGCATCTCCAGTGACTATCGGTATCGTCTCATTTTTGAGGGATCAACGCAATTAATGTGTAAATCTATATCTATCGCTACAGATCGAACACAGATCTAAGAAAGATATTGGCCGATATATTGTTATCGGATTTTTTCCCCCCCCAAATTTCAATATTGGTATCGCCCCAAAAATTCCATATCGGTCAAGTCCAAGCTATAATGATAATTTTTGCTTTTACATCAATGCTACATCAAGTATCAACAAAAGAGGAAGAAGAAGAAAATACTTGTGACCCATAAAGAAGAAGTTTTATTAGATGCAAGGAGCTCGCACCATTCCCCTGCATATATTCTTCGGTTGTGCGCTGGTCGCAGGATATAAAGGTCATCACACCCTGCCACTTGCACACTGTGATTTTTCCTGATTATTTCTTTCCTGCTGCGTTCTCACAACAGCTCACTCCGACTTCACCTGAAATATGTACAAGGGGGATGACAGGAAACGTTCCTCTTAAAGTTAGTTCTGTTTGCGTTCACACTCGCAGCTCACCAAGACATTTTAAGGACGTTTTCAGGAGTTTTGTGCGAGTGTAAAAGCCCCATTAATGAGGACGTATGACCACAAAAAGTATATAAAGCAAAATTTGGTAAGTTTAGAATTGAAATAATCTGCTGCTGAGGTTTGGAGGCTTTCTTACAGTCATGCATGTCAGATTTTTGATTAAAACCCATTTATAGACATTCAAACCCCTGAGGGAAAGTGTTTGAATAAAAACCTGCGAGGCTTTTGCTCAGAAGAAGTGAGACTTCCCGCTCAGCTGTAGCACGTCGGCAGCAGATGACTGTTATTTAAGGCTGGCTTTTTCAAAACTTTGCATGGAAAAAAGAAGTAGAAACTGACCACCTGTGATTTAAAGAGGGCTGCTGTATTATTATGCAACCCACCATCAGCTCCAACATGGAAAAGTAAATGTCACTCTCCGCTCCACCACGCTGTTCTCTCTTTGTTCCTGGCCCCGGATCTGAGCAATTAGCACTTGTTAAGAAGGAACTACATTTGTTCAAACGCTATTTCAGTGGAGCAAGTCAATTTACCGCTGCTTGTCTGCCTCTATTCACCTATACCCCCCTCTCTCCTCCTCTTTCTCTCTTTTCCTCCTCGCTCTCGTACCTTGGAGGTATTTCCTTGTACCTACGGCTCGACATGTTTGGCAGAGCTCAGGGTGAGGCTCAACATTCTGTCTGAACCGTTTCGATCAATAAGCAAGCGGGCCTTTCTCTGCCTCTGTTTACTGCGCTGCTCTACATGCCAGCAAACAACAACACTTTGCTGTATTGTCGGCGCGAGGAAATAAAGCCGATACGTGGAACAAACAAGGGGCCATTAACCGTGGAACAGGGCCCGAAATTCATCATACGCTGAGTTATAAATTCAATTTTGTGAATTGCCAGTCAATGCCCCCACCCGGGGAACAATAGATGATATACAACCCACTTGGCTCAATCCAATAAGTAAAGGCGATGGGTGATCCTGGGCCCACCTGCCCTGTAATCACATTATTGCTGTGTGGGTCAATCAGACATGAATAAAAAGGTTTGTGTGCTGCAGCTGACAAACAGAGAAGTGGACGGTTGAAACAGTGCCACATGCTGAAAGAGGCTGCCATTAACTACAAATTACTGCAGGTATTTTTTCAGTGTATACTCGACACGCTTTTATACTGTAGGGAAATAAAATCTATATTCAAATCAATCTGTATGATAGACATGTCTCCCAATGGATCAATATGTGCAATATCTATCCATCATCTAATGATCCAGCCATCCATCCATCCATCCCTGTTGATAGCATTAGAGATTGTAAGCGGAAAAAACATTTAAATAAAATCTTTATAGCTATAAAAACCACTAACTATTAAAAAACAGCATATCGGGAGCAGCAGTTGATTGATTTTTAAAATAAAATCCCCTGCAGATGCTGTCAAAAATGCCGTAGCCCCAATGTAGGCTCTTAAATGACCAAATAGCAAACAAAATCAGATCTCTGCTGTCTTCAGCACCAGTTTCTGAGTCTTTCTTGGTCTGCTTACAAGTACACTGTGACCATATTTAAAAAGAAAACTGGCTTTTGCATATATAAAGTCCTGGAAATCTTGGTTCCCTCCTCCCCCCATGTTCTTACTCATTTACATACTGTACGTATGTTTGTTTGAATGGGCACTTTCCCCCATGGGGTATCACTGGAGGAGGTAAATCGAGCCAAATCTGCTTTTAAATACATTGCATATTTATGGTCCTCATCCACATTAAATTGTGTATTGCTCTTCTTGACCTTTACTGTGCAGAAAGATTTAAATGTTTGACTAAAGATCTTTTTACTTTCACCTGCTTGCCACGTCCACATGCAGCACAGGATGATTTTTAGTTATAGTCTTTTTAAAATGTATAATTTTCATGTTTTTGGTAAGCAGCGTCCCAATGCAAGCATGCAAAAATCTGCAGTTCCTTGAGTGTCCACTTGAGGTTGGCTGCAAAAGCCAAGGTCTCCTCATTAGGTCCCATATCCTTAGGCCCATTGTTTTAGCAGAAAGAAACATGTTTACAGCCTGGTTAAAAAAACTCATCTTTATTGATTTTATTAAGTCTCATAAATGTTCAGAATTTGTGGCATGGCTGGGCTGATGAAACAAGTTGGCATGTTGCAGCTATATACCAGGAGGCTTAAGGTCTAAGGTTAAGAGTTGTGCACATGTTTGCATAATTGGGGGCGTGGCTGATTTGACCAGCCTCAACATTATCTCTTCTTCTCTTACTAGGTTTATCAAAGTAAGCATTACCAATATGGCATCCACCGTCATTCAGCTTCAAACAGCCTCTTTAAAAACAAAATGGGTGACGTCGTTAAGATGCCGTCCATTTTTTATACAGTCTGTGATTCAACTACAGTTTTCTTCATCCACATATCAAAGGTTTTTTTTTTGAGTCAGCTGTGGTTTAGATAAAACATGTCAGTAGTTTTTACTTGTAAAGTTTGTGTAAAAAAAAAGAGCTACCTGTAACTGCTTTACTCAGTATGTTCTTATTCTTTCCAATCGTCTTCCATTGTAGCAACCACAATGCACTCTACTTGAAATATGAATATGTCTTGGTGTTATCTTTATGAAGTTTTAGGAAGGCTTTCCCAATAAAGTTATTATGAGTTCGGAGAAGAGTAAAGAGCCTCATTAAGAGCTTTAGAAAATCTTTCATTCACTGTGTTGCTGAAGTGAGAAAATGGAAAACACATATGTTGCTGATGAGTGGCTGTAGAGAGCGGACGAGATGGCAGAGAAAGGGTCGGACAGTTTGCTCCTGCAGGATCCTTGGTAGGTCCGATCCAGCCGTCTATTCAAACATCTCATGAAAGGAGCTCGCTGTCCTTGTAATGAGTGCTGAATTGATCCACAGCTCACTCGTAATTGTGAGGTATAGGCTGTGCTTGGAAATAGCTTCCCATCAGCCTCGTCTACCCGGCATCTCTTAAGGTATTATTATTTTCCATGAGCAGAAGATTAAGATGTTATATGAGCTTTGTGGTTTGTGGGTCCATGGACCTTCTCGGCTGGTTTTGTTATGTGTTGTTAGTTTGTTCAGTGGAGGTCAAGGAGGTCAGACACGTCATCGTGGGGCAGAACGTGGAGGATACTGTCCTTCTAGATTTCAGTGCACATGTGTTCAAACTCCAGCCATTCACATGGTTGTTTGATTTTCTTCCAATCTCTATTTTTTTCTGGGTTTCTTTCCTTCCAGCTTTTGTAAAAGTGGTTAATTGTTTAAATAATTAATATGGCTGCCAGCGTTAATGTACTAATCAAAGTTAAAGTTTATTCTCTTTAAATCACATTTATCACGTAAAGGCGCACTGTACTAAAGGTCAACCACCACAGCTTCTCTCTGTAGTCACAGTGATGGAAAGGAACGACACCACTGCGCCTTTGAACATGTCACTTTCACTTAAAAACAAACAAACTCCAAGACGAGTCGAAAGTAATATCCACCTCCTTACATCAAACATTTCACTTTGTGACCGTTCCTTTTAGCATTTTTCATTGACTTATCGAATCTTTAAAGAATTCCTGTTTCTGCGGTTAAGTTGATGTTTCAACCTTCATTTTACCGGGAGTTCATTATTTTCAAAATAAAAGCAGGTCTGTATCCAGACAGGAAGTGAAGTTTCCTCAGCTTGAGACAGAAATAGTGGAATTTCAAACATGAACATTTGTGATTAATGAGGATTAACTACAGAAATTCAGCCATGAATCACTAATTAACAAATGCATCATGCTGAGTATTGACAGGAAGGTTAAACAGGTGACGTAAACTAATTTCAGCCTTTTCTTTTACAATAAATGCTAAGTGTGACTTATCATCCCTAAAAGGCTGCTATTTCTCTTCTATATGACTTTTTACTTTATTTGAAAATATGGCTTGGCGTCACCAAATGGCTTACATCCAGATCGAACCATTTTCATAATAAACACAAACAATTTTAAATCCTCCTATTTCATTATTTGGTTTGACCCTGGTCAATGAACTCTGGGACTATGATTGCCATTTTCAAGTGTTTTTCCCTCCATCTATTGCTGATTATTTCATTCAGCATGGACTTAGTTGATCATCATTGCAACAAAAACTGAAGGTCACAGCGAAAGGAATTCACCTTCGACTCTCCCTCTTCTCTCTTTCTCTCTTTCTTTTCTGAACCAGCTACATAGAGAACCAAGCGGGCCTGGAGAACATAACAGAGATCGATCTCATAAACTACAGAGAGCTGAAGAACCTGTAAGTCATGTTTTTCTCATACTACAACGTAGCTACTGTAAGACAACGACAAATGTTCAACCAATTATTACTCCTTATATCAGGCAAACATGTTATTGTTCTGTTACACTGTTAACGGTAAAGTTCGTTTAAGAAATTCTCAGTTTAATATTCTGTATAAATAAGAGTTTAAATTCAGTTTATAAGCCACAACTTTGCAACACAAATTGGATAATGGTCTTGAGCTTGTAGAGCGCTTTTCTAGTCTTCTGACTGCTCAAAGCTCTTTTACACCACAGGTCACACCTACACATTCACACGCTGATGGTAGAGGCTGCTGTGTAAAGTGATCATCAGAAGTAACTAATCCCATTCATACACATTCATACACCGCTGATGAAGCAGCAGGAGCAACTTGGGGTTAAGCGTCTAGCCCAAGGACACGTCGGACATGTTGCTGCAGGGGCTGGTGATCGAACCACCGACCTTCTGATCGACTCTACTAACTGAGACCACAGCTGCCCGAGGGAGCTGATGGCCTAGCTGTTAGGTTGCACCCCATACACCAAGGCTACAGTCCTCCAAGCCACACTGACTGCAGGGTACACACCGACTCCCCACCCAGAAACGTTCCAAGTCAACCCAAAAAAAAGCAAAACATGAAAATCCAACCTCACATGGAGGCCCATAACTGATGATTGAGCGGCAATACATTTGTATAAGTCTATATTTTATTTTTTAAGGTTAAAGCAACTGATTCTACCTTTTAAAAAAGTAAACGTAGATTATTTTCAAAGACACTTATCAGGTTGAAGATGAAGATAACACTGAACTGACTTTTATTCCTGTCACATTAACTCCTAACTTCATGCCCCTGTGTTTTTGTTCTGATGTTTTATTGTGCTTCCTCCGCTCCCTCTTCAGCACGGTCACGTCATGTAAGCTGAGGCTCATCTCCGCCAATGCCTTCCAACACAACCTCAAGCTGCAATATGTGTAAGTGTCCTTGTCGATACAAAAGGATTGTCTTGCCTCGTGTCATGTTTTGACCTGTGTGTGGGTCAACCTATTTGTCTGTGTCACTCAGGGCTCAGATGGCCTATTTACCACTGCACATGTCACACATGAAGGTAGAGCTTCATTTCTCAAACATTACAGTGACTCACTCACCCCTCGTTCGAGTAGGTTATAACTCATCCACACATCCGGTAAATATGTGAGCTCATTTGAGATAATGGAAGAATAAATGACCTTCATTACACCGTCTCTCAAGGTGAGGTAAAGCTGTTAGAAATATGCAGTTGCTTTGGACCCCAGTTTTAACCACGGGCTTCACCGAAGTACTAAGCAGTGGTTCCCAACTGGTGGGTCGGGACCCAGAGACGGGTCGCGGAGCCATTTTCAGTGGGTCAACCAACTTACATGCGCTTACGTATTTGTTTTGTTCAGTTTCTTGCGCCTGTCACATGTGTACCGACTGAAGATGACACAAAGCCACACTGGGGAGCGAATGCATGGAAGCCAATACATATTCCAACTGGCAGGGCCAAGGGTTCAATTATTTGTTTTCCTTGCTCACAAAAGTTCATGTCAGATGGGTTAGCCATTGGGGCTTATCCATTACCAGCTCGATTCCTGCTCAGGTCCACAAGGGGGAGGGGGGCGGGAGAGGTGGGGGGAATCAGGGACAGCATCTTTTAACTGAACGTAATTTTGTAATTTCAAGATTAGTGCAGTTATACTGTATCAATAAAGGGATCATTTGTTTAAGCTTTAAATTAATCAAATTCTGACATTCCAAAAACAAGTTTTATCTCCCTTTTTCCTGCAATACAAACGTAATAAAACGTCAAAATATGCTGTTGTGTGATAGATAGATAGATAGATAGATAGATAGATAGATAGATAGATAGATAGATAGATACTTTATTGATCTCGAGGGAAATTCAAAGCATCCAGTAGCAGGTTACAAAGACGTACATGACATGAAACATTTGTTACAAACCTACTATGGAAAAAGTTCTCCCTTTATTATCCACTTTGTTTTACTATTTAAAATGTAAACAAATATTTAAAGCTTTGGTGTTTCATTTGTCTAAAAAACGGTTTCATTTTAGAATCCAGGCCCAACAATGAAAAACGTTCTCTTAAGACTGATTGACTGGAGGCTTTAAATCTGTCTAGTCAACAGCAGCAGACCTTTATCGCAACCATCTTGTCCTCATCGTTTTACTGAGCGTGTGCGACATGTCCGATGTTGTTTATCTGAGAGACAGGAGGCGGCTTTTGAGGACCAGAGTTTCGTGGTTGTAGGCGGGGTGAGCTCGAGAAATTGGAGAAGACATCCACCAGTCACCTTTTACTCGCTCACTTTGGCGGATTATCGACAACTGATGCATAATAAATACACTCCACTAAGGGTCCATTATCACTTAATCAATACTTCACTGTGGAGGGAGAGGGTGGGCTAGGCTTTTGGGGTGGGGGGGGGGGGGGGGCAGGGGGAGGTCTGATGTGACAGATGTGTTTCTAAGATGAAGAAGGACAGAATATAATCAAACTAGACAGGGGACCCCACTTTTCTCCATTTGCCATTTTCTTTACCCACAATCCTCCCTGAAACGAATCGTCTTTACAAAATTACTTTCAGTCTAAAGACGGCAAACAGAAAATGAGCGGCTGTCCCTGATTCTCCTCTCCTCTTCTCTCCCGCCCCCCTCCCCTTGTGGACCTGAGCAGGAATCGAGCTGGTAATGGATAAGCCCCAATGGCTAACCCATCTGACATGAACTTTTGGGAGCAAGGAAAACAAATAATTGAACCCTTGGCCCTGCCAGAGTGAATATGTATTGGCTTCCATGCATTCGCTCCCCAGTGTGGCTTTGTGTCATCTTCTGAGGGAGGTTTTTATTTACAGTCTGGTTTCTTGGCTGTCTTTGGATCATTTGAGAACCCCTGTGATGATATATTATCAGCCTGAGAGGATTGACAAAAGGATATGCAGCATTCATCAATCACAGGATTTTGAAGGCTTGGCATTTATAATTTTTAGATGTAGGATTATGTTGTTTAAAATGTTAGATTTACCTATTTTTTTAATATTAAGGGTTGCTGCATTTCTAGTTGCCTCTGAAGGCTCAGGTTAGGCACACATGTTCTTTAAGCTAAATGCTAATGGCATGCTTCCATGTTCATAATAATAATTGATTGCAAGTTTGATTGCATTTAATCCAAAATTTGTTGAGATAATTAATATAAAACCTGTAAAACATAAAGAGCCTGTGTCCGCTAACGTTGTTTTTTTGCGCTGGGGGGCGCCCACAACCTCTGCTTCAGAGCGTTTCTCACCTGCTTGCTGTTGCTAGGTTACCAAAGTGTATTTCAAGTGTATTTCCTTTATTCAAGAAAATACAACCAAGAAAACGTGTAAACAATGTAAAGGATTGTGTAATCCTGTTCTGGCTTTAGCAGCAGCTTTAGACCTTGAGATCGATACCATCGAGAAAGACCAGTCAGATTCATTTATCTTCCACAATAATTGTTGGCAAAGCTGTTATCAGAAGTTTTTTGATTCTGATTGTTTCCAGTGGGTTGTTTGCCAGAAGGCCAAACATTGCCTCTTGTTTTTTTTTTTTTTTAGAAGAACTCCTCTCTTCATGAAGACAGAAAATTAAGACTTTTCTCCTTAGATGAAACTCTGAGTTTTTCAGTCTGTGAAGCTGAGCAGCGTCCTTCATGAGAACTGTTTGTGTCTCTGGACTAATCACCTAATGTACTGAACACTACGCGAACAGAGAGAGAGAGAGAGAGAGAGAGAGAGAGAGAGAGAGAGAGAGAGAGAGAGAGAGAGAGAGAGAGAGAGGTGTGCTGGAGCCGTTTGTGAATGCTGCTCCTGCCTGGTGAGAAATACTTGCCAGGTAATTGATCAGAACCCATTTGGATGCATTAACGTTTTCCACCGAGAGTAATTCAAAGCAGGTAAGCAGTGCTCCGAAAGTGAGCAATCAAAACCGCAGTGTGACTCAACGGCACAACAGGACGAGATTACAACAATGAAAAGAACATTTTTACTTAGGTTTTTCTTCCATTTAGGCTGCCAATAGTTTTATATTTTATCATGTAAGCTATATCATCGGTCTTAAAGGAACATATGAGGAGATGTTGGATTGCAAAAGTCATATACTCACATTACAAAGGCTTTAAAAAAACTATTTGTGCATAGTGTTGTAGTCAAGACCACAGTAATGGAGACCAAGACATACCCGAGACCAGACCAAGATATTTAGGGATCAAGACCGAGTCAAGCCCAAGACCAAGACCAAGACAGGGCGACACTAAGACAAGACCAAGACCATAAATATCTTGCATGGGGCGTGTCACTCACTGTAACGCTGGCAAGGTTGCAGCCATAAACAGGGGATAAAAATCTAACCACAAATGAACTAAAGTTGTTTGTTGTTTTAGAAAGAGACATTTTCCTTCTAATCACAGTAATGATGTGGACAAATAGTCTTTCAGTGGTGGTTTTGATCAGGCTTGATATCAAGTTGAGTACGCCCAGTCTGAGATCGAGACAAGTAAGAGTAAAAATGCTTTCAGTTCCGAGTAAACAGTAGATCAAGTACTTCAAAAAGTGGACTCGAGACTGGTCTTGAGACCGTTTGAGAACAAGACCGAGTTGTACAACACTAGCATCTAATACAGTAAAGATAATCAAATGTTGTTAATGTTTCTTTTTCTCTTCTTTCTGCCTCGTAGGAACCTGGCATCCAACTTCCTCGAACACATCTCCTGGAGGGTGTTTCATATTCTCCCGCTGCTCAACCTGTTAAGTGACTTCACATTCATAATGAGACCACTCTCAATCACTCAAATATGTTTTCTAATACCCAGGAGGTCAAGTTGGCTTTAAAAGAGGAAATAATCTGACTGATTGGGCTCCACGGCGACAGAAGGGGCACAAAAAGCACCTCAATCTGCCACTGCCTGTGACCAGCTCACTTGTTCAGTATCAGTGGTAATATCGGTACATTTAGTAGCCTCAGTCTTGATTCAAAGTTGTCTGTTGCCAACAATATTTTTAGGAACTCGACCTTTCATTTGTCAAACATTTGGACACTGTAAGATTTGCATTTATGGATGATATGAAATTCTTTCAAATGAAGATGTCAAATGTATCAGCTGGTTCTTGCTGCCAATTTATCAAATATGCTCGGTCAGAGGTCAAAGGCTTCAAACTGGGTTCCCTTTTAGCAACATACTGGATATTCTTTACTTCATAATGTTTCAATAAAATCCATAAAACTAAGGTCAAATACAAGAAAGGCATCCCTGGATTTTGTCTGATACATGACTTTCACCCAAGTGAAAACAAAGCTCTAGACTGCCTCTTTATAAGAATGAGACGGAAAAATGTTGTCCATAACTTTACACTCTTCAATTTTCACTTCCCAAATCTGGTAGTTTTGGTGTTGAACTCTGACTAGACTGCGGCCAAATTGATGGACAAGCGTTCTAAAATATGTAATATTTTTCATGGAGCTTTTGAGAGTTTAAACATGACCCATATTTATTGTTGGACACTGGTACCTTGCAGATGCAAATCCAACATTAGAGGTGTACCTGCAGCGTCGTAGTTTAAAGTATAGAGCCACGCCTCAGTATTTGATTAGTTAAAAGATTAGTCAATTTGGTATTAAATTGAATACATAATCTGAAAAATGACTTCTGCTTGTTGTTTTTCCTGCTATTGAAGAGACTGGAGGGGGGGGGGTGAGGGGGTGAGGATATTGTAATGTTTAAAAGGCAACTAATGGTGTTTTCACACATGCACAGAGCTTCAGAAAATGATATTTAGGGGGTTAGCTGCATGTGTGAACGCAAGCAGTCGAATTTTATACCCCGACTTTAGCCTAACATTGGCTGGCAGGGCAGAACACAGCTGGCAGCATTGAGGAAAACTTGTGAGAAATGTGAGATTCTCTTTTCTGTTCACTGGTTTGTTCTTTTCAAATCGTTTATTGTTGATTAACTTCTTGTGGATTCACTTTTCTTTACCATGTGTGGAAACTGTCTATGTTACCAGTCAGGGGAGAGCTGATGTTCCTCTCTTTCTCTCTTCAGGGTTTTGAGGGACAACCCTCTCGTTTGCTCGTGTGACCTTCACTGGCTCCAGGAGTGGCAGCGTAGTAAACGCGGTGACGTGGATACTCAGATGTTGTCTTGTTTCTCCAACGAATTGGAAGTACCACTCAACTCTTTGGTGATAGAAAACTGCAGTGAGTTGGCCTTTTGTTTTGATATCTGTATAATGCACTGTATAATACTCGCACATATAGCTGTGCAAAGCATTCAAAATATGATCAAATCTAATGACAAAATATTTCTGCTTATTGTTACTTTACTCCGATGTTTAACCTTCATTTTGTCACTTTAAAGTTGTTTTCAAAGCCTCTGCTAAATGAGATATGAAAATGTTTTATCCAATCTGCTGGAAAAGGAAATAGAAAAACATTCTTAAAAGCTTTCAATAAAGCTTAAAAAAAGCAGCTGCAGAGAAAGGCAGGGAAGAAATCCGCTCAGCATTGTTGCTTTAATCACATACAGTAGGAACATGTTGGAACATCTTGTTGCCAGGAAACATATGAGAGACCTGGGGCGCTGTTTCTTAGAACCACTCGTACTACTAATAAAAAAAAAAAATAGTAGTATTAGTGTTACCATCAAATCAGTGACCTGAGCTCTATGCTGTCTCCTCTGCTGCTCTCAGGTCTGCCCGAGGTGAAGATTTACTCCAGATCCAAAGACAAGATTCAAGAAGGAGGAAACCTGACTTTTGAGTGTATCGTGACGGGAAGCCCAACTCCCAATGTGAGATGGAGAACCGAGAAACTCCGCTCCCGCTTCTTAACACAGGTAGAGTTAAAATTACAGTAAACGTTCATGACATTTAGATAATTAAAAGATAATGTTCTTTATTCTGTACGAAACAAAACTTGAGAATTGAAGGATATAGTTTGTTATATGTTGCACAGATTGTAAAGCCACATGGAGACACATTTGTGATGAGCATGCAGGTAAATTAAATTGACTACACACTTAAAACCCAGCTTGAACAAACGTTACATTTTTTTGCAAACCCAGGAGATTTGCTTTGTTTTCCTCTAAACTTGAAAAAAAAAAAAAAACATCCAACCTTTCATTCTCTGTACAAAATCTCTGAAAAACTAAAAATCTGCAGGTTAAAGTCGATATTTTCCTTAGCATCGAGGAAATCATCAACTTGCACTGTCAAAAAAATGAAAAATAAAACAAAAGCCAACCCTAGATTGCTTCTGCTGGTGAAGCTAAAATCCTGATTTATCTGATCTCACCTTGGATCTTAATTGTCATCCAAAATCTGAAGTCTTCAGCTGTAACAAATATAATTGCTTATTGCAGAGAGGGTCAGGCAGCCAGACGAACAAAACTCTTCAATGTCACAAAGAACTTGACGTTCAAAAAGAGGAAAAAAAAGCAAGGCCTACACAGTCATATCTGAAAAATGACAAGAGAATGAAAGAAATACAATTCGAACCTGCCTTCATTTCCTCTTGGCTGTCAAATTGAGTTTAAATTCTCATTTGTCCAACGGCTCTGTGCCTCTCTAACACATCACTGTGAAGTCTGAGATCCCTCTCCGTCCAGGATGTCATGTGTTGTGGACAGAATTTGCTCAATAGCCTCCCAAAAAAAAAAACATGAAACCCCCCTCGCTCTATTTGATCTCTCTTTATTGATGCTTTCAACTTGAAAATGCACTTTCACTCTCACTGGCTTTTAACAGTGTCTGAGTGTTGTTGCTCGTATAGCTGCATTTGTCCGAGGGCAAACCTCTACAGGGACTTTTTGTCTGTGTGTAGATTTTCAAAAAACTTTTATTTTAATTAACCTGTCCTTTTCTATTTGCTCTTCTTCCTGCACTCTAGCTGGGCTTTAAGCTGTATAAATAAAGTTCGGTGTTTGGATCTATTGATCTGTAGAATAGTAAATCTGATCTTATTTTCATCCTATAACCTGCAGATACCTGTAAGTGATCCATATGAAGCTGTGACAAATCTGCATTAACCTCCTTTTGCTCTTTGTGTGTGCTGTCTGCTACTGCAGGAGAGAGTCAACGGCTCCAAATTACATGTGGACCTCTTCCTCACCAACGTTTCCTCCAGCGACAACCTGCACAACCTTACCTGCGAGGCCGAGAACCAAGCCGGGCCAGGGGAGGATATGGAGCAATTGGACATTGAGTGTAAGTGTCTTCAAAAAACCCCCCAAAAAAACAACACACTCTTGAAAGCTCACAGGCTCAATACAAGTCGTCGGGGCTTAATGGAGGTTAGGGCGAGAGCACACCGGGGCCATTTCTCGAGTGCAGGCAGGGTGGACAGGCAGAGAAAAAGGAAAATGCACTGCACTGATTTCTTCTAAATGCCCCCTCTCCAAATACGAGCATGTACCCACCATGCTTCTAATGGAGCTCTTTGTCATCTGCCACTCAGTCTGGCGGCCGGTGAGAAGTGTTAAAATCACGAGTGAAGTGCTGCAGGTATGGCCCGCCATTAAACGCAGGGATACAATGAGGGGACAAAAAGAGAGAGCGAACTTTCCTCGCCTCGCTCTTAAAGAACTCCTTCACCTCATATACACTGCACTCCTGAATTACAGTTGCAGCTTGACCCTGGAGGTTTGCTGTTGTTGTCTCCTCTCGGATGCATTAGTGCATCGGGAGGCTGGCGCAAACCGAAAGAATGACAGCACCCAGCGGTCCCACAGAAAACGGAGTCAGATGCATTAGTGATACATTACTGAAGCGAAATACTGCTCAAACAATCTCATATATCAGCAACTCAGTGACACTCATTAGAAAATAAAGCCAAAAAGAGCAGGGCCGCCAATCAGCTGGAGCCAAATGCACAAGCATCAAGGGACAGATAATGAACGTTAGGAAAATGGGGCTGATAACCCGCGCGAAGATCTGATTTGAGCCTGTGCTAATGGACTTTTCCCTCCTACTCCGGAAAATCGCTTCATCCGCAGTGATTGGCAGTCTGTAAATGCGTTAGTGCAGCTAATCTATCAACATCAGCCCCCCTGGTGGACGGACACTCGTTAACCGCTAGCCCTTTAATTACTCTTAATTACCTCCCAGAACAGTGGGTGTTTACTGCTGAGTGGCTCTCTGTCCCATTGATTCATGGCACTCGTGTGGGTTCCCTCTCATAAAAGAGCCTTTCTACTTGGTGTTTTTTTTTTTTGCAAAGTCATTTTTTTCAATCTTTCGGGTTAAAAGGAAAATTAGTATCTTTATGAATACCCATCATAAAAGACATTAACATTTTGCATTGAAGCCAGGTATCATTTTGTGAATATGCTTTTTTTCCTTTTTTCCAAAATGTTTTTTGTCTGCCGTGAGGTCTAAAAAACTAGCCGGCTCATTAAACATAATTCCAGCCTTCCTTTTAAACCCTGCAGAGATAAAGCTTGTGTAAGATTAGTGGGGGCTGTTAATGGATAATTAGTTAAATGTGATAAACAGCACTTATTTTCACTCAGTGTAACAGACTTCAGCAAGGCGAGACAAATGCCTCGGTATCCCCCTTAGCGCAGCACTTTGTGAGGCTGGGTCATGGGTTAAGAGCAGCGCGAGGGGTCTCTGCTCTGTTCGATCTAGACGAGGCCATTTCCTGTTACTCGATGTCCGGAGGAGCTTCCAGGTAGCTTTTTGTGGTCGGGGGCACGAGGACGACCAGGATTCATTATTCATAGCAGGTCAGCACAGGTTTGCAGTACAGATGGAGAACATTGATTCATGGAAACTCAGAGGGAACCTATTGGAAACTTCACCAAGCGTTACACATGATCAAGGTGCACATTCAGCATGTAATCGTAGCATTTAATGTAGACGTTTAGGGGAATGTGTATGTGCCCAATGGATCCAATATCTTCTTTACACAGGGGCGCGTCCAGACACTTTTTTACTGGGGTGGCCCAACTGGGGTAACCTTCCATCCATCCATTATCTATATCGCTTTTCCCGTTGGGGCCACGGGGGGCTACAGCTGATCCCAGCTGTCATTGGGCAAGAGGCGGGCTTACACCCTGGACTGGTCGCCAGTCAATCACAGGGCCAAAGTAACGGTGGCAAGGAAAAACTTCCTTTTAACAGGCAGACCCGTTGAGCGGACTCAGACTCTACTGCGACTATGTTGGGTTTGGAAAGAGATGCAGAATGAGAGAGACAAAGGAAAACCAACAGAGCGACAACAATAACATGAACAATAATGCAAACAGCAGCTAATACAGATTTATGCCCCCCCCTCACTCTGACATCTCTCCGTTAGTGCATGTCCATAGGATCCTGTTTGTGCATGTGTGTGTATTTCAGCCTATGTGTGTGAAGCATGTCTCAATAACAGAGTGTAAAACTGAATTTCCCCCCTCACAGGATTGATAAAGTATATCTTATACCTGTCAAAGTCAACACCCCTTAACCCTCAAATCTCTCTTCTTCCTGCAGTTCCAGTCAAAATCCTCTTCCTGTGGGATGCTGTGCAGCAGCATCACTGGTGTTTTCCCTTTGCAGTGGATGGCAACCCTGAACCGACCATCATGTGGCTCTGGAACGGCAAAAAACTAAAGGAGAGCATTTACATGTACACTCAGCTCATCCCGGACACAGCTGACGGATCAGTGAAGCACGGTTGTCTCTTCCTCAACAAGCCCACACACTTCAACAACGGCAAATACACTCTAATCGTGGAGAACAAACTGGGACGGGCGGAGGCCACAGCCAATGGGATGTTTATGATCAACCCCTTCGAAGATCCTGAGGGGATAATTCCAGGTGAGTTTCTGAGATTCTGTTGTTGTGGAGTTAGGCTGCAGAGAAAATCACTCCCATGATTCCTCGCCAGCCTCAAGGTCATATTTTCTGATAGATTTGATTGAGAGCCCCCTGGTGGCTGAATTTATATATGGTGTGTTTAAAAAAAAAATCGCTAGATATAGAAACATTACAGTGAAATCACTGTAGCATACTTAGTATTCATTCAGACTTAATCAGCTCAAAGTTTACTTTTGAAAAAGTCTTTGTGTGAATGTCTGATGAGTCAATAAACGGTCAGAACATCCTTGAGTATAGCACAGATTACAGATTGTGTTTTTTCTTTCCTCCCATATGCCAGTCCCTGACGTTGTTCCAAGTAAGTCTTTGAACGATTTTTACTTCACTTAAAATCTCAGCATGGCTTCTAAACACTTCGTGGTCTGTGTATGTTTTCTTTAACGTATGTAATTTCTGCGTCTCAGTTCCAACAAACAAATCAAACATGGACGTGACAGAGAACCCCGAGAGTCGAGTGTTTGTGGTACGTTTGCATGTCATTCCCAGTACAAATTTAATAACCAATAATGTCAGTAAGATAATTTGAAATGTTTTTTTTCTACTTTGAACAGGTATCTGTTGCTGTGGGTCTCGCTGTGTTTGCCTGCACTTTCCTCCTCATCATGATTCTGGTGATTAACAAGTGTGGCCAGAATACGAAGTTTGGTATTCACCGTAAGTCAGTTCACACTCTCTGAATTAGTGCATGGATAATAAAGCTGTGAGAGACATATTATGAAGTTTTGGATGTATGCTAAGCTTTGTTGAAGTTACCTAGGAGGATATATACCCCTATCTTGTGTGGATGTTAAATATTGAGGCCAATAACTTAGCTCAGCAAAGCAGATTGCAAACAGCTTTTTTTTTTCCTTAACTGAGACTTGCAGGGTGCTGTCTCCAGATAACACGTGTTATGAATTGGCATATACAAATAATGATTGGTTGAGTGATGATTAGTTTCTGATACAATTTTTTCCCCCTAAAACGATGTCCGTTATGTCCCCTCAATTACGGATTAATTAAGTGTTGAAACTTTTTCAGTTTTTCAGATTCTCTTTGTCCATGTTTTGAAAACCTGCAACAATGCAGTAAGACCGTGAAACAGAAGTTTGGCTTGAAAGTGACCTCAGAGGAAATTATTCACCGTTTGAAAATGGGGAATTTGCCAGAAATACAATTTGGTTTTCCATGTCATTCAGATAATTCAACTTCCGTTTGTCTCTGATTTATCGCTGTGCATCCGTGAATAAAGCCAAGCAGATGACATTTCCCTCTCAATTTGGATACTTCCGTTAGAACAGGTAAATGTAGTACATCGCGTCAGCCATCGAAAAAGGCTTTTGTGTACTTACCAAAAAACAGACGATCACATTTGACATTTCTTCTTCTTATTTTAAATAGTGAATTTCAACCATGCGGAAGATTATCACAGGCATTATATGTTTAAATGCTTCACATCATATCTTAAATGTCAGTGTGAAGGCATTTATGTACACAAAATGGCAAGTACAAGTGCGGAAGACTCAACGACCGCCTCAGCCCCGAACGGCTGACAGACAAGAGAAGTGGAAGAAGCCATAATCAAAGGTTCTGCCAAGTTATTCTTTCAAGTCTCAGAAGGTTCTGTCAGACTTCCGGAAAGTAATGCACATGAGGGACTCAGTAATATAGGACTTCCACCGAGCTGTAAGTTTGCACACAGGCAGCCGCTGTGCCTTAATTACTGAGGAGAATGGCGGTAGAAACCTCCCTTGGCCTTCACCACATGGTAAAGGCCATTAAAGAAGATGGATGGATGGATGGATGGAGGAACAGCTAGACGTGGTATAGCTTCGCTCAGAGTCCCCCCCACCCCACCCCACCCCGCCCCCCACCCAACACACACGCGTACACACTCATCTGCCCTTCTCACTCTCAAAGTGCCTAAGTGGGCCTGATTGCCTAAGTGGACCCTGCTCCCTTTTTCCTTCCCTCCATCGCGCTCTCTTTGTTGTTCCATTTTCCACCGTGTTGGACTCTGGGGGTTCTGTGGTTTGCCTTGCTGAGTGGGGTTTTACAATTTGGGCCCCGCTTGTTTGGCCTTTAATACGCACCATAGTCAGCGGTGGCAAACCATTCTTCCTCCAAGTTTCATTTTTCTGTTCATTGAGGCCTGATTGCTGCGTGGTTGATGATGGTGATTATTAGAGCTTGTCATCATCTGTCACCATGGCACCAACAAATGTGCAGCCGAGTTTGCAGCGGAGAACAACGATTTATTGGGGGGAAAAATGGGTTCTGAATTGCTTCTGTTGATGGCCGCTGCAATCACAACTGTTTGGAGGCTGATTAGGTGTTGCATATCTCACACTTTGGCTTGTTTGTGTCCCTTCACTTTTCATTAGGTTCATCAGTTTTGGGCACTGAGGACGACCTGGCTGTGTCGCTCCGTTTCATGAACTTTGGAACGAGTCCGCCCTCCTCAGATGAAGACTCTGGTTTATCCAGCTTTGTAGAGAATCCACAGTACTTCTGCGGCATCATCAAGGAGAAAGACATGTGTGAGTGCTGCTGCTGAACCTGTTTACACTCTGCTGGGGTGATGTGGTTTGCTACTAAATATACTCATCCTTAGTCCCCAAACTTTTATGAAATGTCAGTGGATTAAAGTTGGAGTTAGAATTTGGGAAAGGCATTTTTCTGGTCACTCAAGTCCATGTTTTTAACAGTCAAGTTTAACAATCTAGTAATCACAAAAGGCACAAAAAAAGGATTTTAAACAACAGAAACTACATAAAAGATATTTATAGCAAATATGATAAGAAGATACATGTAAGAAGACATTTCATTGAGTTTTCTTTTTGTATCTCATGTTCAGTTGTGCAGAATATCAAACGTCAGGACATTGTGTTGAAGTGGGAGCTGGGTGAAGGTGCGTTTGGCAAAGTCTACCTGGCAGAGTGTGCAAACCTGAGCCCAGACAGCGACAAGATGCTGGTGGCCATCAAGGTGAGTGAAATGACACCGCTAGCTTTCCCTGTTAATGTGGTTTTATCCCCACAAAACTTTTGGAGAGTTTTCACATATGCACTTCTGAAAATTATTCGAGAATTTCAGGGGGAATTTCTCTGAAATCCTCCTGAAATTCTGGTTGTTCACACATGCACCTCTCGGAGGGAGACTATCCCAGTCGGGCAGGAATGGGGCGGTGGGTTTCCTGTGGCTAGACATGACGTAAACAGAATGACTCAAAAGTGGTGGATGAAGAGACAGAGTCTGCTGTACATCACTATAAACAGAATATTTGCCTTTACATCAGTGCTATGTGTAGTTTAATTTGGTGCAGGTGAGACCTCACTGGTCACAGTCTATGGCCATGCAGACTTATCAGTAGCGGCTCTAGACCACTTTTACTGAGGGGGCCAAACTGGGGACAGTTTTTTTGTCAGAGGGGAACATTAAACCCAGGTGAAAAATAGACAAAGATGATCGCTTTAAAAATATATTATGCTAAATAATAGCGCACATCATTAAATTGTTTCAGTAACAGTATTTAATACTAGATTGTGAGTCCGGTTGTTGAGTCAAATACTGTGTATGTGTTATTAGGGGGGCTCTTCCTTTTGGAGGGGTGGCCACAGGCCACTCACCCCGGAAACTTCTGGAGCTTTTCAAGCAGTTTTGTGCAGGTCTGAACAAGGCTTTAGTGAAGCCATAATTTAAGCCGTAACTGCCAATTTGCTCATGTTCTGTGCGCGCTGAATTCAGTCAGCGTCACAGTTTGGTCATATTTCTGGAGAGTTAGCGCAGCCATCAGTGCTGTACACACGTGCCTTATTTGACTTAATGTTGATGAAGTGATGGAAAATCGAGTCCTTTTATTGTGTTTTATTTTGAAATTGACTGGACGATCTGTGCTTTTCCTTGTCCGACTTCCTGTCCGGGTTGATCTATTCTGTCCAGCTTGACGCGTGCTTGCAGCGAGCTCCATCCAAAAACAGACTGAAACAGAGCAGAGCGTAGTGGTGCTGCTGGCACACTGCGGAGATGAACCTCTGCGCTTGCTGTGGAAACAGGAGCATTGACTACAGTGTGTGGCGCTGACAGACTATGTAGAAATTGGCATTCAGTGTGGAGTGAGTTATAAGCCTCCTGCTGTGAGGTGCATGTGCAAGAAAATCAGGAAGATTTCAGGGGGCAGTCCCTGAAATCATCCCAGCTCAGGACCTTTGTTGCCCTATTTGAGTTTGAGCTCTCCGCTGATCCACTATCTTATTCAGATAAAAATATCCCAGTGGTAAATATGTCAATTTAAGCACTTGATACTTCACCAACAAGTGTCAAAGTAAGTACACTGCACTTATACTTAAGTCCTTTTTATACTGATACACCGTCCTGTGGTTTTAGAGTGAGAGGACTGCCAGGTGGTTTAATACTGAGCTCAGGCTACAGCAGGTTAATGTGAATAACCACAGTGAATAAAACAAGCTCATGAATCTGACTCTGCTCAGATTTATCATGCCATTAATCAGATGTATGCCTTAATTACAACACATCATCACTCATTGTTAGAAAAGGATTCCTGCCTCTCTAATAATACACACATATCCTCTATAACAGAATCTTTATTTGTATTTTTCTCGAACACAACTAATTTTCTTTTAATATCTTACTCATGGCTGCCTTAAATAATCTTGATTTAAGGTAATTATTTTGACTTTTGAGTAAAAAATGATCTTTTTGTCATTGCACACTTGCCTTGTGTGTCTCCAGACTCTAAAGGACGCCAACGAGTCGACCCGGCAGGACTTCCAGAGGGAGGCGGAGCTTCTGACGGTGCTTCAACACCAGCACATCGTGCGCTTCTACGGCGTCTGCACTGATGGAGAGCCGCTTGCCATGGTGTTTGAGTACATGAGGCACGGAGACCTCAACCGGTTTCTCAGGTATGAAGCAGATAAACTTCATGATGCGTTCAAGTCATGTGTTCAATTTTTTAAAACAGTGAATTTAACATAAATCCTGTGATGAATGAATAGTTCAGCAATACTGAAACCTGAAGTTTTTTAGTTTTTTAAAGATTTGTTTTGGGGCTTTTTGTGCCTTTATTGGAGGGATAGGACAGTGGATAGAATTGGGAATCAGAGGGAGAAAGAGAGTGGGGAATGACATGCAGGAAAGGAGCCACAGGTTGGATTTGAACCAATTAGAAAAACAAGACTATAATATAAAAAGACAAACAACTGTATAAATAATGTGACTCAGTTCAGTGACTGTGGTTTTCTCCTCTGCTCGACTGTGTGAATGTTTTTAGATGTTGAGACCTTCTAACACACTGTGGTAGTTGACCACAGATCTCTAAAGCCACACTGAGCTGCTGCAGTGACGTGGAAGTCAAACCTCATCTGTACTTAAAGGGTTAAACCCACTCGGCTGACCTCTGTGTCGTTCAGTGGTCGCTCAGCGTTTCTTTGATCTCTGTGTGTTTGAGAAGAATTGCACTGAGGTCTGTCTGCCATGTTGGTGATTAAAAGCAGATACATTACCCAGGAATTCATTTTCATTGTTACTGTGGTACAAAAAGAGGTTTTGATCGTGTTTTTTTTTAAAACAAAATCTTATCAAGGTGTAAATTCCATGCATGGTGACGACACTAGTAACATGTAAACACTCATCTCTTAGGAAAAGAAATGTAGTGTATAGGTAATCCACCTCTCCTGCAGGTGAATTTGTGACGATAATATTGGAAGCATTTGTACTCAACTGTACAATTCCTCTTTTCATTTCCTCCATGTCCGCACTTCAAGGTTCCTGAAGTCGTCTTTACGTAGCGTTAAGATTATCTGGTGTCCTGAAGTCATTTCAATCCGTCTAAAAATGTAACACTTGTGTCTACGAGACGAATATAAGGACAAACCTGCACTGTGTTTTTTTTATATATATATATATATATATATATCATTTAGTGGCTTTTTTTATGTCCGTCATTTCCGCCACTATTTCCTTTTTCTTTTCACAGCTGTGTCACAGTAAATAGATGCAACATGGAGAATTGTATAGAGGAACACTTTGCTTTGTTGAGAATGAGAGTATAAAACGACATGTCAAAGCTCAGGCTGAATGTATTATTACAAGATGTGCTCCTTTCAATAAAAGCAAACAGAGTTTAACTCAGTTTTTTTATTGAAAGATTGAATATGAATACGGATATGTCAAACAGACACCATACATGAATGGGCTCATAATAACAACTGGACTGAAACATGGGCGTAAATATACTTATTCTCAATAATTTAAATCAGAAAACAAGTTTAGAAACTGAAAATTGAGGGAGTGAGGGAGCTGGAGGAGTTATGAAGACCGGGAGTGTTGACCTATCAGAGCTCACTTGGCACCTGGAAAACCATCTGACAAACTCCCCGCCCCCTCCCCTGGCAGGAGATAGATTGGGGATGAAATCACACACATGCATGCAGCACACAAACTCTGCCTGAGATGTATGTTCACCAATGGATGGAAAATCGCATTTCCAGCAGACAGGACGGGGGAGAAACGTCCGACAGCCCCCACAATGCAGCTGCTTTCCCACCCTGCCACCTGCCTGATAAACTAATAGTGATTGCAGAGACAACTTCCTTTGTGAGGAGGGGACAAAGTGCAGAGGAGAGATATTAGGATGGATGGAGACACATCAGCTGTGATTTGCTCATTTAGGCCGCAGCAAGACGTGAGAGTGGGTGTTTATGATCCACGAGAACATCTGAGAGTCGATGAGCTCTGCATCTCCCAATCGCATTATTGCAAATCAATTGTAGGCGTATTACAAGCCTCATGTTTTCTATTCACCGTTAAATGGCTTTATTGTGGCGTGGTCAAGAGCTCATATACGTCAGAAATGTTCACTCTGCAGATTGCGTGCTGAGGTCATCATCCTTCAGGTCAACCAAGGTTGATGCCATAGTTACCAACATACCGAGAGCCAGATCGCAGAGTGCGTATTTTACCTGAACAGCTGATAGCAACGAAGATGAACAAGCAGAGGGCAGGATGTTCTGTTCCTTACAAAATGTGTAGTCGGAGGACAGCCGCCGTAACCCTTCACAGCGGTCAGGAATTCAGCTCCAGTGCAGGAAATAAAAAAACAATTTATTGTGCAGAGTGTAATCCACAAACATGGCTCGATATTAAACTTTAATGTTTCATCGTCCGATGGTTACAATTAGCAAAAACTAGCATGAAAAGTCAGACCACTTCAAACATGTTTGAATCAAAACGATTGAAACTGAAGAGAAATGTCACTTACTATTTTTATAAAAGCTGCGTCATCATCCAAAAGGAGTCCAAGAAATCTTTAAAAGCGACAGTATTACTTTTATAGATTTCAAGCTTCAAATACTTGGTAATACTTGAAACTAATCGTGCCCTACATGACGTTTTTCCACCTCCGAATCAGAATCAGAGTCAGCTTTATTGTCCCTTCACCCTGGCAACATGACATTTGTCCTTTGTAGTGAATAAAAAACAATAAGTACAAAGTACTGTAAACAAGGGGGGAAAAATAGAGGTGTATAAACTTTCAAAAGGGCAGCTGCGCAGATATGTTGTTTAAAAAGAACCAGGATGTAACGCATACAGCTATACAGTTTCATTAACTGCTAAAGACTCCACCACAGGAGCTTTAAGTTGGATTTTGAATTCATAATCTTTATTTCCATGCAACATTTATTTTTGACAAAAGTGTATTCGTTTTTTTCTCGCACTTAAAGGATCTAAACAGATCTTGCTACACTTTCTGGATGCTACATAACAATGTTGCACTTCAAAGCAGAAATACCATTTAGATCATCAAAGAGATGAATATAATCAAGCAGCCTTGATCTAAAACCCACACACATGTTCACTGCGTGTCACCCGTAGGGCTCACGGTCCTGACGCCCGTATCCTGGAGGAGACGAAGATGCCCCCGCTGGGTCAGCTCACTCTGCCTCAGATGCTGCAGATCGCAGCGCAGATCGCCTCGGGGATGGTCTACCTGGCATCGCTTCACTTCGTGCACCGTGACCTTGCTACGAGAAACTGTCTGGTGGGCGAGGGGCTGGTGGTCAAAATCGGCGACTTCGGCATGTCCAGAGACATCTACAGCACAGATTACTATCGGGTGAGTGGCGGCCGGAAAGTATGGGTTATGCTTTAACTTTAATTTTACTGAACATTTTTAAAGTTTAAAGGTTCACTGCAGCAAACTCACAAAAAAAACCCTGACCTTAAGAATAGCTGTGCTTTTTAATGTGCCCATGTTTGATGGTATTTTAATGGGAAATTTCTGCCACACAAATGGATGAGAATGTGTCTTTTTTGTTGTTGTGGTAAAAGCAATGAGTCCAGGGAAACCAGGGCTTTCTTTCATTTAGTGGAACTGCTTTCCACATAAATTACATTTTTTTATATTCTTTTTAAGTCTCATCATTGCTCCTAAATAATCCTTGAAAGTAGGAACCTTTTGCCGGATTTTGCCTCACACAGCTTCTTCAAAAAGGAAGTAGATCTGTTATTTATGTAGGCTGTGGACTTCTTTATTGTAGGTGCTACATCATCCTTTTGATGCACTTGATTCCATTTTTTCGACCATTGGGAAGTTAATCATCTCGGTTTTTGCACAGTTTGAGAGTTGAACTGATGAGGTTTGTCCTCCCCCTCAGAAGTTATGTTTTCCATGCACTCCACTCATTAAGGCCACATCGATGAAAAACTCTTAAGTGTATCCAAAACAGGCCAAGAAATTTAAATCAGTTGATTCTTCTGCATGAAGTCTATTACCTTCTCAAAGTGAATTAATAAACTCTGAGCTGAAGCACTTTAGGATGATAAAACTCATATTGTCAATATTGTCTGCTTGGTATTGATTTTGAGCTGCTCTTCAAGCTTGGCACTGGTAGTTCAAGGATGAACAGGAATAAGAATCTGTTTCAGATCCACTGTAAATGAGTCACTGGAAAAAAAAAAAAAACCTCACGTAGCAAAATCTTGACCTTAAATCTTTTTATTATGCAAGACTGCATTCATGCTTTACATTCAGCTGCAAGTCAAACTAAATCTAAGCTTTCAGTGCCTCGTCTTCACACACAGGTGGGTGGACGCACAATGCTGCCGATCCGCTGGATGCCACCAGAGAGCATCATGTACAGAAAGTTCACCACGGAGAGCGACATCTGGAGCTTCGGCGTGGTGCTGTGGGAGATCTTCACGTACGGCAAGCAGCCCTGGTACCAGCTGTCCAACAGTGAGGTGGGTTAGGACGGGACGTTGATCGGTAACACTTTATGATAACGGCACGCTATTACACAAAAAACAAGGATGACTGTGGCTTAGTGGTAGAGTCGGTCGTCTCTGTGGAGTTGCTCCCGCTGCGTGGGCGGCAGCGTATGAATGTATGAATGTGTAATACTGATGGACACTTTACATAGCAACCTCTGCCATCAGAGTATGAATGGGTGTGACCTGCTGTGTGAGTAGTCAGAAGACTTAAGCAGGCTAATCAGAAAGAGGTGATTTGTTCAGTTGTTGAGATATTATCGTTTTCTTTCTGAAAATCATTTCTGTGTCAAAAAACATATAAAACCTTGAAAACACTGTCACCAGTCTTCAGTAGGACAGTGGTTTCCTTTGGTCAAAACTGTTCCCCCTCAAAGCTCGGCAAATTAAACCCGAGCTTTCTGCATGTATCGTTGAGTAACGATCTTTCTGATAAAAGTTTGAAGTCAAACTCCCTTTGGGTTTGTTGTTCTCTGCTCTGTGTTCACACCATAGACCTTTTTGGCTGTGTTGTGTAAGTGACTTCCGGGGCTCTTGCAGCCAGCCTCAAGGGGACACTAGAAGAACTGCAAGATTTTACAAATCTGCATCATTCAGCTTGTTTAAGTTTCACTCAGAGACTAACACTTGTTTCATACATGTTTTTTTTTCCCACATTAAACCCTCCCTGTCAAACTGCTAACTCTGCCACCACACGCTCAGGGACGCTGTGAGTAGAGGCATGATGGCAGAGACTTTCCAAACTAATGGAAGACTTTTTTTTTTTTTTTTTTTAAATAAGGACCGAATCAACTTTGGGCTGCAAATCTGCATGGAGATCAGATCTACAAACGTCTGCACTCGTTTTGGAACAATAAGGGACGGGTGGGAGAGGAGGGGGGGACCATACGGCGAGGGAGTGTGTTTTAGTATAAGAGACAGGTGCTAAAGTGTGACATAGTTTCCTTGGTGGCACTTCAGAATCAGACAACACTTTGTTAGTCCCGGGCGAAATTCAGTCTTCAAACTTTCTAATAAACGACATGTTAAAGTATCCGAGTGGCTGTTGGATGTTTCATACACTTCAGTGAAACTAGACTGTTCTAACCCTTTCCCCGTCATTTTGTAAAAGCTGGCCTGAAATGTTTCAAATATCTTTAACTTGCAGAACAAAACATTGTCCTTGTTGTCGTAGATTCTTCAGAGCAGCATATGTTGCAGAAGTTTTTTTCCCTCCGCTCCGCACTCTTAAACGAATCAATACATTCATAGTAATTAAGGCCGGAGCAGTCTAGCCTTTGGAGCTCGAGCACCAAGAAGTGGGACTCCATTGTGACCACAGCGGTGCTATTAAAGGCCCAAACCCTCTCTCCTTTCAACAGAAGGGTAGATCACTTTTCTCACCCACTCAATTCTAATCTGATTGGCTCTCATTTTTACCCCGGGCCAACGAGCTTTAACTTCGTTAATCTAATCTGTCTCGGCCTGTGACGGACAGGTGAAATAATCATGTTGCCTAAACACTCAGTGGCAGAGATAAATCATCCCAAAATACTGACAGTGGCCATTTGAAGGCGACTAGTTTGAGTGTTTTAGCGTTTTAGCGTGAAGCCGCTCAGGAGTGACTGGACTCTTGTGTTCAGCGGAATCGAGCCAAGGTTAACAACGGGAAAGAGACTGAGTGAGTCACTCTTCAAAAGACGAGCGCGGTGAAATCCTCTCTCACCCTCGACAGTGATTTATTCACTGAGCAGCAGAGCGTGTAAACTCAGTCATAGTAAGCTCATTTAGATCTGAGCTGCTCTCATTGGTGCCCAGGGTCTCTGCTGAGCTGTCAGCCTGACAATAATGAGGTTGTTGTGAAGTTTTTAAATCAAATGTTTGTCCTTGATGCAGCATTTAGTTCTTTACAAAAATTTATCTGTAGACATGTTGGCTCACTCACTGAGAATGTTTTAATTTTGATCTTATTTGCGAAGGATCTGGACATTAACATTTCTTTGGCAATTTTTTTGAAAGCTTTCGACCTTGAAAAAACTTTATGAAATATCTAGCAGCATCTCTCTCCTGCAAAAATGTTTTTAAATGTAAGCCCTGAAAACCACATGATGCAATCTAGGGTTGGAGAAAAGTCGCTATCAAGCGGGTTGTTTTGTTGAAAACGCCAAAAGTAATAAATCAATAGAACAAAAAACACTAACTTGAAACACTAAGCAACAAAGATGCAGCCATTGTGAAATTCAGGGCCAATAATAAAAATATGTATTAAGATTTAAGTCTTTATTGTAGAAACGGGACAGTGGATAGAGTCAGAAATCATGGAGCGAGAGAGAGAGAGAGATAGAGAGGGAGAGAGGGAGCCACAGGTCGGATATGAACCCGGGCCGCCCACTTGGAGGACTACAGCCTCCGTACAAGGGACACATGCACTTACCACAAGGCTAATTTTTGAAACAACAAATAACTGATACCGATGTTTTAGTCTGAAGTTTTGTAATATTGTGGAGTTTTTATGGATAGACACTCAATGTACACCACTAATATATTATTTTACACGCCCTCCCCAACAGGCCATTGAATGCATCACGCAGGGTCGGGAACTGGAGAGGCCTCGAACCTGTCCTAAAGAGGTGTACATGCTGATGCAGGGCTGCTGGCAGAGAGAGCCTCAGCAGAGGATGGTCATCAAGGACATCCACAGCCGCCTGCTGGCTCTGGTCAAGAACCCGCCGGTTTACCTGGACATCCTGGGCTAACGGAGCCCAGAGCAGACCAGGGAGCAGAGTCCAGAGGTTGGGGAGGTCGAGGTTTTCATTTGAGACTTAACATTTATTGTCTTTTATTCAGTTTCTCCGATCACAGCTTATTCATTCAAACGGGTTCCTCTTGGTTTTAGTTCAGTGTGTCCCAAGTTTTCCCATTTACTGATTTCACAGCAGTTTTGCCTCATATCCCAACTCGTCCCCCGACCCCTGATTTCTGCCCCGTCGCCCTCTGGAAACCTGTCAAATGTTTACCAAAGTGTTTCATGTTTATCTGCAGTGAAGAAAGACATGCATGGATCAGAAATAACTGTATATGGGCTTCAGGTAGCTTGGAGTGAGATGGACTATCATGTCCCTGTGAAGGTTTATGATGTTCATTTTATACGACTCAACAGCCGACACACGTGTTGAGAGGAAATGAGAAAATGTAACAGGTGATTACAAGAGAGGAATCTTCATATCATGAGTCAAAAGTGGAACATTTTCCAGATTTGGGTACGTCAGACCGTCATTTGTACAGTGAAATCAATGATTTTGGGTACGTTTTGATAAGGGAGGTAATTTAAAGGCTTTTACTGAATGTATATAAGATATCAAAGTTGTACAATCAAACCTGGGAAAGCTTGTTTGTTTCTGACGCCTGTATCATATGAGTATTTTTCAAAAGCAAGAACCAAATGTCACATATTAGCAGTGAAAGTGAGCGTTTACATTTAATTCTGCTCTTGCTGTCGAATATGAAGAAGAAAGAAAAAAAAAAAACCATATGTCCAAAGAACAAATGTTTGACCTGTGACCTGCCCGCGACACTCAGGATGTTTAACATGCGGCCTTCACAATCAAAGCCCTGCAGTGAAATACAGTCAGGGGGCAAGATGGTGGGGAGGTGCCTCTGTGGGATGTTTTTAGAGGCAACAGATGGATTCAAGTGGATGAAACTCCAGGAGGACGGGGACAGATGGAGCTGAAACTGAGACAGGAGAGGCCACCACCGTGAAGAGTTTTAAGGGTTTAAAGAAAATCATCCTGATGCCTAATATGTGTAAATGGTATATGTACATACTCCGTATTAATGTCTAAAAAGTATATATCTTCATGTATTGTTACTCCAGCACTTTGTATATTGTCTGCCTTTATGAAATAAACAGTCTTGATTAGAAAAAAAAAAAAGAAGAAGCAGGAACATCCCTCTGCATCAGTCAATCCGTCATTATCGCGCGCTTCAGAGCGAACAATGATTCGGCCGCCGCCTGTACTTAAAGTTAGACATCTTAACAAGGCTATTCAAGAGCCTTCTATTATTTTGACGCACTAATCAGCAACCTGCGCCGTCTCCACGGGATGCTCTGGAGACGGTTATTGAAAAGGAATAATCAAGTTTCATATTGCCTTACCGCCGGCCCCCTCCAGCAAACAAACACCCTCTAAAACCAGATTTCTCTCAGTCTCTCTCTCTCTCTCTCTCTCTCTCTCTCTCTCTTTTCTCTCTCGGCCTCCACCCTCCCTGCCTCCACCTCTCTGTATGCAGAGCGTCTCCAGGGAGTGGTAATGGATTGTGAGTAATGCTATCATCCCTTTTCTCTGTCCCTCCACCTCCTCTGGTGTACCGGGGGGAGGGATGAAAACACTTGGAGGACTCGTGTCTGGCTCATTGTTTCTTCTAGTGTCTACAAGCAGATTCGGGGGGCCAGATAGGATTAGTACACTGTGTAGTGTTTGTCCCTGCTATCCTTCAGGGCTCCCATTTGTGGTTTTCAGAATGAGCCTTTTTTCATAATAAGCACTCGAGTCCCCAGCCTGGTTAGATATGGAATATGACTATAATAAGAGCTGGAAAATGAGGCCAAGGTTTTTTGGAACTCCTATAAGAGGTCTGCAGCAGGAAACTTTCCTTTTTAATCTTCCACCTCGTCCAATAATGCATGCATGCAGGGTATTGATTTCTTATGGTAATTATGTCTTCTATGGTAATGGCAGTGGCCGATTCATTTTTGGCCTGCGTCCACTGCTAATAATAAACCACTCTATGTGCTCTAATAAAGATCCTGTTAGGCAGCGGAGAAAATGGAGAAGAGAAGTCCTGCACAAAATGTTGAAACAGAGTTCAGTCAGAGTCCACAAAGACCGAATCCTCACAGAAATAAGAGAGTGATAGGGAGGAAACTTAAGATGAAGGCTGCTGTGTGTGTGTGCGTGTGTGTGTGTAGTTTTCATCATTTGAGCTCAGGTGTGTGCAGCCTGCAGCTTACAAGTTCAGATTTTACAAAGGCAACACTTCAAGAAGAACATTTTCAAGATATGAATTGGGGGGGGGGGGGGGGGCCTCGTATCCGTGGCGTTTGAAAGAAAAATGTTACCACACAAGAACTCTCACACCAGCAGTCGTCCCTTTATGAAGCGATCAATTGTTTTGGCTAATTTTCTGACCGCACCTCTTGTTCATTTGAATTTAAATGTTTGTGTTTAATAGGGATGACGCCATTCAACGTGCTTTCAACACAGAACATGAAGCTACAGACAGTTTATAGCTATTCCCAACTCTTGTCCCTCATTGGGCCTTAGTGTAAAGAGTGAAATAAATATACAACACTCATTAACATTAAACCACATTACACTATATGAGGATACATTGAAATACATTCTCCACAGTATGACAGGTCAGAAATTATATGAACCAATGTTAGAAATGTAGGATACAATCCAAACATGGGATCAGCTCTGGTTTGCTTTTAACCAGCATCTCACCTCTGTTGCAAACGATTCAAAAATCTATTTTCTCCACCTGCTGCTCACCAACAGTGTGACTTTCTGCTGATGAAGATGAGAACGTTTTAAAGCAGCACCTTGCAGCCCCCTTTTTTTCTTGTGCTAATACAATCTGATCAGCAGAGAGGAGCGAACCTGCTCAGCCTGAAGTGAGAACTCACACTGTGCAGCTCTGCCCTCTGCTGGCCGCTCGTGTACACTGCTCCGCTCAGACTGGCGTCAGCTGTAGAGAACGGAGGGAGGGTTTGATTAGACTGTCTGTCTGTTTAAAATGTATTATTTTAAAGATATTTCTTCTCTGTATTATGCACAGTTAACGCAATGGACTTATTGATAAGCTGCATGCTAATATTTGTATGAATGTATACTGTAGTGCAGATTTGCATTGAAATGGCAATTTTTCATTTATAAGAAAAAACTGAAAGACTTCAGGGTTTTCTTTAACGCAGTCGTTTTAGGTCACTTGCAGTTAGTCTTGAAGTGTATTTCAGCTAAAATAAAGATGCCTACAATCCTAAGAAATGGATGAACACATGACATGAATGACACATTGTAGAATCCCTAAACGACATTCCTCCGCACATTTCATTTACTTCTTTTCAGAGTGGGATTTTCTTGCAGAATTTCACCGACCAATGCGCATGATGAGTGAAAGGCTGGAAGTGGTCAATAAGCTTCACTTCTCCAGACGGATCACAGATGTCGAGCTGCGCCTCTTTAACAAAAACAAAAAAAAACACAGTCCTGCATGAATCTTCTTCTCTGGTGCCGTGGTCAAGAACAAGCTAAAGGTGCAGCAGGACAGAAGCGGCACACAGAGAACAATCTAAATACAGACAGGAGTCTTGTAAAGGTTGTTAGAATACAGAGGAGTAAACAGATTTTCTAATAAGAATAACCTAAACACGCTTCAATCGTTTTCTCTGTTTGCCGGCCCTTTGCTGCTGCATCATTCATCTTCTCCTGATGACACATGAACTTGTTGTTGTCGTTATCACGGTGATGACAACGCTGGTTTTCCCCTTACATCAGATGTATTGATCTCATTATCTTTATGCTAAAGCTCGTTTTCTTGGACTAACAGGAACCAGTTTTCGGTGATTCCAGAAATCAAAACAGGTCTGATGACTCTGATAGTCCAGGCAGCGACAAGTTTGTTTTGTGAAGTTACAACTCTGAGGATACGAGATACATGAGTAGAGATCTAGAGAAAACAAGCAGAAGAAGAAAGTGCAATTAAAACGTATGGATTCATGTCCTCATCGGGCTTCTGTTCAACCATGAAAATCTAATCAAAGACATTTGGAATGACTCCAGCGACAACTGTTACATTTATAAAAGGCTTAATTTATTACACAAGTCTAGTACAACAACGTAGCAAACCACAAATTATACACAGCAAAGAACAAACATGTATTTATACATTTGAACGAGTAGTTTGTTGTTGGACTGAATGGAGCATTATATAAAAAAAAAAGGTTGTATAAAACATTTTTTAAAAAGGCACCAGTTATTCTTATAAACCCTGTTTATTTTGAACAATTGTTTTTTTTTTCATCCTGCCTTCGTCTTTCCTCTCTTCTCACGTTTTCAAACATCTGTTTTTTTAAAGAAGTTTTCACAAGATATGTGTCCGTTTAATTCCTGAAAATGAAAACCTGCATCTGCATCGTATTGACTGAGGAGAAACACAGATGAAGGTTTGCACACCTTCGCAGCAACAGTGATCCGGTCTGTTGTTTTCTTTTATTTCATCCAGGCAAAGATAATCTAGTAAAAATGTTCTTAAAACTGTATTTCAGAGAGAAACTCTGTCAGAACCCGTCTACATGACGTCACCCTGCTGAAACAGTCCCAGACACACAGCGAGGGAGGCGACGTCTGAAGCAGCAGCTGAGAAATAAACCAACTCCAAACTATTTCATTTCGATGGAAAAAAAAAACCTGCATCACAATCGAGCGATGGTGCAATCTCAAGAACCGACGTGGTCAAACTCAGAAATCGTTGTGATGACGACTGTGGAGAAATGTAAAAAAAGATCGATGCTGAAACAGAAACAGAGTCAAGTGGAAACCACACCATGGGTTAATACTTCTGTTTTTATCTGCGACGTATAAAAAAGACGACGTGACTCCTCTACTCTGCACGCTAACCTTGAAAACATCTTAAACGACTCCTCTGCTCTAACACAAAGTGTGTGTGTGTGCGTGTGTGTGTGTGTGCTCTTGGTGATTCTACACTTCCTCTCTTCGTCCGACTTCCAACACTCCTCATTCCCTTCATATCACATACGATTTCCCTCTTAAACAACTTCCAACCTGCGCGCGCTAAAAGACGTTTGTGTGACTGAGTGTGTGACTGAGTGTGTGAGCGAGCGAGCGATTGTGAGTGAGTGTGTGGGTGTAAGTGAGTGTGTGAGCGAGCGTGTGCAGTGTGTCCCCCGTGGAGTGTGTTTTTTTAAAACAGGTAGAATTAAGTGAACATTTGTGCCATAAGTGCTGTTAAACAGGCTTTATACAGTTTGAGCCTTCCAAATATTTGTCATATTAAGAAACAGAAATGGTTAAAATCTGTACCTACAGTATGTCAGTGCTACACTGGAGATGTTTAGTTGAGTGAGACGACCCCCCCCCCTCCCCCCCCGTGTCTCCCTCCAGACTCTGAAAAAACTACTTTAAAGATATGATCATGAGTGATGTCATGTCAGCATCTTATGGAGTCATTTGGCCGCTATCCAGTCTGTAACGTTTGATCCTCTTAACACAAGTGAAGAAATCTGAGATGATTTGAACCTGATTCTCAGATAATCAGACATTTTTTTATAGAAATAAATGTCAGTAAATAAGAAAATGTGCATCATAATGCAACAGACTTTCACCTGAAAAACAGAGAGGCATTATTGGAGCACCGATAGCCTAGCGGTTATCTCAAGCGGATTATGTACGGAGGCTATAGTCCTCGCCGCATTGGCTGTGGGTTCAATTCCGACCTCTGCCCTTTGCTGCATGTCATCCCCCACTCTCTCTCCTTCCCATGTTTCCTGTCTCTCTTCAGCTGTCCTATCCAATAAAGGCAACAAGGCCAATAACAAGAAAAAAAGAAAGGCAATATTGTTTAACCAAAACTTTAAAAGATCTGACAGAAAAAAAAGGAGTTTAGATGCGTGAACTTGCATTTTAAGCTTTTTTTTTTTTTTTAAACTCACTCTTGATTATTCACTTCTCAAATAAATCTCTAGTTTTACTTTCTTTTTTTTTTTTTTAAATCATTTTGGTTATGATAGAGGCAGACGTCCTCAGAAAACACTTGTTGCTTAGCATGGGCGGACTTTGGAAATGATCTCTCTGCTCTGAATTCCCGTGTTTTAAGAAAACAAGGCTTTACATTAACAGTCATTCTTCACTTTTTTAAGAGGCTGATGTGGTGCAGAATCAAACCTGTTGTTTTTTGTTACAGCACTCTAAAAATGTTGGACTTCTCACAATACAAAGAAAAAAGGGTAACTTAATTTGACGTCTACACATTTTAAACAGCCAATAAAAATAACAGATACCATAAATAAAGTGGCCTGTTATTACTTCAGTGATAAATGGGTCATTAGATAAAGTACAGTACATAAGGAGAGCCCCTAATTGTGACTTTTTTTCTTGATATCTTTTTTAAATCAACCAAAAACTTGTCATGAACCACAAGTGTTGGAACTCTAACATGCATGGAAATATACACATGCTACTAAAGGGGATACATTTGTATGAGTTACGGGGGGCTATAAGCGCTATAAGTAATTTCAGATGTCTAGAAAAGACTTCAGATGTGACGGACAAACAAGAGAAAAACCGTGCCATTTGCTCAGAAATGTAAAAAATTGCTCAAGACCTTCAGGGGGCATGAGGCCACTATAGCGTTGCCGTGGAAACGCTCTGTTATAAAAATGGTACCTGTCTTCTAATCACCACCGCAGCGCTCTAACGTTTCTTTTCTTTTTTTCTCTTCCTCCTGTTCAGGGCAGATTGTTATGTTCATAATAAGGCAGGGAACCAGAAAAAAAAAAAAAAGGAAAAAGAAGCCCACTAGCCTGCAAATCAATCGCAGTGTGTGCAGAGTGGAATCAATAGGTTGGATATTTAAGAGCCCGCAACACAATTTGCATGATATTACGTAGGGTTGAATGAGTGTAGCTGTACAAACACACGCACCACCGCAGTAACAAGGCAGTCCAGTTAGAAAGATTATACTCAAGGCCTTCTTAACACAGTGAAGGAGATCCTGGTCTAGTGTTTCCATAAAGAAGAATCATTCATTCAAAATAGAATCCCTGCAAACTGTGATAACAGGCATTTCCAGTTTGAGATTTAAACGAGTCCTTGTAGTGATCCTCTGTAAACATTGTAAAGAAAGTGAACCTTTAAAAAAAAAAAAGGCACTTTCTGGAAGAGTTGTGTCGCGACAGCAGGCTTCCTTCAACCCAGAGCTTCTTTAAATGCACAAATGAGGAAACTTTCAAATAAATTACAATACATTTTTTACAAGATACATGTTTTCAGAATCCCACAAATGAAATCGACTGCATGTAACATCTGGGTCCTCAGCCTCTGTGCAGACACATGAAGGAATACTTCAGGCGTGTAATGCCGTTAGAAACAAATTTTAGCACGGTTTAAAAAATCTTTATCTCTGGATTATAAAACTGTAGGAGTTAAAGAAGAACTTCTCTGAGCTGTGAAGTCGTCCCAAATGAGCAGACCCAACCTTTTCCTTGGAAAGTGAAGCAGCCATATTGGAGGACAAAAAAAAAAAACGCGCTGTCACTGCTCCTTGCGGTCACACGTCGTCATCGTCGATGTGTGCGGCTGGTTGGAGTTAGAGTGGCAGGGTTTCCAGAGCAGCGGGCGCTGAAAATGCGATGATGCCCAGGTTCAACACGAGGCTGACTACCAGCGCTCCGATGGTGCCCAGGAAGGAGGGCGTGGCTCCATGCGCTACAAGCAACGCCCTCCGCGACATCATGTCTGCTATCACGCCCTCCATCTGGAAGTGGTGCCCACCAGGCGCTGACATGGAAGAGCTGATGGCTGTGGCCTAGTGGGGGACAAAACACTTGGTTTTAAAATGTATCTGTGGTCATCAGAAGGTGCACAAGCTAGCAGAGAAAACTCAAATGTTTTAATCACTTAAATACATGTACACGTTGGGAATGGCAGGACAGAGACATTTGTTCCTTACAACAGGAATGATCAAACACTGTCAGCCACCAGAATTATATTTCTGTAAGAGAGAAGCTGAGAAGTGAAAAACCTACTACATACTGCTTATAAATACTCAAAATATCGAGTTTGTGAATACTAACCCGACCGTCATTATGCCGTTACAAACATACTAAAACACGGGTCCAGCAATGTAATTTTTAACATGTAAAATTATTTTTTTTATTTGCTAGCTTGCTTGATGGCGAGCTCTGGATTGGACAGTCTGAGAGCCGCAGTGCATTGTGGGGCCAGTGGTGTTCCGGTTTCATACTTTCTGGCCAATCCAGTAAACATTCTCATATTTCTCACACTCAAAATCAAATACTATGATTTCGGATCAAACTACATACTCCATGTGATGCCACATGGGAGTATGTGTGATATGAAAGTATGCGGTTAGGACACAGCCCGAGTGCGATGCATTCACTGTCAGTGTGCCTTCATTGAAGTATTATTCAAAGCTTGAACCGTTAGTTACTTTTATCAACAATCATGAAGGACATACCAAAGTAGTCAAAGCGCCCCGGGGCCAACCTCTCCGGGAGGTGGGCTGTAAAAGGAAACAGGTGAGGAAGGCGAAGAGCAGGTGTAGCAGTGACTGGATAAGGCGCGCTCGGGCTGCAGCTTCCCCCGCAGCACAGGAGGATTTTGCAATTACTGTACATAGCACAGAATTACTGTACATAGCACAGAATTACTGTACATAGCACAGAATTACTGTACATAGCACAGACTCTTGCACTCAATTACTGTACATAGCACAGACTATTGCACTTTCTGCTTATTTGCACTTCTGGTGAGATGCCAAACCTCATTTCGTTACTCTATACTTGTATATGTGTAATGACAATAAAGTTGAATCTCATCTCAATCTCATCTCATCTCATGTATGAAAGTGGTATGAAAGTATGCGGTTTAGGACACAGCCCGAGTGCGATGCATTCACTGTCAGTGTGCCTTCATTTGAAGTATTATTCAAAGCTTGAACCGTTCGTTACTTTTATCAACAATCATGAAGGACATACCAAAGTAGTCGAAGCGCCCCGGGGCCAACCTCTCCGGGAGGTGGGCTGTAAACAGGAAACAGGTGAGGAAGGCGAAGAGCAGGTGGTAGCAGTGACTGGATAAGGCGTCGCTCGGGCTGCAGCTTCCCCCGCAGCACAGGAGGATCTACGCCAAAACAAAGAGGAGATGTCACATCAATCAGTCACAAAACATTAAATCTATCTTAAATCAACAAAGGAGGACGAACACAGTTTTAAGATATGAAGGGACGCATAATTCAAGATTATCCTGGAGGACTCCTCCTGATCCTAATGAGTTATTCACACTGATGGATACAGCATTGTTAGCTACATTTGTGACCTAGTTAGGGGAAAACAAATGGCTTTTTGTATTGCACACACTAATCATCACACTGATTAGGGAATTAATTGATGGCAGCGATATATTTGTATTAGATTACGAAGGGAAATCAGTTTCTGGGTTAGTGAGCCAAAGTCCTGCTCAGAGAATTAAAGTCGGGCACTAATCAGCTCCGAGCGCTTACATAACAAACACAAACACACAGAAAATATCAAACGTATTTTGATTAAAGAAAACAACAGAGGTTCAAAGAGAAATTAAGGCTTCAAATGCAGCAGAGAAGAGTGTTCACCTGCAGTGATTTTAAAGGTTTACAAGAGTAGAAATGTGAGATATTAACACTCACCCTGCAGAAGAGAGGAACAGTGTCGAATATAAAAGGAACGACAAACGCTCCAGTCCTCAGAACTTTACTTCTCTGAGGAAACTGCAGCTCCAGGAACCTGTGAGGACACACAGAGGGAAGTGATCAGCACACATTTTTATAGACATTTAACATTTGTACTGTTTTTATTACATTAAAGGTAACATATTAAACTCCCTTTCAACCAGTTTAAGTATGTCTCACAGCTCTCTAAGACATGTCTGTGAAGTTTCTTGTTCTAAATCCACTCTGGTCCAGTATTTGATCATGCCTATAAACCTCTCTATTTCAGCCCTGATCAGAAAAGGCTGTTTCTGTGTCTGTAGCTTTAAATATGTAAATGAGCGGTGTCTGACCATGCCCCCTCTCTAGAAGGGCTTGGGTGGCTCGGGCTTTCTCGCTCCATGCCCTATTGTTCACAGTGTTTGTCAACTCACTGTTGCAGACTCAGATGGCAGAATAAACTCCTAGCTGTGGGAGTGTCACCCACCTGGGGGAGGGGTTACTGCCCTTTGTGATGTCATGAAGGTAAAATCTTGCAGTGAGTCCCTGTGTGTTTGAGAGCAGCTGAGCCTGACAGAATTTAACTCACTCACTTAAATTTAAAAATGTAATCTAACACAGTAAATGCGGTTTCAGACAACTTTTAAGTCTGACAAGAAGTCTGAGAGAAACCTTTATTCCTGGCATATTAAAGGAATCAAACCCTGCCGCCTGGAGGTAATCAGCAGCGAAGAATCAAGTAATTTCCCTGACATCTGTTTACAATGGTTTGAACCTCGAGGCTTAATGTTACAGAGAAAACAACTGTTTAACTCCTATAGAATAATTTGACTTTACATCAGCTTCTGAAAGCACGATTCCTTCAAACCACGCAGAGATAATGTATGCTGCAGCCTCTCACCTGGAGTAACAGGACAGACTGGTGCAGAAAAGCGTGTTTCCCACGGCGATGGGGACAAAATGCTGATGGAGCCAGCTGTTCACCCAGCTGTCTGGTACGACGTAGTATCCATAGCTTATGGCACAACCTGAACACAAACACAGAGAGGTTCATGGTAAACGTGGAGAGTTTTCTTTTAGATTTCTTCCTCTCTTGCACAAGCTTTTGCCGACTTAAAATTCAAGTAAATGAAGGTCATGGTGTCTTGTGTGTGAATGAATGTATGTAGAATGTATCTACATTCAATCTACAAATTGTATTTCTATGCATCGTGTGTGACTTTTAATCAAATCAAAGAACATTTTTCCTGTCATATATTTTTTCATCTAAGTTTTCTTAAAAATGGTACTGAAACGGAGCGCAGATGGCCTGGCGCCAGTTAGGTTGCGCCCAATGTGCAGAGGCTATAGTCATCCAAGCGGACGGCCCAAGTTTGATTCCGACCTGTGGCTCCTTTCCTTCATGTCATTCCCAACCCTCTTATCCCGATTTCCTTACATTTAGAATACACTCAAATTCAAAGTTTTGCTTAAGCATATCAACACTCCACTATTAAAGTATTTAAAGAGATTGTTGTTCTCGAGGCAGAAGAGCAGTAGAAGAGCAGTTAGGTGTATTTCCTCATATGACCACTTGGGGTCGCCCTTGCAGGAATTTAGAATTCATTTAAATTGATACATCTGTTTGATTTCACAGTTTGCATTCAATGTTAAGCACGACTATGTCCTCTAAAGTATAGTTTTAGTACTGGAACAATTCAAAGAAATGTAATAAACAGAAGCTCATCGTGTTGATGAGAGATGATCTGCAGACTCTGACTTTAAGGTTTCTGATGTTAGTTAAGGTCCTGCAGTGAGGAAACCCTCCTGCTGCTATTTATCCTCAAACAGACTTCTGAACTTTTGAAACAGGCAACGTTTAGTCACTAAGCAGCTTTGGGGTAGATTAGGGATCAGTCTGTCGGGGACCACACAGTTTGTGACGGGAACATAAGTTCATGTTGGTTAATGTTTGTCTGCTGGTCTGCAGGTTAGATCCTATATGTGGTATAGACCTCATAAACACACCTATGAAGACAAACAGAATACTTAACAATCTGAAATGCAAACACTAACGTTTATAAACACAGTAACATTACATTAAGTACAGCTCACTTTAAACGCCTGCGTGCCTCCCACTTCTAGCAACCTGAGACAACCCTAACCCATTTTTTTTATTTTAAAGCGGTATCTGTACTGTTTGACTCTGAGGAAGACGAAATATCTTAAGAGATTAATGTGCTCCAGTATTTTCTTTGGATACTGCCATGTGAGGGAGTCCATTGAATCATTCTCTTACATCTCGGGTTCTTCTCTGAGAGCACCGACCTCCATCAGTTGAGGGGCTTAAGCGCAAGAGTTTCCCTTTAAATATAATGACTTTCATTTTTTTTTAAGACCGAGGGCAGGGGGGTGCTGGTAGCCTAGTGGTTAGTGCGTGCGCCCCATGTATGGAGACTATAGTCCTCCAAGCTGACGGACGGGGTTCATATCTGGCCTGTGGCTCCTTTCCCGCATGTCATTCCTCTCTCTCTCCCGATTTCTGACTCTATCCACTGTCCTATCTCTGAATAAAAGGGAAAAAGCCCCCCAAAATAACCTTTAAAAAGACAGAAGGCAGACAATATAGATCTAAAAAAATGAATGTAAAACTGGATTGCAAAACATTTCCAAATGGCTGTTTGCATCAAGCTCTTCATTCCTGTAAGTCAGAATTCTTAGTCAAAATGTGGAGGTAAATGTTCACAAAAGGCAACATGGAAAAAAGGACATTTCCTGAGAAATAAACCACAAGGCAAATTATTTCTCAGTATGTACGTGTGAGCAGAGACATTTACTCACGGTTGGAGGCGATATGGAAATGATATGCCCTCTTTACATCAAACTGATAACACGGCATTCAAAGCGCCGTTGCATCTATTTGACTTTTAAAACAGTTGAGCAGTAAACAACTTATGAGAGGTGAAAAGATAAAGTGCAGGAGAACATGCAGAATAACTGCAGCGTCCGACTGAAACCCCTTCAAGAGAAATTAAAAAATAAAACAGGTTTGCACTAATAAAAGTGTCCTTCAGGATTTCTGTAAGATTAACTTTCTATTCTTGTTGTACTTAAAAAAAAAAAAAAAAAAAGAAGAGACTATTTCAAAATATGCTAGAGGAAGCTTCAAGCAGTTTCTGTTTTCATCCTTTTGCTGGAAGTGAAACTTTAACTACACGCTCTGAGAATTTAACCTTTAACCTCTCTGAGCTCATGATGCATCTTTTGAGGATCTCACTGAGGTCTCACCCAGACTGTAGAGGCTGAGCGCTCCGTAGTCGAAGAAGTAGCAGATGTGTCGGGACTCGGGGGACATGGTGCTGAAGGTGTGAGCACAGCTGGAGGTGAAGGGGTAGATGCAGATGAGCAGCATGTACACCAGCAGGGGCCAGGTGTAGCTGTCGGTCAGGAAGTTCAGGGTGGAGCAGAGGACGAAGAAACGCCACAGAAAGTACCTGCAAAGCATCTTTCGGTCATATTCCAGCATTTGAATGACAACACTCTTGTGTATCAGACTTTTCCCATCCCACGCTCCTCAGCAGCGTAGTACTCTGACTTTTCTAACACCCTGAAGCCTGAGCCTGAATCATTTTAAGGATTCAGACTGAAGTTTTTCCCGCCTTTTTTAAAACCTTTAAGTTTGTTTAACCCACCTGCTTATTTCACACCTCAGAAACTAAACAAAGACCCTAATACCTCCACTGATCTCTACAAACTCTGTCATGTTTCTCCAGCTGGAGGGACAAAACTAAGTTCATTTTTCTGCTGGTCATGACTGACACCAGCTGACACGTTAGCTGTTCTTTACTAAAAGTTTGTTTGTAAACAAAAAGTATGCAAAAATGTAAAATATGTCTGTGATTTACTTTATATACATTTCTTCTTATAAGAACTTTATTTTCTGACAGTAGATTCAGTTGTCTGTGTTTAATTTCAAATGTTTTTGTGTATTTGGGACTTGATGAAACTGCTGAAAATGTGTAAAAAACAAACAAACAGACTTTCCAAATTATAGCACTTACCATGTTGGCAGAAAGTGGGTCCAGATGTTGACGGTCTCGTTGTTCATCTGGAAGCTGCTGAGGACGCAGTCCAGCGCTGAGCTCCGCGGGTGACGGTATCCAGAGATGATGCTGTCCTCTCTGAACACCTGAGGACCAAACAAGAGAGTCCAGGTGAGAAACTAAACTGTATGGGGAGTCCAAGTTATGGGGGGGAGGGGGTTTCAGTCAGAGGACAGCAAACCTGTAGCTTGTAGAGTAGATTTTATATCTTTTTAGCATCACTGAAGACTGGGACTGTGATTAAAACAAATGATCTGTGCTTACACTGTTTATAAGAAGTGATTCTGAAGTCTATTTTAAGATATCTATCGGTCATTTTTGCCTTTAAATGAAGTGAAACCAAGTAATATGAAAGTAAAGAGTGGCAGGAAATGTAGGGAGAAAAAAGTGGGGGACGACACGCAGCAATCGCCGGGGTCAGACTTGTACTTGGGATGGCCGCGAGAACTGTAGCATCTGCACCTTGCTAAACTGGTGCCTCCTTCAAAAACATTTTTGGTTTGGTTTTTGCCTGTGACAGCTCAAAATGAAACAAGGTCTACCGGCAGCCTCTGGCACAGGTTCCTTTTTTGAGTTTAAAAATCATCCACCATTCATGGTTTAGAAATAACTTAAAATCCAACATTTTGCAAGAAAAGAAACTATAACACTTTTTAAACTTCATGAAAGTCCCTGAGAACTCTCTGTTGACCTCTTGAAACGACCCTAACACCCAGACTGAGATCAACATGCTTATCTGTGTGGTCAGACAGCTGATCTTCATAAGCTTCACACACATTGCTGACATTTACTGAATGAGGCAGTAAAACCGGTTTCTTTTAAACAAAAATATCTCAGGTGGGTTGTACTTCAATGTGCAGAGAAGGACGATGTGAAGATAAACAAAGATGATGACAATGTCAACCGATCTGATGTCAAGCGTTTGATTTGAACATTTTATACTATGCATCGTATTCCCTATGTACAATAACAGTCTTTTTAATATCTCATTTCAAAACTGAACGTCTAAACATGATTGAACTTATTTTGGAAAGAGGCAAAAATCTAATAGTAACCCTCTAAGCAACTTTCTAAAATAATACATGTTCCTACTTCAGATTCAGATTCTCTTTATGGTTCCACAAGGGGAAATAAAAAGACAAGAAGAAGAGCATGCGTGATGGGGGTAGGGGCAGAGATATTTGTAGTTCTCCACAATCTCACTATATTTAATATATGTATCATTAACTGATAGATCTGTATTTTATCCGTCCTGTTTTGTCCCTTAGCTTAAGCTTGTGTATTTGTTGTTGGTGCCTGATGATGCAGAGAGAAATCCTGTCAGCTCATGTGAAACAGTTTGTTTGAAATACACACTAATCTATGGAACCTCAAATATTTTAACACCAGTGACACAATATCAAGGTCATATAATTGTTGACTGGAGAGTGCGGTGTCACACTATTACAACAACGACTGTTTATTATCATAACAGATCGAGACAGTGCAGCGGACACAGACGTGGACGTCTGCCAACACAGATGTCTGAACTGCAGGACTCTGCCTCCTGTTGAAGGACGACCCCATCAGCTACTGGTTCACAGTCACTATCTGTCCTGCTTCAGCCTGAAAGTTTAGTCTCATAGGACAGTGTCAGTTTATAGTCAACTACTACTGAGAGATAAGAAGAGGAAGAGAAAGACGACATGCCGGTACACGTACTGGATGCCATAAAAGTTTGATAATCACATCGTTTCAAGACAATGTTCCTTTCCATGTTATGGTTTAAAGCAACAATAGAATATGGAATATGACTAATACGTAGGAATTTGATTAGCTGCACTTTAACACTCACTATTGGTCTCTGAGTGCGATTGCAATGCCATACGACACACTGTTGTTACACCTATCCCCCTCTTAGACAACGTGCATTTGTTGACAAGCAGAGGGCGGCTTCTAACAAAGACGTTGTGAGAAGCCAAACAACCATCTCGACTGATAATGTGCAGAATATTTCTGGAATTTGAGCAGGAATGAACATGTTTGCAGCCTAGTTCAAAGATTTGCATAATTAGTCCTTTGACTTCAGATGACTGAGTGGTGGATGTGATGTAGCTGTGCTCCAGGACACCAAAGCCTCGCCTTAACTTTAACTCTTTGCCTGTTTCTAGATTGATCCAAAGTTACTTAAGAGTTAGAATTTCACATTTGGTTATGGTTGACTGTTATCGTTTGGCTTCAGACACCAATGGGTGACGTCACTGAGACTAGGTCAATGTTTTACTCAGTTTATGTTTAAACACTGAAGGACAGACAGAGGACTTAAACCTTGTTTAAAGGTTCTCCTTGCTTTCTTACCTTGGGGATCTGGTGGATGTGAAAGAGCTCGGGGAGCTTGATGCTCAGCATGTCTGCGGGCAGTCTGATGGCCCCCCTCCCTCTCTCACAAACTTCCCTCAGCCTCGCTTGTCCACCACGACAGAGGACAACCCAGACGGGGTAGTCAAACACCGGGATCCGGACCCTCTGTCCCAGAATGTCCGGCTCCCATCGCAAGCTGCGTCCCCAGCCCTCGCTCCACCCGCCTGCAATGCCACCACTGGCCCCGATCCCCCGCCACACTGGAAACACTGCAGAGACACACAACAAACACACAATGAGAACAGAAAAAATCAGAATGAAATCAAGGAAATCATTGATGTATGGAAGCAATGACGAGCAAATATTTGACAGTTTTGCTAGAACAATCACCAAACAATTAAGCGATAAGCATATTGTGATTTATTTTCTCTAAATTGTTGCAGCTCTGCTTGACTGGTTAGGTGTCAGAGTCTGGTCTATGAGGTCTTCTATGTTCTACAGGTCTGTCTGTTCAAAGTGAAAATCCTCTCTCTGTCCGGACTCTGACAGTCAGCAGGGTTAAAGTAAACACTCAACTCAGTCAAAATACTCCATAATTTACTCCTAGTCCTGAAAATGACATCCACAGGACGCTGAATTTCCCCCCTGGATTAAAAAAAGTATTTCTGATTCTGATAAAATGGTTTATCAGTGACAGAGTTTGTATGACAGGCTCCATGAGTGCGATGTCTTTGTTAGCTGGAGCCGACACTGAGAACAATCTCTTATTGTGGCTGCTGGAGACAGACACAGACATCGATTTGAAGAATGCACGCTATTGTCACATTGCAGGGGGCGAAGTGACTGAAAGCATGCGTGTAATAAGAACATGTTTGTGTCAGAAGATATTTTCACAGATCATTCCTTCTCTGTGAAAATGACATTGAACACGTTTTAACTCCACAGAGCTGCTGGACCATTACGACATCCAGCAGAGAAATGACTTTTTATATCAAGTTTAAAAAGCGTGCACAATTACAGTTCAGAAAAGCAGTCTGTGTTTAAAGTAGCAGGCATCATAATATTAGTTGTGTGTGTATTTATATATACATTTCACATAAATAAGAAAACAATAAACCACATCCAAACAGAGATATCAGCACGTCTCTCTTCAAAAACAAACTGAGGTCAGCCTCACTACCCAGACACTCAAACAGCGAGCTCTGCATTCATCCCGTTTACACACTAGCCTCATTCACACATGCACTAAACTACTGAAGAGTTCAGCAGGTGCGTGTGTCAGACCTTTTCCTGCCAGCACCTTAGTAAAAATAGTGGGTTGAAATCTGGATAATGTTGAAACAGAAACTACACCAACGACGATTTTTTTTTTCTGTCAACATGACGGTAAGGAAAAGGTAAATGCTGGTAATGCAATTCAAGATTAGAGAAGAGTTGAACTCTTACACTTGGGGAGCATTAAATACGATCGAGTGGCTTTGAGGTGTGAGAGTAGATGTGTGTTAGAGAAGCTACAGCTGGTGTTAGTTTTTCTTTTTCTCTCTGCTTCTGTAAAAAAAAAAAAAAAACATGGCGGCAAAACATGGCTGGCTTGGACAAGACTTGCTCCCTCTGAGAAATAAGGAGCTGCTTCTGAGTAACAGAATTTGATTTTCATCTGAAGAGACTGAGCATGATAAGAGCTAGAACTGACACCAAAATAAAATTGATTATAAATATGAATAATTACATGAATCTTGTACATTACCTTCTTTGGCCATTTTGTATTCTTCAGTTAATCAGACATTGTGATGTGTCATTATGTGATGTAATATATCTATTATCACTGTATCATATCATCGTTATCATGGGCCACATCTCGGGTATCGTAATTTGAGTTACCTGGGGATTCACACCCCTAATCCAAACATACTTCAGAACATTTTGTGCAATTTCGGACATTAAATTCTTCTCCTCCTTTGAATGTAACATTCCTAAATAAAAAAGTCAGAGCTGTCATTAGACTGTAAGCTTCACACTGTTGCTGACCTGTCTGAGTTCGAATATTTCTCCCAGACCTGCAGGTTCAAACGTTTCCCTGAGTCTCTCCTGTCATTACAGCTCGTTGCTCAAGGCGAGAGGCTCCTTTAGAAGTGTACGAGCAACAAGAGGGGACGGTGGCTTACTGCGGCCCAGCTGCAGGCCCCCGGCCCGCTCACTGTGACAAAGTGATCTTTGTGGAGGCTGAAGCCTTCAGACTACGGGGGCCAAAGGATGACTGTTACACGCTGCTCTGGATGGAAATGAGGCTCCACACACTTGGACACACACAAACACACGCAGTAAGTAGCCATGGGGAGCAAGCACAAATACCCAGAGCTCTGACATGCATGCACACTGGTACAAATCCTGCATTCATCACGGGGGGGGGGGGGGGGGGAGCAGGAGCACAAACACAACAACACACAAGACCACAGCTTGCATGGATGACAATAGTTGAGAAAGGCCACAGGGTTCACTGCAGTGTGAGGGAAAAATGCTCATAGGAATTCAGATCATTAGCATCATGTAGCACCAACGGTTTTTAATATTTAGTTGTTTGTTTCTTTGCATGTTGTTAAACTTATTTGAACGGTAACGTCTATGTGAGTAAAGTTTGAGAAGAGTAAATGAAAACTACTCTCTCTGAGGGTTGTAAGGTGAAAAAGAGGAAGACTATGAAGCAAACTGCATCCTTCAAGGAGCCAGAACGTTGAAAGAAGGGAATTTTGACAGCTAACTCAATCGTGTCTGAGATGAACAAGAAAATAATTCTTGCAAACATGTACTGTGCATTGAAGTGACATCAGGATACGCTTATCCACTGAGGCTCCTCCGTTGACCCGGTAGGTATGTCAGTGTGTCCTGTCATGACCTGCTGTCTAACAACAAGTGTAGAAACCATAACACAAACTTATACAAGCTATACGTTTGAATAGAAGCCTGAAGACTCCCCTTGAAACACAAACACATAAATAAACATAAAAGAGTCTGAGGGGATGAACACTGTTTTTAATCTTCAACTAAAGCTACAAAACACAAACATAACTTAATCAGTGTTTCAAGGCTTGGTCCATTGGCTGTATATAAATATAGACAACATGTCTCCACCTCCTCTGGTTGTACAAAAGTGAAGTGACATCTTTTGGAGCCAGAGTTGTGCGACAGATTTTGACATCCTGTTCCTTCTGCTAACCAAAAACACACATTTAACTGGTTGATAAAATGGTAACGATCACTCTGGTCGGCACAATCTACAGCAGAACAGATCCTCGTTTTAGCTTAAAGAAGTTATAGAAAGTTAAGCAACTCTTGAGTCAGTGTTTCCTCCTCTACTTTGTGGATCTGCTGCACATGGCGCAAGAGCTCCAAATGTTGTGGCCTCCCCTTTTTTTGAGGCTGTCATTTCGTCCAACTTTTTTCTACAGACTATACAACTAACATCAAACCAGTTTAACACAACCACACAAAAACAAGTCACCAAAAACACTCTTCATTTATTTTAAACGAGGCTCAACATCACAAGACAAAACATACCACTTAAGAACTAATGAAGCCTATGATTGTCAAAACAACAGGTTATTAAACTCAAGATTTTACAGTCAGTGTTGACAGGAAACATCACACAATCATTTACAGACATAAATATGCTCCTTTTCATCCCCACCCTTTTTCTGAAGTCATCCTCCTAACTTGATGGAATAACTGATTCATCCAGCCTCAGCTCTGATTTCTCTCCCCTGAGATCTGCAGGAACTATTCCCAGAATTCACAACACATGTTACTGAGCAGGATATGACTTTAAAAAGGTGCTCCAAACACTCATAATAGTCGTAAACCAAAAAATGAATCACCAATTTATTGGATTATTGATTAATCTGTTGTGGTATTTTGTTCAGAAAATAATCAATTCTCTCATTCCTCTCAGTTTTTTTAAATGTGAATTTTCATGGTTTATCTTCACCTCTCTGGAAGTTCAATGAGTATATTTGCATTTTGGATTTCACAGCCTGACCCAACTTGCGTTCGCCGTCCCCGCTGTCAGACTCCAGGTTGAACTCGCTGTTCATCTCTTGGTAAATTGTGACAGTTTAACATTACTCCCACCAAGAACCCCCCTGCCCTTCAAAAGTTCAAACTCCCTCTCATGTCGGGGCCAAGGAAGTGTACCTGTACTCACACTCTTCAAATGGACTGGACTAGGGGGGTCAAACTTGGACATGGTATGGCTTGCCTAGCATGCACTTAACCCTAAACCAGGTTCCCTGATGCCTGAGCCTTGCATGTCAGCCCTGCTCGGGTACAGCTCTGTGCTCCAGCTCTGTGCTCCCTTGTCCGTCAACACCCACAGGCTGCTTTCAGAGCGCAGGCATCCGAGCAGCACCGCCGGATGTCTGAAATTGCGAGACCAAGGGTCAACCTGCTCTGAAACAGACTGATCTGCTCTGCTGGGACAGAGCTGAGCTAAGACACAGCGCAGCAGACCAGTGGAGGTGCACACATTGATCAAAGTGAAACCTATGAGCTGCAGTGGGGAAGCAGAGACGGACCAAACAAATATGTGACTAAACTTAGTAGTTAATTGTAGCCTTAAACATCTTGTACCTGTATACAGACTTCAATGTGTGCACTCAGTCGAGCTTGACAAGACACTTTGTTGTGTTCTGGATGTTTGCATTGTGGATATGATGCGTTTTAAGAGTGTTTACTCAACAGACAAGGAAGGAAAAGTAGTCTCATGACATGCACGATATTTTCTCTGACTGTCCTTGTGATCTGAACATCTGTATCTCTCTTTCACTTCCAGACGGCTGTTGTTACCTGTGAGCTTTGCAGAAATTCTGGAGTACCCACACACAACACTTCCTTCCTTTTTTTGTTCTCTTTTTGACATGTGAAATTCTTCCAACCACTCAACTCGTGGTGTCTGCATGTGACCTTTCTCAATGGACGTCTTTATTGGCCTCAGGCTGACAATGGAAAGACTATGCAGAGAGCACACATGTATCCCACACAGACAGACACAAGTTCTCTTTACTGCATGTATGTACTATATGCAAATCAAGCTTCACAGCCAAATACAGTCCTGCTGAACTTGTTCACGACAGCCTAAGCTGAAAACGATTCAGGAGTAGAGGAGGACTGCAGCTTGGAGTGTGTATTAAACGTGCTCATGTCTCGTTGCAATGTCCCATCCCTTTGGGCACAGAAGCCGGTACGTCCACCTTTACTGGTGTACACGTGCTGTGATCGAGCATGCACCCTCTGTTCACTAACATATGTGACTGCACACTTCATAAATCATAAACACGTTGCTTCTTAAGGCACATTTTTTATTATATATTCTCAAATCAGAAAATACACATTAGGAGACTATGGGACTATATGAGACTTTCTGATCCGAACTCGTACCAAACCATGAACCCCTAAATCAGAAGTCCAAACCAAACCGTCACCTATCATGTTCAGTGACTAATTCGATCTGCATAATCTGTGTTTCCCCAGTGTTTTTCCCAGGATCCCGAAAGAGAGACGGATAGAGAGGGCATGCCATAACATGCTACACCTACTTGGTTACCCTTCCTGTTGGCAAAGACAGAAGAAGGGCAATTAAGAGAGCCTGTTCTTCAAGGTAGATAAATAAAAGGATTAGTCATCATGTGAGATGCTTTTGGCTGAGTTACAGATCAGTATTATCTGTGAAGTAACTGTCAGACTATCGAAAAGGGAGACAACAACAAACAAAAAAGTAACAAGAGTACAAAATTAATTCCTGGATCTTTAAAGCCCCTTTTAGAACCGATTTTGCCATTGGGGACAAATTTCAGCCTGCTCGCTTCACTAGTTGTACAATTTACATGGGAGCAGCACGGCCGATGACTGCCGATCTGCAGCTCTCGACTGGTTGGATAATTTTCTGGCATGTTTGATATTTTGGTGGTACTACTGCACACTGTCCCGCAGCGAGAGCAGAGCCACTTCACCACTTCACCGTCTTCAGGGCTTGTCTGTGTCTTCTGATTGCCACTGCGCAAAGTGTCACACAGAATTTGAAAGCACCGAGGCAACAACAGCCTGTTTGATGCCGGATCGTACAGTGTGAGCACATAAATAGTGAGCAGTTGTTGTGGGTCGTAAACGATTCAGTCGTACTATGTGAGCTGAGATTCCACCACGACTGCTATACAATCATACATCCACGCCCGGGCTTAACAGAGCAGTTATGATGAGGTTGATGCTCTTCTTAAGGGGCTGCAAAGATCCTGTAGAGCTGAAGTGAGTGTTTGTAAATAGAAAAAAAGTATCAGCTGCTGTTGTGTTCTTTTTTTAAATTAAATCGTTTTATAGATTGGCAAGAAAAAGACAGTACACTGATAAGCAGGGCCGGCCCGTGGCATACAGGCAGTAAAGGGCCATCCATAGGAGGCACAGCTGGAAGATTATTCATGTGGTTAGAAAATAACTAATGTAAGAAAATCCCTTAGTTTTTCTTTTGTGAAGCATGTTGTATGGGACCTAAGACCTACGTCTTTGTGTTCTTGGTTAGCTAACATCCTGGTTGAAGTTAATAGTTTTAAGCGCTTACCTTTTGAGTATTTATGTCTAAGAGCATGCATGCATTTTGTGCAAGAAGTCCTCACTGAATACATATTTCCTCTTTGTGTAGGAGGGGGTTGAAAGGCTTAGGAAAATATTTTGGCTAAATTGAAAAACTATGCTGAGGTTTCAGCTCTGGTGAGAGAAAAATATACCAAATTATTAAATTCAGGGATTGAATGATGAATTAGATTGAGTTGTCAAGTTGGTTTGGGCTGGGTTTGCTGATAAGGCATCTCTGCCATATTTTCTGTCCTAGATTTAATTAAGCTGTCAAAAAGGTTCAATTTGAATTATTTGAGGTGACTTTAGTATCTCTCTCTTCATCAGGGTCGCCCTGCACACAGGAACATCTACTAAACCTTCTCACAAGACCTGTTTTACATAACTTCCTTTTTTTTCTTTTCACCGTTCAGAATTAAGTAATGCTGGAATGTTTTTCAAAAAAGGTGGTCCTCCTCGGTCTTTTCCCTCTCCTAATAAGAGTCTACATCTAACATCAAACGACTGCACACGGTTATGTAACACGGCCACTACGTGTTCTTATACGGATCACAATGGATGAGAGGAAGCCGAACTGTCACGTCCTCCACATCAAAGAACAAAATGATTTTCTGTTAAGAAAGCATATTCATTTCTATTCTTTTGTTCTTTCTTTGAGATGTAACCCACGTCTCATTTCTTGGAGCAAATAAAAGGGAACAATATGTGAAATGGAAACCAGGTTAGACTTGTTGCCAACAGAGTTTTTAGGTCATGCATATATAAACGTGAGAAAAATGACTTAAGCTGCTGAATGACGCCCTTGGCATGTTTATCCTCGACCCCCACCGCCCTGCTTCATTCCTTTACTACAGCACATGCACCTGAAAGTCAACAAACAATATCCCCGTTCATACGCAAGAAAATCCTGTTTTGTTCTGAACTGTAAGATTTCTCAATAGGCTTTATTTCAAGGTGTATTCAAAAAAATCTGTCAATGGGGTGCATGGTGGTGGAGTGGTTAGTGTGCGCGCCCCATCTACGGAGGTTAGCGGGCGGCTTGGGCTCAAATCCAACCATTGGCTGGCTCCTTTCCTGCATGTCATTCCCCACTCGCTCTCTCTCTGATTTCCAACTCTATCCACTCTCTTCATTTAAGGCAAGCAACAAGGCAAAAAATTAATCCTAAAAGGAACAAAATAATAATCTGTCAATGAACCTGCAGAGTAATTTCTTAATTAACCGATCAGTTTCTGTAAAGGCCAATGATTCTCAGTCCACGACCACAACACGAGCGGCAACCTCTGACGTTAAAAAAAAATGAAGCCAATGCAGAAGTGCAAAAACCTGCAGTTTCCGCCAGCGCCCACATGAGGCTGACTGCTGAAGTCCGGGATGTCACATACACACCCATTCAAAATACCCTATTTTTACAGCAGAAATAAACATGTTTACAGCCGGGTTCAAAATATGTAATTGGTCTGATTAGCTTCTTGGCACACACTGTACAGGGGGGTGATTTTTTTTTTAAGGTATTTATACTAAGGCTTGTGTGCTGACCTGACTGACGGGCAGGTGTGGTGTAGCTGTTTGTCAGGACTCATGGAGGCTTCAGACCCGCCCTGGCTTCAGCTCTTGGTTAGGCCGGCTGATATTCAAGTTTTCATATCAACACTTACGATCAGAAAACATGCAAATAAAGATAAACATACAGCAGGCCCAAAGCTGCCCTACAATATAATCTGTTCAGTATATTGGTTGAGCTCTGACAGAAATATTAAGTCATTATTAAAATAGTTAAACAGAAGCGAACAGGATCAGCACCCCAAGGAGCTCCTGTGTCAAGCCAACATGCTCTCTCTCAGACTTGCTTATTCAAATAGTTCCCTACTTTCTGCAGTTTTCATCTAGCCTATATGGATGCAAATTTTGGAGAGTGACAAACACAGAAATGACAAATGTGCAAAATTTAAAATAGGGCTGCACGATATATTGGAAGAGCCTGGGATATCTTTTTCTTTCTGCAATATATTGTGATAAGAAAATCGGTCGGTCGGGGGCTTTTTTTTTTTTTTACCCATGAATTGGCACAAATTAATCTGAGTGTAATAGCTGATAGATAGAGGGAGCTTCATAAAAATAGCCATGCTTCATCAACATGTAGTCTAATGTGGAAGCTCAAATTGCGTTTAATTGTGCAGCCCTAATTAAGAAGAAGATGCACTTTCCCTTCAAAAAAAACCTTCAAAGCCAATGTGTCAAATGCTAGCAATGTGGAAGAAATCCAAACATCTCCAAGTAGGAAAAAAACAAAAACTAAGTGTGGGCTATTTTCCCAAATGGACACATCTCCAGAGCCTTGAGGAAAACACGCTGGTCACATGCAGCCAATTCTCAGAATGACCTGGAATGTCTCCTTCAGCCCCATGTGTGTTTTCATTTCCACTTCTTTTACCTCTTTACATTAAACACGACTTATCAGGAATTCATTTAGTACAATCCCTTCAAAAACAAAAACACGCTTCATGTCACAGCTCAAGACAGTCAAGAGACAACAACAACAACAACAAAAAAACATCCTCCACAGAAACGACTCAAAACTTCGCTTCAACAATGGGGGTTCGATGAACACGGGAGGAAAACATCACCTTCGTGTTTTTGTCACGCTAAGATTTGAAGTTTGTTTTTTCCCGACTCACCGCGACCCTCCGGCATGCGGAGCTTTGAAGTACTCCTCTCCGGGACAACTCCGTTTAGAAAGAGAAACAGCGCTTATCGTGTGGCTCGCTTTCTGCCTTTTTTCTTTCCCTCCTCTCCTCTCCTTCCCTTTTGTAATTGTGTGTCGACAGTCTCCACGAACAGCCTCCTTTTCTCTGGTCCCCCGCGCGAGCCAGTAAGAAGCGCTGCTCGGTGCTCACGTGGACCTTCTCTGGAGCAACAACAACACGAGCCATGTGTGCGCGCTTCTGCTGACAAGGAAGATGTCCCGATGTTTTAAACACAACAATGTGTAGTCGGTCCTCTCCAACACTCAAGTTGGCTTCATTTACTATCAAGGGCTCAGATATTTATGCTCGTGTCTCGTCTTTGAGCTTTGTTTGTGTTTCATGATGCTCCATCCAGCGCATCTTGTCAGCTTGTTATCTGCATGGCAGAGATGGCCATCATTGGTGTATAGTGCTGATCGCATGTTTATAGGTAGGCCTTGAGTAATAAAAAAATAATAATAATTAAATAAGGACTTGTACAAAGGTAATGCTCCATCTCGTGTGTGGTGGTGGTGGTGACTGTGTCTGGAGACCATGTCCATGCCTCCGTCGAAGAGACAGGACAGAGAGTGGGGAACAACATGCAGGCAAGGAGCCACAGGACAGATTTAAACCCGGGCCGGCCCACCTCAAGGACCGTGCCCCTAGCTGCTCACGAGATGTGTGAACCAACCACTTGGCCACTTGCGCCCCCCTTTTTATCTTTATTTTGATGTTTGGTTGACTCGGGACGTTTCTCGGAGAAGATGCGTTTACCCCAAGCCAATGAGTCCCTCCAGGCATTGACGATACTCTCTACCCTACCACATGGACGCTAATGGTCCACACAACTCAACCATGAAACTATAGATTGGCAGCAAGAGCCAACACATCACCAGGGTTAACAGGTGGACACCTCCATTCACAGGTGTTTCGTCAAGTTAGGCCCACAAAGCTCAGCAGTCAGCTCAGGCGTCCCGAAGCCACCCTCCTTCATGCTAACTCTCACAACGATTATTCTGGCCAAAACATGCTAACATTTCAGCCTATAGTTGCTACTTCATCAGTAGCATGAAGATAAACTGATAAGATAGAAACAAGTCATCTCTCCCCTGACGATCTGTGTTTGCTATCAATGTCTGTCAAAGACATCCTGGCGACCCATCAAGTCGCTGTTTTAGCCTTGAACCAACGCGGCTGTAATGCTGACATGCTAAAGACATGCTGCAATGACCCTTTCTTCATTGCAGTCCAACAGTGATGTCACTGAGACATGATGGTTCAATACAGGAAGTTACTCAACATCACTCAGCAAAAGTGATCCGGCCTCTCGGAAATCTCCTTAAGGTTACTGGAAGTGCATTTGCCTTTGACTCTCTCCTACCGTCACAAGACCGCGATGGACGTAAGCTGTCATGTGAATTTATGAGGATATTCCTTTGTCTTAACCACCGGGGAGGACTTCCTGTTTTTTTTTTTTTATTATCTTCTGCACAGCACAAACATCCATTCTGTCACGAGCACAGCTGTCTAGCCGATCATTTAACTCTACAAAGGTTAGTGTTTTTCTTGTCATTTAAGCCGATACAAACCCAGAGCAGCGTGACATTAAACACTTCAGGGACCCGAAAGATATTTCACTTTGACTCGTTCTAAACAAGCCCTGACAAAAGCAGCGCTTCACAAAACTATTCAGACTATTTGGTTGAAGTTCAATGACCCCCCCAACCCTTCTTCCAACTCCTTCATACTTACAGGCTGCACTTCTTTTTAAAAAGGCGTTCATTTTCACCATTATTTTCTCAACAGATCAGATGACATCACGATCATCTTCTGGGTCAAGAATTTAATTAGCGTCCCAAACCAATGACACGCCCACTAATAACTCCCAGAACCAAATCAATCTGCCTGCATCTTCTACTCAGTGTTCTTAAAATAGCAGAGTGAGAAAATAAAACCTTTATTGTCTCAGTGGGAACGTTTCAAGGGAAAGCTCGGCTGCATGGAAAAATAAGAAAACATTCTCATAATTCTCAGACCTTCTTATGACCTTTGTACTCGTCGATGTTTTGCTTAAATGTCTCTGCATGTCCTCTTCACATGATCCTCAACGCTCCTTTGATATCGTCATGTCAGTGATACTGTTCAGTGGTTCTGTTCAGATCAGGATCATTCCAGACCAGTGACGTGCGGTGAGGTTCGAGTCAGATTTACAAATTTATGAACCCATTTACAGAGAAGCTTAAATTCACCTTTCGATTGGCAGCTTGCACATTGACTACTGGTTGTGTTTCATATCTCAGATCAGCATTATTTACACACACATGGAGTAATCTAGACGAACACAGAGCTGCACAGTAAATTGCAATTTTATCCTAATCACAATATGAGCATTTGCAATAAACACATCACAAGGGGGACACCGGTAGCAGAGTGGGTAGTGTGCGCCCCGTGTACGGAGGCTGTAGTCCTCCATGCAGGCGGCCCAGGTTCAAATCTGATCTGTGGCTCGTTTCCTGCATGTCATTCCCCACTCTCTCTCTCTCTCCATGATTTCTGACTCTATCCACTGTTCTATCTCTAAATAAAGGCTGAAAAAGCCCCAACAAAATAAACAGTAGAAAAAAACAAGACAAATAAATAAATGCATCATAAATGTCTGAATCTATCACAATAAAATGTGCATGTGTTCATTTCACCTGGTGAATGGAGGCTTCTGTATTACAGTCATGCTATAATACAGTTTCAAAAACAGTCGAATGAAGCTCATGCTATTTATCAGCTGATCTAAAAAAAAATTGGTCTCCATTTAGTTGTAAAAAAAACCTTCTTGGATTCAGCAGAAACGTGTGGAAAAAAACCTATAAATAAATGCCAATAGGTATTCTTCAACAGTAGTTTATTTAGCACATGTCATATAGTTATCACAATATTGAGCAGTATTATTTATTTAGCATTAAAGTATGCTACCAGTAGCTAATGTTGTTAAGTGCTCAGGCACAAATGAAATAAGTTACTTAACTTTGCAGACTGGCAAAGCAGATTAAACTGATTACATAAGGCATCATCAAAAAAAAAAAAAGTGTTAAAAAAACAGGTTACCTCTCGAGTATTAATCTATTATATTATTATTGTTATCGTTGTTATTGTTGGCTTGGGACGCTCCTCTCAAACAAAGATAACGTGCTCAACTGGTGACAACACACCAGAGTTATGACATGCTTCAGTATTATCTGCCAGGGTTTGTTATTGTAGAGTTAGGAGCATGCCTTTAATACCCCTGAGCGTTCCAGAGAAACTTTTGGCGAGGGCACATTGTGTTCCTGTGAATGGGAGTGAGCTACGCGTAAAAACCTTGAGGGATCTCTTTACAACAGGAAGGGGAGTGAGTTAACTGAAACACTACGACAGTTCCTAGAAAGACAAATGAACATTGAGTCACAGTGCTGCTATGATGAAAAAAAGCTGCTGTCAAACTACCACAGGTTCCGGTATGGACTCAGAAAACTGGTCTGACCTTTCAGCTTTGTGAGTCCGAGGGGATCATTGGTTGGCTCAGATGGATTCCAGAGCGCAGAGGAGATCAAATAAAGAAGAAATCAATCTTTCCAGGAACACAAAACTTACAGTTCCCTCATTTTTCCCTGGAAGGCCTCGTCCCTATTGTACAGAGCAGCCCCCTCCTCCTCTTTTCCTCTGCACATTCCTGCAGCAACCAAGTACAAACACTGCTGCACCCCCAATGTTGAAATCCCACCCTCAGGGCTGAGACTTTTTTCCATTGGATGTGGCAAAAAAAAAGACTTTTTTTTTTTTCACTTTCAGAACACAAGGGCAGAAAGGGGAAGAGCGGCAGCATCATTTACATAAGAGCAAACATGGGTGGCATTCATTCTGAACCAAATGAAAAAACGATTTTTAAAAGGTTTTAGACAAGAAAAATGATGAAAAAGGTGCACATGAAGTCCAAACTGCCACCAAAAGACAATTACTGAGATGTTACTCACGCATGAACTCCAGGCAGGCAAGACATTTCCCCACAGCGAGCACAGACCTCTGCATGGACATCTCCCAGACAGACCACAGATGCTTCCCAAAGAGCTATTAATCTGACTAATGGGTTTTTTGTATGTTTAAACGTTTCATCCTGTCCCTGCAGCCCGATCCGTCCTCTCTGAAGTCCCTGCAGCTCCACAGCCTCACAGGCTCACAGAGAGAGAGAGGACTGCCTTGGGTCAGCGAGGTTTTCACAACCCCCTTACCCAGCAGAAACTGGGCCAGCGGCACCGATGCCAGGCGTCTTCTGTTGGGGTGGCACTGACCAGGCTGCCAGGGGATTGGTTATTCTGTGTGTGTTCGGTCAGTGGTGGGCAGGGGGCCCGGGACAGAGAGGGACACAAGGGACGGAAGAAACAAAAAAAAAAGAGACAGAATGGAGCAGGAGACCTAGTTAGGGAGACGAGGCATGTGATCGGATCCCATCACACGCAGAGATGAGAGGTCAGGTTATTTAGGGATAGAATTTAGATTCAGGGCAAGTTTGGTTATTAATTTCTTGTTAATATGTTAATATGCTCTGTTAGTCCTTTTTGTCTCCAAATTGTGAAGTGGACCCGGGAGGACAAATCCAAAATGCTTGTTTTGTACAACCAACAGAACTACAGAACCTAAAAATCAACAATCACATCAAACTGAGAAAAAGTTTCAAATTCTAGTAAGTGTGAAGCACATTTCACTACAGGTAAGCTCAATGTGCTTTACACTGAGGTGAAAAACACAGCTTACAACGAAAAATTGTTTCCACAGTCATGAATAAGACACAGAAATCAAATCAATAAAGACACACCCGCAAAGTAAACATCGATAACTACACAAGTGATCACACTCTCACACAAACAAAAAATACAGTAACTATTTATATGCTTTGGAGAACAGATAGGTCTGGAGTTTTGCTTTAAAAATAGAGACTGTTCTGACCTCAGTTCAGCAGGGAGTTTGTTCCAGAGAGAAGGACCACAGTAACTAAAGCCACCCTCTCTGGACTTTGATTAAATTCTGGGTACAGCTAAAAGACCTTCAACCTGATGACCTGAGGGGCCAGGTCGGGTTGTAGTCTGTGAGCAGGTCAGAAGTGTACTCAGGAGCTGAACCTTGGAGAGCTTTATGGACTAATAAAATGATTTTTAAAAGTGAGGAGCCAATGGAGTGTTTTGAGGACCACAATGTGTTCAAATTTTCTAGTAAGAGGCAGGACTCTGGCTTCTGAACTTGGAATAAGTTGAAGTGGTCCCACAGGTTGTTTGGATAGCCCGGCTTCAGAGGCGCTGCTTGCCAACAGGCAAGGCAGGCAACTGCTCTGGACCTCAGGCAAGTAGGGGGGCGGACTCAAACCACAGCAGGGGCTCAAAGTGTGCACATTTTAGCAATGACGTCAGAGTCAGCACTCCCTCTCCATGCCCTGCTAAACATCACATGCATAAAGTTTGTCAATGAAATTGAAGGAAAATAAAGATGAGTTATCTGTGTGGGAGTGAAAAGAAGACAGACGAGAAAGCAACAAGACACTGGCAGACATAATGGTGATGAACGCTGGCTGGAGGGGCCCGCAACCAATTTTTGCTTAGTGCCCTGACAGACTCTAGAGTCACCACTGCCCGGCTTCCAGAGCAGTGCAGTGATCTAACCTGGTTGATATGAATGCACGGACTAATTTCTTGATAATGACAACTAAAGGTGTATTTTCATCTCGCATTAACCTCCGGAAATACTCTTTATGATTCACCTGTAATGAATCATCTGTATCACCCTGGTTGCTGTTCTTGATCTAGTGTCTTGTGAGTATCTTTATGTGCAGGGAGCCATTTAAAAAAAAAAAACAGGAAATAGGATGTTATGGATGTGTTGTGTAAAGCCCCTGTGAGGAACTCTCATTTTGTGATCATATTCATTGTTAAGACAAATGGGATAGAGGGAGATGGGATGATATGCAGGAAGGATTTCTCCTTTGTGTTCCTGTTGTCCACACTTCCTTGCCGCTGAGGTGGAGGTCGGAGCAGATCGTGCATGAATGAGGACGGTGGTGGTCGTGGGGATGACACAGTCCGATGGTGGAGGCTGGGGGTCAGGGACGTCGGGTGGTAGTAGGGCCATATCACCTCGCCCTGCTCCTGGGCTTTGGATGACTTCACCTTTTTAAGTTTTAATTTTGTTCTGTTTAAGCAGCACAACATAGAGGCATCCTTTTTTTTTTTTCACATTGGCGGACACAAAGAATGACAACAGCTCATGGAGAAAGTAGTGATCATCTTATACGAGTTTCTTTTTATTGTTCAATGCATGGCCACACACATATACTGGTTTTCTTTTGCACTGTGCATGATGGGACAGTCACTATGGAGATGAAGTGTAGATGGGATACATTTTAGGAGTTTACAGGGGTCCAAACACAACCCACATTCCTCTGGGAGAGTCAGCCTGCCCCCCTGCCCCCCTCCCCCCTCTCTTCTGAGCCTCACCGATCACTAGCTACAACATGAGGCTAATCAGCTGCTACTTCCTCCTCCATCTAACACGACACGTTAAATAAATTCTGGATTACATGTTTTGTAACTTTCAGAACTGAAAGACTTGTTTACTTGTTTAGTGGATAAAGACACAACAACAACCCTTTCCCTTAAACATTCCTGCATATTTCATTCAGTTTCAGCTTACAGAAAGCAAAATAAACATTTGGGTACAAAAATAAAATTCAAATTAAAACCTTTAACAGGGAAACACCTGTTGAGTGTTTTATCTTTTTTTCTCTTCTCATACAGAGATAGCACAATACTTAAGTCACTGGTCACAAAAAGTACACCGCAAATAGAGAAAACCAAATGAAATAAAAAAATTTAAAAAGCCACAGAGGAAAGAAACCGGTCCGGGAGAGGAGTACATTTGTCCTCCTCAAACCTTCCTGGAGGTTTACGAGCTGCTGTGAGACGCCTGCTGTGATTTGTAAGGCGGGAAGTCTCGGGTGTCAGGTGAACAGAGACTGTTTTCTCTGTCTCTAAGTTGTCGTCATACACCCTCGACCTTTTGACACGCAGCCCTATGTGACCCGACATTCTTAACTCTGTTTCTCAAATACAGACTGAAGGGAGAGGGGAGGAGGGAACAGAAACCACAGCTCTAAATATCTATATGGATTCTTCTGAGCATGAATGTGTTTATGTCGGTGTGCTGTTTCTCTCTCGACACATAGGTACTCGTTTGCTAACATATACAGTGTATTCCTGGTTAGGTAGTGAACCAGGGGCACTTAAAACTTGTGTGGAGCCTTCCCCCACCGTTTTCCTCACTCCGACCACTAGAGGTCACTCTATATGTTTAGAATTGGGAGTGGGAGGTGGGGACATCTGCTGTTTCTTATAGCGCCGTTTCCCGCCCGTGTTTCTCTTTTCCTTTTTTTTTTTCACTCCACTGTTATATCTTTTTCCACCCCTCTAAGCTTTTAACTCCTTCCTCCGATTCAGCTTTCTTTTGAGTTGTTTTTTTTATGCCTTTGGAGATGTAGATACACACAGAGCAAAAGAGTGGGAGAGAGAAAGAGGGAGCGAGTGTTGTGATCGATCAGCTGTTTGCAGCGCCGACTGCTGCCCCCTCTTTGACCCTTCAGCCGATCTCCTTCCACTGCCGGTAGAACGCCACGATGTTCTTCAGCTCCATGCCTGCCGAGCCCACCGCCTGGATCGTCGTCTGACAGGACAGAGAAGAAACATGAGACTCAAATAAATAAAGAACAAGGATTTTAAAAATCTGTCTTCAATTTATACCCTGTGCTTCTACATATACATATTTTTTTAGATTAGAGATCCTGTAGGAAGATGCAGAATCTATATCTCGGTGACTTAATTTGTGTGTCTCAAGGTTTCTGGTTTCCATTTGTAGATTGAGTAGTATTCCGCAGTTTTAAAGGGCTTCATCTGTCAAGAGGTAAACAGTTTATGCGGAGAGCAAAATGGAAGGGGAACACTTTTAGCTGAAACGCAATCCCAGAGCAAGTCGCCTCTCACTTTAGGACGAGTTAGCTTTTAAATCATGTCTATATGCAGCAAACAATCTACTTTTAGGAATTGTTTCTCATACAAACCTCTTTTCATGTTTCCAGTCATAAATTACTTTCATACTCTTCATAGCGGGAGATTTTCCCAATCTGACGGAACAGCAGGGGTCTCATATGACGTAAAAAAATGGATTCTTGTAGTAATATTAACCATGACAAAATGTGTGTTTGTTAAAGAGCAGTGGGAAACATAAACCAGTGAAGACGACGACGACGTAGTAAACATAGAAAAGAACCTGAAATTAATTCTTTTTTAAAACTTGTTAGCTAAATATCAACCTCCTGATTGTTTGTTATTGTTTTATAATCTAACAAATCAAAGTGATGGTTTGTTCTTTGTTGACAGTAAATAGGATGCAGGTTCTGACCTTCATGGCTGCAGACTGAGTGCAAAGCTCTTCCACTTGATGGCCGGTGAGAATGGTCACCATGCCGGCTGTGTCTTCATCTCCGTTGCTTTGGGAGACGGTCAGCTGACGGCAACTGTCCACCATCTTGTATAAATGCCTAAAACATTTTGTAAGCGGAAAAAACAGAAGTCAGACTAATTGAATCATTTAGACAGGAAACAAACAGATCTTATTGTAGAAGGGGAAGAAATCTTACCAGGCTTCGATGTCTTGACGCTTCAGTTTATCTCGTTCAAAACTTCGACCTGATTCCTTCTGGCAGCGTATGTACCTACAGGAGGATGTAAGAAAGTCAACGTTTAGTTTGATGGAAGAGAAGTTAGTTTTGTGTTGAAAATGTCAAATAAGACATGGACACTACTTCCTTTTCTAAAAAGAAAGCAAAGAACAGTTCATACAAACACCCACCTGTTGCCTTTACGGAATTCAGACTCCAGGAAGCGAATGCCGTCCCTCGCACCAGCGTTTTCCTTTTTCAACCGGTCAAGTCCATCGATCACTACAACACAGTAAGTCCACATTAATACCCGAGAAAACGTTCACGTCGGGGGTACAGACTGACTCAGATTGACTAAACCTGAATCAGAGTTCAACTGAAGTTCGACGTATGATTGTGTAATAGTCGTGGTGGAATGTCCGCTCTCACTGTACGACCTGATTGTCGGGTAAACCTGAGCGCTCACACTGTACGAGTCAAATCTGGATGAAGCATTCACAAGTTTCAATGGAAACTGATGGAGGTTTTTTTTTTTTTTTTTCCAGATGTCTCATATGCACGGCGGCTACAAACATCCTAAGAAACACTCACACACACAAGAGAGGGGTGGGGGGGGGGACAGATGAAACAGGCATGCCTCCTGTTGCCATGGTGATTTTAGATGATTTCTGTCAGTTTAAGCAGGTGAAGAAATCAGGGGGGCAAAGTCCCGGAGCCTGGGAATCGGCTCATGGTTCTGCTTTCACTGTGTGAATGAGTGTAGCCGGACGACCAAAATATCAAACATGCCAGAAAATCATCCGACCGGTCGGAAGCAGCTGATCAGGCTGTTATCGACCGTTGTACCGCAGTGTGCACTGCACAACTGATGCCAGGCGATTGGGCTGAAATTTGGACCCACTTCAAAATGAGTAGTACGACCCAAACATCGGGTCTAAATCGTCCTGAAATCACACAGTGGACGCCCGACTTTAGTGAAGAGAGAATATTGAGGCTAAAAGGAAGTTTGTCTTTAAAGGAAGCACACATCTAGTTCCATGTTTAAAGAAGCATAAACTGGTTTGTGAGTAGTCTATTAAATGACTTATTGTAAAAAAAACAAAACAAAACAAAAAAAAACAACTGCCTATTACAAGTCCAATATTCCAAGGTAAAGTGTTTCCAAGGTAAACTGCTTAAATACAACCGAGGCTGAAAACAACAAATAGTGATGTTTTTTATTTTCTTGTTAAAAAGATGAAGGCTTTGCACTGACCCGTCCGTGGGATGATGATGATGAAGCAGCCGCTGCCCGCCAGTTGTCTGATGAGGTTCAGATGCTGACAGAGAGCAGCTGTGTCTGGCACCAGGTAGGGAGACATGGACGACTGGGCCTTGGGCTGCTGAAGGCTGCCCTCTAGCTGCGACACCTCCAACTGCAAGGAACAAACCGGAAAATAGAGACACAAGAAAATGATGTGAGGGTTAAAACAAAGTCACAGAAATAAAATAATACCTCTGTTTTTTATTTTGACAGAACCACAATCTGATGATTTTAGTAAGCTTTCATCCATACTGGTTCATTTTAATGTCGCCTAAACATAGAATCTATTCTTCTCTACCAAACATCCATCATTTCTAACTATTTCCATAAACAAACTTGGAAACATTTTCTCTCTCTTTAAGAAAAGGAGCTGTCTGAGCTCAATATGGGAATAAATCATATTCTTAACCTGTAGTCGGAGCTGGGCCATATCCCTCATTAAGCGATTTCGTCGAGCCTCTTCTTCGGCCTGGACAGAAGATGAAGATGAGGACAAAAAAAAAAAAAAACATCATCAGAAGAGATCACATGATCAAAAACCTTTGGTTGCACATCATTAGATAAATATTCTTCCCTTCTGCACATTTCAATAAGTCAGCAGTTACACAACCACACACAGTCTTAACGAGACTTCACTGGATCCAGACCCCCCCTGGTGGTTTTCGTCCGGTCATTGTTCAGATGTCACTCACCATTCGGAACTGGGCCTTGGCCTGCTGCACCAGATTGTCCTGTTCAGACTGGCTGATGCTGGTGAAGATGCCCGCCTCCGGGTTGAAGTGCAGCACGTTGCCCTGGAGATTTGTAAGGAAATGGCCAAAGCTGCGGATGCAACACACTCGCACCACACACTGAAGGAGAGATGAGGAAGAAAATCATGTTAATGCTTTCATATTTGTGTGTGAGTACGTTTTTAGCTCCAACAAGTAGCCAAGGGAAAATAAATCTGAACATGTTTAGTGTCTAAAACTGTCTGTTAAAGTTGAGTTGAGCTAAAAACAGGAGGAGGTTTAAAGCTGCTTTAAATGATTTTTCTATATGAAAAAAGCCAATGACTTAAACTAAGGTGAAATGAAACATATGGATGATCCTGAGAGCTATCAATCGATTCAGCAGTTTTCATCTCTTAAAAAATAAATAAATGTTTAAGCCTCTTTAAAGTTATTGTTTTGATTTTACATCTCAAGCTTTGTTGTTTTGTTTCTATACGCTTGCTGCTTTATTCAGTTGAGTCAAATCCTATCAGTGAAAAAGCTTTGATAAACCTACTGCATGCTGCCTGCCCAAAAACACAAAAAATGAACAAGTTGGGGATTAGAAGAATCTTAATCCTTAAAAAGGTCAGAATAATGACAAAAATAATACTCTGGTTGTTACTCTTTAGCCGCTTATTAACTACAACAACTTTATATTTGTTATATTGTTTGGCCTCGGGCCTGTGGAGGACAGCTGAAGAGAGACAGAAAATATTATCTATTCTATAATATAGGAGAGTCTGGGGTGACTTGCAACAAGGGCCGAAGTTGGATCCCGAACCCATTTCTGCTGCGACGAGGACTTTTAGCCTCTGAACATGGGGCGTGAAACATAACCACTAGGCTATTGACGCCCCAGGAAAACAACTATCTAAGATATGTTAACTTTCAACATAATGTTTCAAACGTAACGTTTAATGAAAGAGAAAGAGAGACCCTCCCTTAACCCCGCCCCCAATGACACACTGAGTAGTTCATATTATCACACTGCAGATGGTGAAGTATTTTTTGATTAGTGAGCAAAAGAAAAAAACATACATCTTAGAGAAGAGTTGGTTTCATTATGATCAACTCATCTGGAATGAGTTTATTTGATTCATCCAATAATTGCTGAGTTGAAGTTAAAAACAGGATGGATACAGACAGATCTGCAGGTGGTGTCAAGCTGCAGAAACATGTTTTAAACCTGCCGGTTCTTTACAATGGTCAAGAACGGTAATCACAATTCACACACAGGTGGTTGCATCAAATAGCTTGCTATATCAGAGGAAAAGCCTGACATCTTTAGTTCACTTTCACATAAACAAACGTGAAAGTGAAGAAACAGCTGGCAGTTTGTTTTCTGTTGATCCAATAATCTTTCCAAAAACTCATCATCATTATCACCACAGTCTAAGTGTTTCAGGCTTGTTTCATTAAATCTGCTTTAAGGCCTTTATAATCTTGGCACTAGTCGACTTCCAGGATGGTGAGATAAACAAACTGTTATCTTTGCTAACTTGTTCAAAATTGTTGTGGTTCTGCGAAAGTTTGCCTATCAGAGTTTTCAATTGTTTTTGTCTTGCCAACACTGAAAAGCTATTAAGCTGTATCTTGCCTGTTTGTTGTGAATATGTGTGTGAGTTGTAGGTGTGTGTGTGTACCTCCTGTAAGGGGCTGAGCGAGGGGTTGCGTCGGCTGAAATCGAGGCGGCGATGAGCTACGCTGAGAGCAGGCAGGTGTCGCAGAGCCAAATCCTCGGGCAGCAGAAGACTTTGGACCAAACCGGGATGCTCACATTCATTAATGAGCTCTGTCACTTCTGTGTTTAGACCGAGCTCTGCAGAACAGAAACAGATAAATACTGAACGGCAGTAGACGAAGTCGTAACCGTGTAAAGAAATCACACGGAGACAAATATCCAGGGAGAAAGCGGAGCATCAACACTGTTTGTGAAAGGGACATATTATACCCCTTTTCCACCTTTTCAAACAGTCCCCTGTGGTCTAAATGAAACATCTGTGCTGTGCTTTGGTCAAAATATAACATGAATCAAGCACCAGAGGAGGTTTGTGACCCTAACTAAACCAGCTCTCTCAGAACACTCCGTTTTGGTGTGTGTGTCTCTTTAAATACAATGAGCCCCCCCTGAGTTTTCCCAGTAGACAATACTACTCTGTAGAGAGAATAAAAATAGCAGACCTGCTCAAAAGTTTGCTCTAGTCTGGGGGTGGAGATACGAGGGGAGGGGAGGGGATTTTTTTTTTTTTTTAAGAGAATCCCACTGTGACATCACAAGGAGAGCACATTTGAAAGGGAGCATTTTTCTCTGTGTTGTTAGACTTTATGCAGACCACAAACAAAGGACTGGATGGATTTATTTCATATTATGTGGGCCGGTAGTTACTCAGGTTCTTAATATGTCTCCATTAAATGAAAGTGCAGGGACAAAATCAGAGCATGGAGCTGTGAACAGAATTCAGATATAAAAGATAAGATTACATCAAACATGAGAGAACTAATGACAAAAAATACATGTTGGCAAATATACTTAAAGGCATTACTTTAACATAACTACTCCATATTTCTTTCAGATGCTGTTTTGCAAAAGCTGGTAAATAAAAACTAGATTTTGCACCAAGGAGTCGCATTATGGATTGATGTCCCACTTTGAGTCTGGATGCTGAACATGAAGTTCTAACCAGCAGGTTGTTGAGTCCAGCTGGGCATAAAGACTGGAAATGGAGAGAAACAGCTAATCTGGCTCTGTGTCCCAGATTTAAAAATTCCGCCAATCAGTATTAAAAGTTCAGAACGGGGCTGGGTGATGTATCGAGTTTTTAAGATCTATCAATATATTTTCAGACAAGAAATAAGGTTCAATAAAAGGTAAAGTAAAAATGACACTCAGAGAATTTGAGACTAGTTCTCCTTTATATTAATGGTTTAGTTCTGTCTCCACATCAGGCATTCTTGGACCCAATGGGGATAAAAAACGAGACACTGCTGCGCCGTCCTGTGACGACTGAGCGATACTCGGGTATAAATATCTCTGCACTGCAGTCTATCAGAAACTCACCAGCCTCGAGCATCTTGCTGCCATCTGGAAGCAGGTTGAGCAGCACGGACAGTCGGTTCCACAAGCTTTGAGAGCTCTGCAGGGAGAGAACAGTTTGGTTACTAAAGACCTCTAAATGTTAATGTAACAAAGACTTATGCAGGACTATGTTCGCCTCACCTGTGCACACATGAGGATAATGTCGGTGTTTGTCCTAAGCCAATCAATAAAGACCTTCACCACCTGGATCAAGCCCTGATTGGTCAGGATCTCCAGCTTCTCTAAGAGGGTTTTCTCACTGTGGACTGACGGAGTACTGTGTTGGCTGCCTTCAGAATCAGAGTCCAGGTCTAGAGGAGGAGAAAAATAAAAGAAGGCAAGACACGATTGATTTTAACAAAGTAACACTGACTTCTTTACAAATCCAATTTAAAAGAAATGGTTGAACAAGAAAACCTCCCGAAGAAGTGACCTGAAATAAACAGTTTATATTTTTTGCTTCCTATAAATCTTAATCCTATAATTTCTAATTTTACACATTCTAAATATCGTTTCAATAAATATAATCGATGCTAGCCTTTCAGATTCAGCCCGGCTCTCATGGCTCGTAGGGAGTCAAACCTCTCAAAACTTCAGGTTTAGATTTCCTTTGAAGGAAATGTAAGCTTGTGTTGTCCCAATGTATACATTTAGCCATGAGCTTGGGAGTCTTAAACACTGACAAAAGATGCATTCCCACCCAACTAAACGCTTGTATGAAACAAAATCGATATCTCCGTACTCTGTTGCTTTTGTCCACATGTGAAAATATGAAATTTTAATTAAACTGAAAATAAACTTTTCTGCCTGAGTGTCAACTTCCAAAGACTAGTTCTTAAAAACTTTCCATCATCGTAAACCGTGGAAGAGGGACACAACAAAAGGTTGACTGGATGCGACATAGTTACCGTTTTCATTTGTTCCATTGGCGGTTCCAGGGTTCTTATCGCAGGATGGATCCTCAGGTGGAGGAGGTGTCTCTTGGGAGGGGGGAGCAGACGAGTCAATAGGGGTGGGAACGCCAGAGGGAGACGTAGCTTGAGGCTTCAGGAGCATGTTGCTGAAGGTCGGCGCCAGTCTGAAACAACGCTTGGCCTGGAAGAGCTGGGAGGACATGGCCTGCAGGTTGCTGCTGATGCTAGAGTCTCCAGGCAGGAGGGGCCCGTTAGTGGTCGGAGGCGTATCGCCGTCTCTGTCCCCTCCTTCTTCCTTGGGTTGCTCTTCGTCTTCCTCTTCCTCCTGGTGCTCCTTTGTCTGATTCTCTGTGTTGTCTGAGTTTTCGGCGTCCTCCATGTCTTCCAGATCGGATCGAGACTCCTGGCTGTTCATGTCTGAGTCGGTCTCTACATCAAACGCCGTGCCTCCTTCCTCCTCTTCCTCTGATCCACTCCCCCAGCTGCCCTCCTCAGCCAGGGGGTCTCTTTTAGTCCCCTTCCTGATGGTTGGAGGATTGGGGGGTGTTCCAGCCATGTTGCCACCTGTTGAATCAGTGTGGCCCCTCCTCTCTTCATCCTCGTCTTCATCTTCTTCGCTCTCAAAGCCTTCGCTCAGGTCGCTTTCGTCATCTCCTCGGGTGTCCTTGCGGGCACAGCGGCGCCGGCGGAGTCTAGAGAGGCGGGTGTACTTCTTCTTCTGTCTCTGCTTGTCCTCTTCAGTCTTTCGCTGTTCTTCCACACTGCTTTGCTTTTTGGCACCGACTCTTTCACAGCCATCTTCGTCCTTCTCATCCTCATCTTCTTGCTCCAGGGAGCCGTTCTGCAGAGGCTTCTCTTCAGATCGATCTGCTGATGGAGCCGCCGAATCCATCGTCTCCAAGTCATCTAGACAAGAGAGGAACATTTTAATTAGATTTATTCTTTCATTAAAGCTGCTTTAAAACTACATATATCACATTACAACATCATTTTGTTTCAGACAGGTCGTTAATGAAAGAGCTTATCAATAAATATTCAAAACTCTAAATTGTTATTGACTTGTCAATTCATCAAAAAGCTTCATAGACCGTCCTTTAAACCACAAAGAGCCTTTTCAACTTTAATCTTAGAGGATGTTGCTGATGAGGATAAACTGAGGTTGCTGCATTGATCCATGTGTCAGTGACCGGCTGAGAAATTTCCTCTTTTGTGCTGACTTATCAGGAATTTCTCTTTTAAGTGTTGAACTAACTTGCAGTAAGCATTTCTTTCCCTCTCTTCTCATACAGAGATGGGGGGTGTCCTCTCTCACCTGCAGCGTCTGTGTGAAGTGGCGGCACCTGGCTCTCCGCTTCCTCCAGTTCAGCCTGCAGCCGGATGTTGACATGGTTCACCAGATGGGAGAACAACGCCAGAGTGAAAGCGATGGATGCACTGTACTGCTTTGATCCTGAAAACACAATTACAACAGTTAGTTAGAAGACCAAAGAAATCGTTAAAAAAAATGTGTAATGTGTGCAAAAGTTTCTTAATCAAAATCATTCCCCATAGCACTTCATGAGATGATCCTGATAAACTCATAAATGGGTCAGTGTGAGCTTGTTGCACAAATATTTGTATCAACCTTGAGGTCAATATTTGAAAAGACTGGAAAGTACAGAAATGCAAAAATTTGTTATATCGCTCTGATCACACAACATTTCAGTCTAACCGACTTTCATCAGGTAGGTCTGTTAGAAGTGTTGTACGATCTAATAAATATGTCAGCATAGAGCGAGCCAGTGTGCGGGAGCCTTTCTCAGTTCCTTTAAGTTTTACCCTCCTCTGACGCACCTGTCATACATTCAGGTGTATAGAGATTTAAAAAAAAAAAATAAACTGAGAAATGTCATTCCACGTACATTTCCTGTTTGATTCTTTAAACGATAACTTCAAGGGAACCTCAACGACAATGATCATCTCTTAAATACTGACATTGCTCTGGTTAGTCTAGAATAACGTTTAAATAAACATATTTGTATTCGGAGTATTATTCTCAAATGCTATATTTGTTTTGAAAGAAAATAAGGAACTTCCAGCAGATCGAGAGTTACGACATAAACTTAACAATTGCCAAAAAAAGAGAACTTGCAACAGATTGAAAAGTAAATGAAAATAGCTGAAGTGAACGGTAAACATGAGGGGAAATGTTTGATGTGGCAGGGTGCGTATTACTTTTGACTTGTCATAGAAGCTGTTTGGGAGCTTGAGGCCATTTAAGGACAGAATGTAATTGTCTTTATATCCTGTACAGCAACAATCAAAATATAGTTGAGATCAAACAAACACTGACCTCCCCTCTTCAGGCTGTGCACCACCATCAGACATGTCACCACCATTTTGAAGACGAGTGTGTCGGGCAACACCGGACAGGCGCTGTCGGTGTGCTGCGGCTCCTCCTCCTCCTCGCTGGGAGGGTGGTGAGCAGCACCGTGCGTGGGCGGCGGCAGGTAGAACAGCACCAGGTTGAAATCCTCCAGCACCGACTGGCAGAGTGACGTCAGCTCCGTCTCCATTAAACTACGAGCAGACAAACATAGGAGGGAAAAATCAAAGGGTAGCACGCTATTGGTACAAGCAAGGTATCAGGGTTTGCTATTTCTACAGTCTCCATTATTACAAACAGGAAACACTTTGCCAGTAATTTCTGTTCTATCTGCTGTATTCAAACTTCACATCATTAATTATTTGATTAAGATATCACTAGTGCAGGTAAGAGGCCCAAAACCAAACATGCCAATAAAAAGTCAAAGATTAAGATACAGTAAAGGCAAAGGTTTATTTCAAACAGTAGAAGAGCATGCTTGATTTCTAGCCGGGAGATGAGTGACTGTTTGAGCACTTACCTGTTCTTGGGTTGCAGCAGGCTCTGAAGGTACATGAAGCTCACCAGGAGACGCTTAATGTCTTTTGATCTGCAGAGAAAAGTCATGGTTAAATGACTGATGATGATAAATTAATTGTGCAAATATACCATCAAACATTACTGGCATGAATGCATCTTAACATGCAAACCCAATCAGAACTTCTAAAGCTGATCATAATGGATAAGAAGCATGATCAATACCAGCACCAAAAACCCAGATGTGTTTCTGTTTCTACACACTTATTTATTTGTGTCCATAGTAGTCTTGTACTCCTTCTGATTTTTGGTACTTTTGTTGCTGCAACTTTCTAATTTCCCCCACAGGGATCATCCGTTATCTAAAACCGTCTGCAGACAGATGCTGCTTCATCCCACCACTTCTAAGAGTTCCTTTGTGATTCCAACGGAGGTCAAGCTAGTTGGTAATTGTGTGATTAAAGATAAGATTATAGTTTAAAATTACCCTGGGAAGGCCAGCACAAAGAAGGCAACTTATTGTGTTTAGATTAACCAGGCAGCAAGCAAGGAAAAGAAAGAACAACAATTATTATCCCACTGCGTCCAGAGAGGGTTCATATCCTAACGAGGCCTCAGAGGAACTTGTGGAGAGCATGTTGGTATGAGAGAATGAATTTAAACTGCTTCTGCCTAAAATCTAAGGTCATACACTGTAAGGACTCGTACCGGGACTGATCTGGATTACCCTGGAATCCAATTTATCATCATGTGTGTCCTGTCCAAGGTGTACAGACTCCCCTAAACCTTCCTCACCTTTGTCGCGATGGAGACAACTTCTTCATTTCCTGCTTCTTCACTTGATGGTACATCTTAGCAGCTTTGTCAAACAGGCGCTTCAGGTTGCCGTAGGCCCCTTCAAAGGGGGCTTCTGATTGAATGCTGGAACAGATGAAATATCTGTTTAGACTCTGCACTTATTAACCAGTGGTTCAATACTTAAAACTCAAACAGGTTTGTGTATGAACTCCTCACCAGCGTAGGTAGTAGTAGGTTGCTTCAACGTTGTAGAACTTGCTCCCTGCCAGTGTGCCCAGTTGGTTAAAAGGCATTCCTGTAGAGACATTGATGAAGATATTTGTGAACAACAGGTACATTTTTAATTTTAATACAGCTTAACCATGACAGGGGCTGTGTCCGAAATCTCTCCCTATTCCCCATACAGTGCACTTATATATATATATAGAGAGTGAATAGACCATGTTGTAGTGCTTTCCACATTCTGAGTGAAGGATCATATCTTATTAAGTCCACTCATTGTATCCCACAATGCATTGTGAAAAGCAGTGTACTACCGATGGTCACTATCCAATATATACCATCATGCATTGCAGTTCAAAGATTTTTATGAGCGGAGAGAGGCGTTCGACTCGACTGCTCCCAGACGAACGACCAGCGTGAAAACAGAAAGACAATATTCATATTTAGAGTAATGTAACTGAATCTAATCTATGATCTGTTCAGATAAAGAGTAAAAGATCATCAGCGTTAGTAACGGTAGTTTGTCCTAATGTTGATCACAGACACGAGACCAGAGTCTGTAAACACAAATAAACTAGTTTTGGTATGTTTAATTATTTATTCAAAATTCAGCATATTTAATGAATGTATTTGTTTGAACTGTTTTTTGAAAATAAACTCAGTATGATAAAGGTTATCACTGAAATTCATGCAGTTATTTACAGTTATTATTAATCCTCGGCCGGAGTTAAGCTGCACGTTTGAGCTGCGTGATTACAATGACGTCACAGTCAGCAGCAGACGAGTGGGCGAGTAGTGTCCAAGTATTCTTTAATTATGCCAAACAGTGCACCATATATGGTAGTCCACTACATATAACTTACTTTATAATGAGTAGGGAGGAGGGAATGAGCGTGGCACAGCCTGAGATTAATCACTGGATGTTTTCTGCTCAATTTAGATTTAGTTTTTGTACTGCTACAAGCCAAGACTTGAGACCACAAAAGAGCTTCAGCAGAGGAGATGTGATGCTCACTTTTAAAACAACTTTCAGCTTCAGTTCACTTTTCACCTTCCACCTATGAGCATATTTAAAGCTCTTAAATAACCCATTATACTTCATTTGTTTCATCTGAATATAGACTAAATGTTGGGATGTGTTTAAAACATGCACATCTATTTTCATATGTAATGAAGCATAAATTAGCCTAAAGGGAACCTATTTTCTTAAACAGTAGTCCTTGGACTTTAAGTTCTGGGGCATCCTGCTGTTCTTGGAAAGAAATACAAGCCAGTGAACAACAAAGGTCTGAATCATGAGATCTTAAATTACAGGCACTTACCGACATGTGGCATGACGGACAGGGCCTGGTGGTAAAACCTTTCTGCCAGCTGCTCAGCCTCCACGCCAGCAAGTTCATTCTGATAACGGGCTGAAAAGTGAACAATCATGAAGTAAATCATTCATGTTCACAACAAGATACAGCTACTTTGCTTTTATAAATAAATGAGTATATCTACAACGACAGATACGTCATAATCCTTTACATAAAAGTCAAAAACAAAAGTATGAAATAAATCTTTTCAATTGTCAGTTTTAAATACAAACAGAGAACTGTGCAGAAATATTTAATCTGCTTCTGTATAAAGACGTAAAAACAATGCAAATCCTATCATCTGATTATCAAATAAGTCTTCACCAAGCAAACAGCCTCATGCCAATTACATTCTGTATTTAAGCCAACATTTCCCACGCTGCATTTCTTACACATGCCATCTCTCACTTGTGCGAGCAACTTTGCATATTCTATAATCATGTTATTACCTAGATCTCCGAGGTAGACCAGACAGCGATGACAGGCCATCTGTGCCCACTCCATCTCCTTGGGGGTGGCTGACACTGGTTTCTTCCGGCCTGAGGGAAACAATTACACAATGCTCTTCTCATTTCAAGTATTTATCTTGTGCACTTCACCCAAAAAAAAAAAAAAATGTCTCAGAAATGTGTAACAAGAGAACAAGCTTGAAATCAAGCAAAAGTAGAGTCCAAATGTCAGAACCTTCACTCAGATTGTTTGAAACACTGGTTCTCCGTCCCTGAGGTGTTAGTGTCTAAAAGGTTTTATGTTTCAGCAGGCAAAGAAGAATTTTTTTACTGGTTATATCCCTCTATAAGATACATTTTCATTCCCCGCAGAAAGATGGGATCCTTCACCCCATTTTCTCCCTACGTATAAACCCCAGTGGAGGGTCATCGGAATCTCTACATTTAATCTGTGCAGCATGTTCAATACAATGCCGACAGATAAAACCACGCATCTAAAGTTTGTCAGAGGTACAGGATGAATCAGGGATGTTATTGGAGTCACAAAACAAATGTATGAACTTGTCATCGAGCAATCATTCCATTAAACACAGGCCTTATGTTAGGCATCATCATCACACATTTTAGTCTGTATTAGAGGGGGAATCATCGGAGGCCCCACGATATATTATTACGATACTTGAGTCACAATTCACAATATTGCCATTGAAACATTTTGCGATAAACTGAGAGTTGGTATACAGTATATTGTGATTCAACTTTCTTCATTGCATATTATGTCCACAAAATTAAACTAAATCAAGAGCTGCTTCTGACCTCAGTCTATTCATCTCACTTCTGTCTTTTTATTTCTACACAATGGGAGTCTAACCACAGACTGACCAACACTGTGATCAAAGTAAAACCCTGTTACAGGCTGCATGCACCTCTCAATCTGAACTGTTCGTGTTTCAGTCTAATCGAACTTCAATGGACACAAAGATGTATCAACAACTGAACAACTGCGGGAATTTTTAACAATGCAACTTGTTCAAAATGAATAGTGCAACCCCTTCAGCACTTAAAAATTAAAAAGCACATTTGCTGTTAATATAATAAAAATATAGATACTTTGGGGCCCCTGAATAGTATCGCCACACAAAATACAGCGATATGCTGTATCGATCCCCCCCACCTCTAGTATATATGCTCCGAATTGTACTTATTTCACTTAACAGCTGATTACCCATCTTTCAAAAAGTGATTTTAGGTATATCCATGATGATTCACATGTTATAATCCAGAATTTCGTATTTATCTGGATGATTCCCATTTCTCTTAAAAAACAGGCTGCAGAGGTCATAAAAAAAAAAAAAACCTTTCAGGGTGACCCTGCACCTGTCCGTGTGTCCTCGCTGACAATAGCTTTACTTGGCAGTTCTCAACCCATTTGTCTGCTTTGCATCATGCATGGTAACAATGACATCTGATCCCTACTGAATTCAGAAAATGGACACTTGTGCACCTGCTGTGATCACACGATTCAAGTGTCAGGAGAGTGTACGAATAATACCTGCAGCAAATGAGGTCTGTGGGTCTGTGCAGTGCAGTCTTGAATCAACAAGTTTCAAAACACTCATAATACCTTATATAACAGGATTTACACCCATTTCACAAGAAATGCTTTCGAAGGATGCAGAAGCCATGGTCAGCGGATTAAGGTTAATTTCACCCTTGAATAGAGTGTATTAAAAACAGGACAATACAACAGCATTGAGAAATTATTAGTTTGATTATCACACCAAGGCTTTTTTCTGTGTGACCTTTAAAATGTCTTCAGTGAAAAATGCCCATGACTGATCAAGATTTTTAAGAGAAATGATCATCTGAGCAGACAGCTGGTGTGCATGTCACAGATACCTCTGACAAACACTCAGCAGGCGTTAGATTCTTTGGAGATTAGATATTGTTTCTGTATCTTTGTCCGTGAGTTTTTTTTTTTTGTTTGGCTTACCAATCAGTGGGTCTGTGACGTGGGTCCAGTCGATGCAGTCCTGCAGCTCCAGCTGGTAGTGTGACTGGATGTAGAGCAGCAGGTGCTGGTAGAAACCAACTCCGGCAATCAGGTGCGTGCGGTAGGCACACTCCAGAGCGCTGCGACTGTGGATGTGCTACCATGGAGGAAAGAGTCAGAAAAAAAAGAGAGAGGAGGGAAATCATTACAGGTGTACTCCAAAAGAAACAGGACCTACATCACAAAGAAGAGTTCTATTATAGAAAAAGTTATAATTACAGTTAATAAGGTAAATATTAAGGTGCTGCATGAACACGGATTCAGGCAGTAAGTAGACATCAGACCAGAACAAGAAGCTTGTTTTAATCATCCAGAGATTCTTTTGGACTTTCAAAAGTTTGTTTTGGTCTCTGTCTAAGCAATGTGAATACAGATTTTAGGTTTACAGTGAGACTCGAAAACTAACCAATTTAAAGGAAAGGGATACACTGTTATAAGAACAGCAGACAAAATAAGAAAAAATATATTTGAAGCTAAACTCGTCATTGAAAATACTGATTGGTCTTCCTGTCCTTACATCACACACATGATTCTGTTAACAATGGTGGAACAGAAATAAACATACCTACATGACAATTTAGCACAAAAAGCAAAAACTGTAAATGCAAAAAATGGGTGAGAAGTAAAACCCCAGTTGCTCATTTTATGCATTAAATGCAAAGAATCAGTGAAATGCTCAATGAAGCGACTTCTTGACTTACCAGTAAATACTTAAAAAAATTGGCCAGGTAAACTTGAATCATTTAAAGCAACATTTAATGGTCTTCCCTTGTTGGTCCAATAGCTGTAGTGACATTTTCATGGACTTGATTTCCACTGGGACCACCCATGCATAACATGTGCACACTTTTGGAACTCAATGAGTTACGCTATGAGCCAGTGATCACAAAATACTAAATGTCATTGTAGAGTTGACCTTTGTTAAGGCCATAATGTCAAGCCTGCTAACAGCAGACAAAGTGCTTGCCAACAGGTTTTTTTCCCCCACAGTTGTAGCAGGGTAAGTTACCTTCTTGTTGGTCTTGATAACCTGGATGACCTCATAGTAAACCTTCCTCCAGAGCAGCTCCTCAGCCTTACGGCCGTAGTCAACAGGGTGGAGAAACATCAGTTTCACACAGAGCTCCCTCAGCCTGAAAACACAGAAAGCAAAACAGACAAACGTGCATGAATTAAGGAAAAGTTGTTGGATAACCAGTTTGACAAGTGGACCAATGAGTCAACCTAGTTTAGCATGAACAAGTGGCAGGTGAACACAAAAGTGCACATCATTGATGCAATCACAAAAAGTGTAAAATAACCACAATTCAATGGCCTTAAGTTGCAACTCTACTACAACTGAAGATTCTTGTAGTATGGGACAAAGACAAATCCTTTTTTGCATCAGTGATAACAGTTTTTCTGTCATTCTGTGACTCATAGGGGCTGTGTGAAATGTTTCAGTAGTCAGAGATGTTCACTGGAGTATTGTGAAATCTCAGTCCCCACTTTGTGTATGCAGCCAAAGGCAAGATTATGTTAATACTGATAGTCAAGTACACAACATATTCTGTCCTCTTTGAGCAGATTCACTGCTTGCCTCTTCCATTCTTCACAGCGTAAGAGGATAATATAATACTTAACGATAACATGATGCTAATTTTGAGGTGCTAAATGATCACATTTGCATTTAATTAAAATATATGACTTCAGCTCCTACATATACCAGGCCTTCTTGAGAGAACTTTTTATTCGGGAAAGCATCTAAATACCGGAGCTACAAAACCAAAATATATATTATATATAACAAAACATCAGTATTTCCCCACTGTAAGAAGCTGGAAACTGCACAGGTTTGACATATTCGGTTAAACAAGATCAAATGAAAGATTCTTCAGACTAATATTCTTACTGATTAAACTACAACGTGTACTATACGAGGCCCTGACAACAACAAAGGGCTATGTAGACAATTTTTAAGAACACATGTTGGCTGACAGTCACTGAGCTGGATGAGATACAATCTCCTCCTGTCTGTGTAGACATACAGTCAAGCCTCTTTCTAACATTTGCATCCAACTTCCTCTTTCTTTTTCGGAGCTTTCGGTTCATTATATCCAGTTTGAAAATAGCAAACGCACTCATATTCACAGGCTGTAAGACTGAGAAAGTTACTTAAGCCCTTTTCACATTTGCACCCTGATAATCGCTACATTTCAGGAGGACTGCTACTGAAATTCTCCTGACATTGTTCACGTATGCACCTCACAGTGGGAGACTATCCCTGAAAGACAGGGGTAGGGGGGGTCTGCTTAGGTAAGACATAACGCAAACAAAGCGATGCAGAAGTAGCAGACAAAGCATTAGAGTCGATGCTATAATGGGAATATCTGCCTTTATGGCAATGCTATGCATACTCCAACAGAATTACAATGTCAACAAAAGAGCGGCTAAGAACATACTGGGGAACATAAAATATAATGAAGATGATTTATCACGTCCGCAGAGATCATAGCGGTCACATGCATACAGTCTATACACAGTACAGTGATCACATGATGTAAATATCACCACCCTCTCCCAGCATAGTATCCTGCTGCTTTCTCACATTAGCTCACTCTGACTTTATGTGGAAAAAATGCTAGAAGGCTGGTGAGGAGAAACTCCAGATAAAGTCATTTGAGTTCTCCTGCAAATTAGGTTTTTACAAGTGAGAAAAATCTTATCAGTTTAATCATTTTTATCTTGCAAAGAACCCAATTTCTTCTAGATGTATGCCAAGTGTAAACCAGATTTAGACAGACATCAAAGAGTAGATAGCATGTCTGTCAAGAGATACTGAGAGGTGCAGTCAAAGTTACACTCCTGTCTTCTTTCACACACAAACTGCTGATGTAAGTGGACCTACTTGTTGCGAAGGCTGATATTCTCTGGCTTGAAGACCTCTCTGTAGGATGATTTGGTGCCGATGATGACATCCAGCTTGTGCACAGACTCCACGACAGCCCTGGGTACCGTTTGGCAAAAGCAAGGATTAGAATAATGACAATTTGAAAACTGTGCGCTAAAAAGAAACTTAAAAAAAACGATCTACAATTACTTCAGCTTCTCAAATTTGAAAGTAAGTCAATTCAGCATGTTTAGAAGATATCCCTTATTATATAACACCTTTTCCAGCTACCAGACTTAGTCCATACTGGGACTGGAGCCGGCAACACTCCAGTTCCCAACCCAAGTCCCCACAGACTGAGCTTCTAAAATTTCACTCTATCAAAAATGGTTTGAACGCATGGACATGATGCCCAAGGTTTCCATCCACTACTTCAAATGTATGCATGCTCAGAGAGAAAGCATCGCTTGTTTGCAAAAGAAAATAAAGTATGGCAATAGAGTCAGACTTCCTGTGATGTGTTTATTATGTATTTATTATCATATGCGGTGGATTGCGCAGCACTAATTTGCTGTTTTCGTTTGTTGCAATCCATCTTACATTGTATGATCACCCTTTGAGTATGCTTTGTATTAATTTAACAAAAAAATAACAAGTGACATACGGTACTTATGAATTCAACTCGTTCACGACTGTGACATCACTATCTGTTTCATTTCTCTGTAAAACAAGCGGTTATAGAATATAATAGAATTACTTTACTGATCCCAAACTGGGAAATTGTGGCGTTACAGCAGCAGGTTATCAACACATAATGAGTAAAAAAACACAATGTTAGCAAATCTAAACACAATATAATATTAAATACAAAGTAACCTAGTACTAAAAATATCAAAACTAAGAATGGGAATATATACAACCAGGACTTAACTAAGTATTACTAGTCTTAAATAGGAAGATTAAATATGGAAGATTAAATGTAAATGTGCAAAAACAGAGTCATAAATGTTAGTGATTTTAAATATGGAAGATTAAATGTAAATGTGCAAAAACAGAGTCATAAATGGTAGTAAATTAAATATGGAAGATTAAATATAAATGTGCAAAAACAGAGTCATAAATGGTAGTAAATTAAATATGGAAGATTAAATGTAAATGTGCAAAAACAGTCATAAATGATAGTGAATTAAATATGGAAGATTAAATATAAATGTGCAAAAACAGTCATAAATGATAGTGAATTAAATATGGAAGATTAAATGTAAATGTGCAAAAACAGAGTCATAAATGTTAGTAAATTAAATATGGAAGATTAAATGTAAATATTATAGATATTGTAAGAAACACAGCTAGTTAAATCATCATTTGATAAGATATAACAACCCACACTCGGGTATGTTTTAGCCGATATAACAGTGACTTTAATGTGGAGATTGTGGGTTTCTTTAATGTGGAGAGTGTGTGTTTCTCCTGGTCGTGACAGGTCACTGAGTTGAAGGTAGCTCTACTCTTCCTGTTAGCGCACACTGATTGGCTAGCACTACAACGTTCGATTAGCCCGTTGGCTAGCAACGCGAAACGGCCTCGCCAACTTACCTGTAAAGCCTCTTTATGAGCAGGACTTTCGCCTCTGGCTCGCTGTCCTGCCCTGGTCCGCTCATATTAGCTACAGGACCGGGTTTTTTTTGGTCACCGTTTCCTTCAGCCGTCCCGACACACAGTTGTCAGGGCTACTCGGGGTTTGTTCCCCCGGCAGTGACAACCGTGTTGATAGCCAGCTAGCGCTAGCTCTGTTAGCTTTCCTCCCTCTCCCTCCGAGTCTCTTTCGTTTCTCGTGTCCTTTGGCTGTACCCCCTCTACCCATCCGTTCTGAAAATCGGATTAGAGGGGGGGCCGGTGATTTGTGCTATTCCTGGTCAGCTATAACGCTCTAATATGCTTCTTGTGTTGTTCCCTGTTCCAGCCATTGCTAGGAAGGCGGCCATTATTCCTATCAGGCAGTGACCGCCTGGATATCGCGAGAATACAGAACGTACTCACACGCTTTAATCAGGGGTTGCCAGGTAGTTATACAGATCCCCCTAAATCAGTTGTTCCCAAACTTTTTTCGATTCCTGAACCCCCCATTTGACGTCACAAAAAACTCTGGCGACCCCATACCAGACTCCAAAAGACATACAGCTTTTTGTTCAACTTAATTTGTTTTCAATCATGTTATAGTTTGTTTTACTGTGTTGCAAATAAACATTCATTTTAGACTACATTTAGACTTTTTCGTGTATACTCTTGTGGACACAGGAAGAAAGGCAGGGGTGTTCACATTTCTCCACATTGGATGTCAGACAGAGGCTGTGTCACTCCCTATCCACTATATAGTGCCCTGCATTAAACTCACTATATAGTGAATAGGGAGTAGGGAATGAGTGAGTGATTTCGGACACAGCCAGAGACTCTTCTAGTTTCTTGCTTTGGCATTGGCTATCGCCCAGAGTAGCCTGTGTTGAATATATTTTAATGTGCAATGTATTTTTTATTGATCAATAAAAGAAACATTTCAGGCAACCCCATTTGAATTTCATGCAAACCCACATGGGGTCGTGACCCCAAGGTTGGGAAAGCTCTGCCCTAAGTACTCTGAAGCCTTCTGGCAAGAACAATTAAACTCATATGGACTTATTGATTTATTATTATGAACAATGAGAAGAATGATTTTTCGCTGAACATTATTCTCATTCTTGGAAAATGTAATATGCACAAACCCAGGTACATGAAGGTAAACCCCAAGTTCTAGTTGTTAATGAGTTTCTGTCCCACATAAAGCCCTTAAACGAAAGGAAGCTTTTCAGTATGATAGAAGAATACAGATTACAAGAAAAACTCCAACTCTTCAACTAATTTATTTAATTTCATTATTATTTTTATTATTTTTTTTGTCCTTTTACCCTTACTCTTTTCCATATGCACATTTGCCTTTCTATATGTACTTTGGAAGATGTCAGTGCCTTCCATCATTTCCATGTCTTACTTTTCATTCCTCCTTACAAAGGAAATGGGGTTAATGTGAAGAAATTGTGATGGCAGAATGATGTTTGCTCTATGAAGCGTGTGCCCTCAAGGTACATCAGAAAGCAAATTATAGTCATTGTAATTCCTTCTGTTGACCAATAGAGGTCGATAAAGATAACAGATTTTTTACACCCCTTTAAATGCATTAACAGTGATAGAAAAAAAAGGAAATGTCATGTTTCCTCCCTAACATGTACTGACTCTTCTATGTGGACATTGGTACCATGGTGGATGTTGTAAGTTTTATTTTAGTGCTGATTAATTAATGGTGAAGTTGGTTGCAATTGTGTATGGGTGATGATGTCTTCTAGGAAGTAAATGTCATATTCTCTGCATTTTTGGCACGTCATTACATTGCTGCAGATGAAAATGTAAATTTAATTGGTACTCTTACTCTATTGTGACAAGATGTTCTGAGTTTAATCCGGCAGAATATTTACATGGATGTAATGAATGCCTGGGTGTAGAGCATGCTGAGGTTGTTTCCCTCAGCTCTGTTTATTCTCACACACACACTTCCTGATTCCTCTGCTGCTCCTCTATCTGTGTTAAATGTTTCCCTTCTCTGTCCAGGCTCAGAAGTTGCCAACCCACCAAGGAACTGCAGGCGATTAAGTGTAGGAGGATGAGGATAATTACAATCTTGCTCTACTCAGTCAGGTCCCGAGCTCCCAGATCTCTGCCTGCTATCCACACTTTTCGGCAACTAAGCCTGACAGAGAGAGAGGAAACGCTCTGCTCACCGAGAGAAGAATGATCGACTTGAGACGCCGGAAAATGCAGAAGACCCAGAAGGGCAACATTGTGATGCAACCTTGAGCTGCAGAAACTAAACTGTGATCTTTTCACAGGTTCAGACACATAACAAGAGTAAATGTGCTTGATTCTTCTCCTGTTAGCAGTGAAATGTACAACCTTCAAAGTTCATGAACGTCCTTACCTTTGTTTCAGGTGCATGCACGATGTGAGCTCATAAATAAAGTAGTCCTTGTATTCTAGTCCTGACATTGAAGGAGAAATAGCTGATTATCCAATGAGCTGTTGGCTGAAGCTTCATTGACAAGATAGTTATCTTCATCATACCACCTTCTCACATGTGAGATTTTCTGCTTCTCACTTGATTCTAAATAAAATACTTTACGCTTCGGTGAAATTAATCGGATAAACCAAAGATACTGTTTTGGTTGGAAGGACATTTTTTATGTTGTTTCTGACATTTTACATACAAAAATATATCACCAATTGAATTATAGTTGTGGTCTTAAAGACTATAATGCATTAACCAAATTATAGTTTCCTACTACTGAGAGATTCGGTTAACAGATCGTTTGTAACCATGGATTTTGTGAGCATTGCCAGTGGCTTCATGTTGTTTCTTTATTCTCTGAGTTGATAAGTTGTAACTGTAAAGTTTGGCAAATTTCATTTCAGAGCAGGGGTCGATGAAAGGTTTAACTACAGAACTCTTAACCCAGGCAACATCGGATGAGTCTCATGAGAAACCGACCATCAAGGTGACTAATTATTTCAGCCTAAACCAGACTCTAACAGAAAACATTAATGGTAGTTTTTGATATATAAATCTAACCAACTAGACACCATTTTTATATCTGAATGGTCGCATATTAGTAGCTATCGGCATTAAAAGAAAGTATGTGGACAGTTTCAGTAAATGATAAAAAAAACCCGAACAGCAGCCTGAGAGAAGGGTTTGATGTTTATATTCTTATTCTTAAACGCTCTAGATACAACATGGGGCGGCTGTGGCTCAATTGGTAGAGTTGGTCATCTCTCAACCGGAAGGTCAGGGGTTTGATCCCTAACTGGAGCCACATGTGTCATACGATGTGTCACACTTAACCCAAAGTTGCTCCTGCTACATCGCCGTCTGCGTATAAATGAGATTAGTTACTTCTGATGGTCACATTACATAACAACGTCTGCCATCAGTGTGTGAATGTGTAGGTGTGACCTGCGGTGTGAAAGTGCCTTGAGTAGTCACAAGACTAAAAAAGCTAGTACAGCTAAACAAACTCAAGTCCATTTACCATTTACAAGTCCAGGTCCAGTCTTTAGTCTGCACATAACACTTTCAAGAACGTTAGAGATGTAAATTCTTGAAAACATGTCACAAACATAAACCTTTCTTTTTTTATTTTTTCTTGTGCATTCATAGGGAACTAATTGAAGCAGCGTATATTAATACATATTTGGTGCTGCATTGAAAAAAAAATGTTGGCAGCCAGATGTTTTATCTGCGGTCTTTTGAGTTCATAGTAAAGCATGTTCCCTCTCCCTCTTCCTGCATCTTATCCCATGTCCCCCCTATCCCATTTTCAAACCCTGCGCCGTTTTGGCAGATGGCTGTTTCGTCATGAGCCTGGATTTGCCCAAGATTGCTGCCTGTTAAAAGGACGTTTACTCTTGCCACTGTAACTTTTGTTAAATGTTGCTAAAGTGTTACACTCATGATGGATTAAGCTTTGTCTTTTACCTGCTTTTGTAACATAACAAAGAGTAAGGTCTTTTACCTGTTTTTGTAAAGTGTCTTGAGATAACACTTGTTATGAATTGACGCTACACAAATAAAGATTGATTGAGGTTGATGTCAGGTATTTAATAGTTTTAGGAACACTTTGGGGTTCTTGAGATACGTTGGTAAGAGAAAAAGATATAATCAGTGTCACCCCTTAATTTGAAATGAATGAATACGTTGACAGAATCCAGTGAGAACGTTTTCAGGAGGTTGACTCAGTAAAAAACAGAACACACATTTCAACACCTTGTTAAGAATTTAATTATTTGTTTATTTATTAATTTATTTACGTATTTCTATCTCCAGATTCACCCACCCGAAAAATATAAATTCCGGTGTATTCCAAAAGAAAAAAAAAAGGAACAATGGCATCTTCATCAACCGCATCAAAGGAATTAATCAACAAAAGTGGCAATAATTATTATCATTATTACAATAATAATTCAATGATCAGAATATCCACATTCATAACAAATCCATATACAACTGCAATACACTCTTCAACACCACTCTTCCATTAATATACACAAAATCCCCAAATGTCTGTCCTGGTAAAACAACAATAGAGGAGTTCTGGGAAGGGGGTGGGGCTATGGCTTGTCAAGGGGGTATGAAGATGAGTGACCAGCAGAGTAAATGGATCTAAGGTTAGTAAGAGTATAAGTATAAGAGGGGAGGCACACTTATTTAGTAAGGACCTATACAAAAACAAGCAATGTTATAATGACGTTATACTTTCATGGAAGAATTTGCCGGTCCAACCGTTTCGTTACAAAAAAAGGTCAGACGGCTCCATGAGAGGCAGAATTTGGGGAACAAAATTTCAAGAAATATATATACGGGTTGTCTGAATAAATATATAACTCTGAGCGACAACCGTTGCAAACATTTACCATAGGAACCTAAAGTGAAAGTCAGATACGCAAGAACTCAAAACAGGTCGAGAGTTTTTCAAATAAATGCAGATGGAGGTTTCTGAAGAGAAAAACAAAAAAAGGTCTTAGTCTATATATGTACAAACATTGCTTGGTCACCCAGATCTACTTAGAAAAGCATTTTTAGTTGGTCAGAAAATGAGTGCAAGCTTAAGATTATGCGAGTGTCTTCGTGTGTGTGTGAGCTTCAAGAAGGCAGCTGTACTGAACGTGACAGACCTGGCTGATATTCTAAGTCTGCACACAAAGTGCCTCTGATAGCTCGGTACGTTTTAAAAACCTTTCCATGCCTCAGTATCGGTAACTTGAGAAGACCTATTCATAGAAAGAGAGAGAAACATTAGAGGAAAAAATAACTGTACACTCTGCATATACAAACAAACTGTATATACACATAGACATACCATATATACACATTTATCCAGTATATACACATAGATTTAGCCAGTAAACACACTTATATACAAACACATTCACTCGTTTCAGCAGGACCTCTAACATATCTCTCTCTGTTTCAGTCATGAGCAGGGATTTAAACTCGGCCTGGTGTCAGTGGAGTCCATCCGTAGAAATCAACGGGGGGAGTTTTACTGCATTAAAGACTGCAGAAATGTGGCCCACTGAAACCAAGAGTTCATCCACTGCTTGGTTAAAACTACAGACACATAGTCGAAGTGGAGTAAAAAAGAAAAAACATCTGCGAGAATGTCCTCATCCCAATAGCGTCACATCGTCCGCATATGGAGAGCTCCATGGCGATTGTTGGGCAAGAAACATCCATCAACTTTTTTGTGTTCGTTTTAGTTTTAAGTGATTTTAACTAAAAGGAAAGAGGGCACCGGTCACAGCAACGTGCAAACTGCTGTCAGGGGAGTAGGTATAACACAAGTTTGTCCCTTTTTTTTTTTTTCGTCACAGTCTCTCCACAAGATTGTCTCGGTAAGAAAACTTGGTTCATATAAAATGGATTATTTATTCATGAACTTCCATTAGATAGAGGCCTCTATCTATATCAATAAATAAACATCTGCTCCGGAAGATTTCTGATGAATAGTTTTCTGTTAAATACTAGTGTAAGAATAAGCAGTATCATAGAAATATAAATAATAACATTCTGTCCGGTTATTCAAAGTCTTTGTTGAAGCAAGAGTGTTGTTCTGAAGCAGATTCACTTGTCGTATTAGGCTGTGCATATTTAGTTTCCTTTAAAGTCAAAGTCTTAGAGAAGAGCTCAAACTATAGATAGAGAAAGGGATCGAGTGTGTCTAAAATGGAGTTAAAATGAAGCGGTTAAATAATGCTTTCCTAGAGAGATAAAGAGTGAATAGATGACGAGGAATCAAAAAGGCTAAATTTTAAAAAGACTACTAGAGATAGAGAGAGAGAAAGAGGGAAATAAATGCATTGAAAGGAAATCAGCTTTGACCGAAATTTCAAGAGAAGTCAAGCACCTTTGAAATACATCTTACCCACAATACACTTCCCCTCTCTCTCAATTTGAGCATCGCGCCTTCCTTGGCCTTTGTGTTCCTCCGTAATCAGACTGCATAGCTGTTCATTGCATGCTCGGCAGGCTAACAAATGCCAATATCTGTCCAGCCTACCTCCTAAAAGTTAAATGTAGATCCAATCAGGTGTCAGACACATTTAAAAAAAAATATCCTGTTATCAAATCAGAAAGAGAGGGCCCAAGTGAGATTAAAAAAAAAAAAAAATCCCAGCATTTCCTTACATGGTCCGCTGGGGCTCTGCACCATCCCTTGGGCAAAGAGAATGGGACCAATGCCCCAAGTTCTCCCTTTGTCAGCCAATCGCGTCACGAGAGAGGGCTCTGGACATTTGGCCGTGCCACCCTGCGGAGTGCCGATGGTGCATCAACCAATTAGGTTCCACATTGTCCTCGATGAAGCTTTGAGAGTGGCTAGGGGGAGAAAAAAAAGGAGACAGAGAGAGAGAAGAAACGGGGGAGGGTGCTTGATCAGGTGCTATTGAAGCATAGCTAGAGAGCGAGTATCTGCATGGTGGCAGTCTTTCCAAAGCTGGACTCATCTCAGTTTTTATAGTTTTTGTGTTCAGCTCTGAGGCAACTGCTTGTTTACCTGAGTCACTGAGGTATTTTCACAGCAATGTTAATTTCTCAATCACGGATCATCTTTGAAAAAGACACTGATTTTTCAAACCAAGTTCACTTCAGATCCAACATTTCTTCCCATAGAAGTTATTTAACAAGAAAGAAGGTAGCCCTACAAGCTGTCTAAATAAGACATCTTACCCTGTGTAAGACTGTAATCATTATTAACATTTGGTGGTATTACAGTTAAACATTCACTGGAAGGATTAGCTAATATGCTAGCACTAGCCTACAAAAAAAACTAGCATTGGCCATGTTGACCTTTTAACTGCAAAGCAAATGTTGTTTTTTTTCACTTTGAAATGCAAGATGGCCGACACAAAGCTGATGAGAAACTCCTCAACGCTTCTTGGTTAAACCTACACGTTTAGACAAGCTGAGTTGTTTCAGAGCGACACCAGTGTGTGGAGGCTACAGAGACAAAAAAAACAAACCTACATCCAGACAGACCTTACAAAGAAACAGTTCAGACACAAAATGAAGGAATATGGAAACACATTACAAACATTTCAAAGACTTGTGTTGTTCAGCTTTGGACACAAGAATATACATCCTGCGATTTTTCTCAAATTAACCATTGATTAAAACAGTTAACTTGGAAATCCTTCAAATCTGTTTAAATGGCAAACATTTTCAGACTGGCAACTTTTTCATTTTAAATCAAGCTTCAAATTTTCAAATCAACATGAGGAAGTGTGTCATAACCTAATAAATATTCTGTAAATGGACACAGCCTAAGTTATGCATCATAATATGCAGGTGGTCGATGACTATAGTCTACTACTGTCCACAAGATACTGAATAGCCTATTTTAATTTCAGGCACTTAATGGCAGGCTAAGCAAAACTAAATGGTTCAAATGGTCTTTCACATATATTATTGAAAAGATGATAAGTACTGATTACTGATTAGTACTGTTTTACTAACATGATAAAATATGGTAAAATGTGATAAAATTAAAAAAACAAAAGACAAACACGTCTCAATTATTAAGATTTGTCTGCACTTAGTATGTAAATGTTGGTCAAATTGGAAAGAGAAAAGACATTACAGCATTTGTATTACTTATAATGTCAACACTAATATTTTGTGCATGGACACAACAGACCAACACCTTTTAAGATAAAGAAACATAACTTATAAATTGGTTTAAAACCATTAATTTAAGTCGAAGTAGCTTCATTCAAGGTTTAAATAATGGGGCTCTCTGGAAACTGAAAATAGCACTTTGAGGCTTTTTGATATAACCTGTTCAAAAAAAGATCCACAAATTATTTTGAGCCAAGGAGCTCATTTTTTTCTGTAAATAAACCAGAGATTGGAGGAGACCGCTTCTAAAACACAGATATGAAGACCCCAACAACCCTATAAAAACAACAGGATGCACATAAAACAACGACAAAGGACACAGAGAAAACACATCGGGGAGGGGGAAAGTCCTGTCAGAGACAAATTGCAGGAGAGAGAGAGAGAGAGAGAGAGAGAGAGAGAGAGAGAAAGAGAGAGAGAGAGAAAAGACAGTGAGTGAATCATGAAAGAGGCAGTGCTATGGCAGACACAGACATTTGACTTGGAAAAAATGGCACCATTTGTTTCTGTTTAGCACCAGTTTATCACATATCGGTTCTGAGATTGAGAAGAGAAAAATTGCACGAGCTCAGTCCAAAAAAAACCAAGAAGTCCCTTAGATTGAAAAAAAGAAGAGAAAAGTTCCCAAAAAACATCTTCCATTTCTCCTTTTTAAACTCTACGACAACGCTTGATCTTGTGTCTTTGAATCTCTGTTTTCAGCCCACAGATCGTTTCTCTTGCTAGCAGCGCTAACTCTATTGGAAAACCCTGTTGAAAAACACTCAAAGGCACTAAGAAAGCCAGACTACATCTCCAAACCTCTACCTAAACTATTTGCAGCCTGGCGTGATCAGGATAGGTGTATTAAATGCACCTACATCCATGGGAGTCAAAGGATGCTATAGCTAGCTAGCTTATAGCACCTGCTAATGGCTACTATGAAGTCTTTGGGGTGCAAGATGTCTTATAGTGCTTTTTTCTTCACATGTTTTATTTCTCATGAAGCCACAGAGCACATGTTCACATATCAGCTTGTTTGACTGATTCAAACAGTATAACATAAGGTATCATTATCTTGTCCTGCAAGACTGATACTAACTGAAACTCCATGTGAGCGTCAAGAGAACAAATGTCCGTTGAAGAGCCCTTTGTGTTGTGTGTTCATACGTAATGCACTGTACAGTAGCTGAATGATTTCTATTGTCTCCCACACACTTTTTCTTCTCTCTCTCGCCAGGGGAAATAGAATATCTAAGGCGAATTCTTTTCAAATAATCGTCTCGCTAAATGGCGAAAACGTGGACAGTTTTGTGTTGCCTCTCTCTCTCTCTCTGATTTGGCTCAGTGTTGTGTTTGACCTACTCCCCCTTCTTCTGCTATGCCTGTAGTTGCTGTTGCTGTGGTGCCGGTTGCCTGTGAGGTTGTCATGGGGGAGGATGTTTGGTTGCCACAGAGCTCTCCATTCTGACTTGGTTGTTGATGAGGAGTGGGCAGAGAGGGAGGGTCTACAGTTTGGGGGAGGACTCCATTGTGGGGCGAGCTGTCGGAGGAAATGCCCAAGGAAGTGACTCTGAGGCCTTGATCGTTGGTTACCGCTCCTCCTTGTCCTCCTCCTCCTCCTCCTCCTCCTCCTCCCCCTCCACCTTCAGTTTTCACACCGGGGTCTGCGTAACCCAGGGAGGAAAGCTGGGTCTCCTGGCGAGATAGAGAGAGAGAGAGGGGAGGGGAAAGAGGAGTGGGAGGAGTGGGGGGAGAGATGGTCGTAGGAGAGAGGCCATTCAGTGAGCGATGGGGAGGGATGTGAGGAGTTGTTGTAAAGGATGTGTCCATTCAAGGCAGATAACGTGACATGTAGAAGAAGAAAGCACATGTTGGAAGAGGAGTGAGTGTGTGGGAGGAGGTAAGAATAGTGAGATACAGATGAAAAGAGAACAGGCAGGAAAAAAATCACCAGAAAAAGATGTGAGTGAATCGTGTGGGAAACGACAACATGGACAAATACAAAGACCCGGTTGGGATGAGAACATATAAAAAGCAATGGCAGAAGCAAAGAAAGGAAGGAAATCAGAAAGTAAAGGACAAGTGATGAGGGATTTGAAGAATCACACATATAGAGAGATAGAAAGAAAGACAGGGAGAGGAGAGAGAGAGAGAGAGAGAGAAAAATGAGTCACAAAGTTGATGCATGACATACACCAATAGAAATGGCAGCACAGGAAAGGGGACATGGGGAAAGAGGGGATGAAGGGGGATTAAAACTCTTGAGGTCAAAAGGTCCTGATCCTCTTTGGCTGAGTAGCAGTAGGGGTGTTTGTCGGGTGACAGGTGTCAGGAAAAGGCAGGAAGTCAAGTGAGTCATTCTTTGCCAATGAGTAGAAATTATTGTCAAATCGTCTTTGTAAAACTGTAATCTACTGTATTTAAATATGCAAGCTTAAGTAACTAAAATAACTTTAAACTAAGGGCTTGTGTCCACATGTAATTTCTTCTAGCAGAGCGTTAAGGAGGGCTCTGTCTGTCTCTGGTTGCAGCAGATGGTTGTCCACCAATGAGTCTGGTTCTGCTCGCCTGTTAAGGAAGTTTCTACTTTGCCACTGTTGCCAATTGCCTTCCCAAGGCCGACTCATTTGGCTCTGTATATAAAGTGTGACTATTGTAGTAATTTGGGGCCATATAAATTAAATTGATCTTTTTTTCTGGTAGAAACTCATACAAGTTTTACTTTCTTTCTCAATAGTTGTTTTCACATATGAACTGCTGAAAAGTTTCTAGAAAGTTTTAGGAGGACTGCCACCTCACAAGCATGCACCTCACAGTGGGAGACTATCCCTATCGAGAAGGGGTCTCAGGAGGAATCACATGACTAAAAAAGAATGATGCAGAAGTGGTGGAAGAAGCGGTAGCACAAAAAGCACGTTGGTGCTACGCTTTACCTTCAGGTGGCTGCATGCTGCTGCACCATTTTCTTCCTCAGTGGGTCAATTTGCTAAAAAGCTGCCCCGTAGGAGAAAAAAACACTATGTGGACACAGGCCCTGAGAATTATGGCTTCCTTAAGAATCTTAACAGCCCATACTGTAGCAGCTGCTCGCTTCTTAAACATGCAAGAACACAAAGAGCTGAGTGCCAAATTTAAAAAAAAAGCAAGAAGTAATTGCATCTTAAAGCCTCACAGGAACCCAAACCTCTGTCAAATTCATCAACAAAAAGCTCTAACCCAAACCCATTGATCACGTAGCAATGAGTTGCTTCATTGGCATACATCCTGGGTTGGAGCTTTTGATCAGTGACTAAGTCAGGGATGGGTTCTGCTATCTTACTTACATTGGCGCAGAATAACAGTAATGCAAAAACTAAATTCATTCTAAGTTAATATCAAGGTCTGTTTGCAAGCCTTCACTCCCAGTCTTGTTCACTGACGTCTGTGTGGGAGCAGTGGGAAGAGAAAACAATCGGGTTATTGTGCCAATAGACAACTAGGAGGACTCTATTCATGATGGTGCTTAAAGCATCCGAGAGCTGCTGCAAGATGGTTTGAATAGAAGCATTTTTGCAAGCTGGAAAATCACAATTGTACCATCAGACCAAGGTAGAACCTCTTGAAATAATTGAACTTAATATATATTGCCTGGCACATTATCTGTGTGGTGTCTAGACATGATTACACCTTACACTCGTGATGTAAAAGAGTGTACAGGCCCCTAAGATAGCTTGGAAATAGGCTTTTTTCCTTCGTCAGACCTAGGAAAATGTATGGCATTGAATACCAATTTAATGTTTGCATAAAAGAAGTGTGAAATATTGTAATATGGATGAAATGACGTGCCGTAGAGGGAGAGGACAGGAAGTAGGAGGGATAGTTTGGTCTGCATCCAGCAGAGAAAATGAATCAAGAAGCAAGTTATCACTGGATAAACTGTATCTGATGGGTGTGTCCATTGTGAGTGGAGTGGGGTGTTTCCGTTTCACTTTAAAAAAAGGCGAAAAGAAGAACAAAAAAAAAAGGAAATTACCCCAAGATTTGATGTGAATTAGCGGGCCTTTTCTCTTCTCAATCAGAACCAAAATTAGTGAATACATCAGCTGCTAACTGGTGCTACGAACAGCTACAGTTGTTATGGTAACAGACAGTTACAGGATGCCAGTAACATGACTCCACTAACACTTGTTTCGTTTCTCTGAAACACAACCAACAGTGTCGTTTAATATTCATGTGTAGACCAAAACACATGTCTATTAAAGTCAGAAATCAAGCAGCTGAACAAAGACAGGGCAACAATGTTTACTGACATCCTTTTTTTTAACTTACCAAACTCGCTTCACTCTCTGTGGGCTGTAGTGTTTGATTACTTGGTGCATTCAATTTCAGCTTTACATGAGTGTTTTTTTTTTAAAATGTTTATGAGATTATTTTTACTGGAGACAGAAACACAAAACACTTAGTGGAGTATACTAAAATGTTAGATGTATAATAATGATGCAAATAAGAGTATTGTACACATAGGTTCTTACCCATCTCCTCCAATCTCCAATCAATTTGAAATATTTCCCAACTCCTCATGAGGGATAAAAACCTGCTCTTTAAATCATTTTATATATGCAGTTAAATTAAAAGAACCCCTACATGGATTAAGATGTCTAATTTGCCAGGTGAAAAGCCTTTTACTCTGATGCAAAACAAACGGAAAAGAAAAACTTAGTATGCATGTCACACATCATCAGACGCTCCGAAACATCTGGCTTCCACCATCATTCAACCAAAATAATGTGTCCAGGTGCACAAAAACACACACAAACACAGAAGTATCAGAAACACTGACTCACTGAAAAACACAGAAAACACACACAAAAAAAACCACATGTGTACATTAATCAGTGTTCCTCAGGGAGGGATCGGGTCAGATACGGAGATTTCCCATAATTCCCGTTGTGTGTCTGAGGGTGTGCTGAGAAGGATGACAAAGTGAATGGAAATGTGGGTTTGAGTGCGGAATAATTAAAATCTATAATTAAAGGGAATCCACACAATATTCCAGAGACTTTCACAAAGGTAGATTAATAAGAATCTATTTAGAAATAGGGCCGGTTTTCAGGTATTAAAAGCTCCTGTGATGAACTTTGGCGCCCCCTGTGGACAAAGTGGCACATCATTTTATTATCTGATTTTGTCCTTTTTAGGTAAAGGTAGTATTTTTCTGACCAAAAATCTTTTCTAGCTTTCTTTTAACAGTGAAAGGTATCACTTACTGTTGTGAATATTTGCAGTGGAAAGTATAAAACAAAGGCTGTTTTTTCCACATGCTGTAAGTCATTTTGTCGGACACCTACCCTCTGGCAGTGGTTAAAGGCATTAAATGATAGAATATAGAAATAATCAGTCTTATCGTTGATGGTCTCTTTTGCCTCTGTAGGTCATAAAAAGGCATCACAATTAATTTCTGTCAGTTTCATAGCCAGTTAAAAACTCCTCACTGTGGCTTTAACATGTAAACAGGCCCAAAACGTTATATTTAAAGGTCCTGTGAGGAACTTTTAGTTTGTGTTGATTTTGGACAAAGCGGTAAGACTTATCTCTTTGCTGATTTTTATCCTGCTCAAGTTTAAGTAGTGTTCTTCAACAAATAATCTCATCCTGCTTTCTTTTAACAATCAGACATATGACTGACTCATCACCAATCTTTGCAGGGGAAAATGTCAACAAAGGCTGTTTAGACAGTCAATATATCCATCTGACATCTACCCCCCTGCAACAGTTTTCAGATTTATTAAATATAACAGATATAGGATGATTGAAATTCAGTGATTTTTGGAAAATGACTAGACTGATCATTTTTTCATCTTCATCCTTTTTTCTTGCATCAATATCTGAGAGTTCATATCAGATGTTTTTTTTGTTTGTGTTTTGAAAAATATGCTTTTTAGACAGGGGCGTCGTCCAGAGGGGTGTTTTTGGGGAGGCACCCTGGGGTGGCCAATCAGATTTCGAGGGGGGCCTCTGCCTACCATGGACACCCCAGGGTGCCACCCCAAAAATCCCACACTTTGATTGGCTATTTGCCAAAACATTACAAGTTAAACTGTGTAGAAGTTTGCATACATCTTCATTCTTGTGTCATTAAACATTAAGCTAATGCTCCTATTATCTTGTGCTATAAAGTAGATATGATTGGAGAGGTTAGAAAGGGATAAATAATTGATACCCAAAGGTTTCCACAATGCAACCCTACACAATATTTAGCTTCATTTTTGCACTGAAAAGATGCCAATCCAAGCTTTAGAGATGCACCAACTTTGAGTCAAGTTTCGTTGTCTGTGTGAGAAATGAATGACTTACTTCTATAACCAGAAGTGCCAAATCAGAACCCATTTTTTCTGTCACATTGCCACATTCATCGGTTATCATTGTGTGGCTAAAAAGATAGCTAACTTAGCCACCTAGTCAGCTAGCAAAAAATAGCCAGCCACTGTGCCTGCTTAAACGACAGCACACTAACAAGGTCTAGCTGAAAATGCTGTCTAAGTTGAACGCAGCCTCTAAAAGATCATTTTTAAAGGCAGCAACTTTTATTTGCTAATTTTAACAGTACAGGCTTTTCCTTGAACATCTGAAATCCATGAGTAAAAAGTGATCCCAGGTCAGCCTGGTGCAATGTAAAATTTATTGATATTGCATTGCATGATTTATGTGTACTAAAG